AGAGGATCTCTGTCATGTGTGATAATCTCGACGTAGTGGAAGCATTAAACAAAGGTCGCCTTCTTCACCCAACATAATGTCCCCTGACCATTTCAACCTTCATCTCAAACATTCAAAGATCAAAGGCGCCTGCAACATAATAATAGCTCGCTCCGACACATCTCTCTGCCCCTACAGGTCCATGATGCGTTACACTCGCCTCCGCTGCAAAAAGGAGATTTTAACGGACCTCTAATTCTCACTCCAGACAACCTTCCCATGACAGCAACCTGGTTCAGAGCTCAGCTAAGATCCCTACTGCTCCTCTGCAATTTGTCTCCCCAGCTCTATACAGCCCACTCCTTCAGGATAGGCGCTGCCACGCGCGCGGCCTCGCTGGGGCTCCCCCACACCTCTCTGCAACAGCTGGGGCGCTGGTCCTCTCCGGCTTCTCCGCCTACATCAGGCCAGACGCGTCCGCTATCCTGGCTGCACAACGTCTACTGGATTCCTCGTAAGCTCCCAGCAAAGCAATGCGAAGCAAAGTAAGTGAAGCAAAGTAAGTGAAGCAATAAGATTCTGGTGGCGGCACGCACTTTTCTCAAACACTCTCCGCTGCCGCAGCGTCTGACGGAACGTGATGCGAGCGCTCACGTTCCCAGCGCGCAAAGATAACTCTGCTGCAGCATCCGGTTGATCGTGATGCGAGCGCTCACGTCCCGGCGCTCAAAGATAACTCTGCTGCAGCGTCCGGTTGATCGTGATGCGAGCGCTCACGTCCCGGCGCTCAAAGATAACTCTGCTGCAGCGTCTGGTCGAACGTGATGCGAGCGCTCACGTTCCCAGCGCTCAAAGATGCCCAGCGGACGCAGCCCGGCTGAGCGACCGTACGAGAAGCCTTGCACTCATGCTCTCAGGCCTGCGCAGTGCGTCCTGCTATCCCATCGCAGGCCCACTTTTTGGGGGATTATGCGCGCGATCAAGCGCCGCGCTCAACAGCATCTCTCCCGGGCCTAGGGCGCCAAACATGCTTAATCCTAGACTTCTAACTGCATTTTCCCTCATGGGTCTCTCCAAGGTGAAATGGAGCTTTTCGCGAAAGTTCACTGTGGTAGACCCGGCTGCTGCTTGCCCAGACCTACAAGCCTGCTCATCCTCAACTCATCATACCAGCAACGCCCACATCTAATCAACCAATAACCACCAGGACAGCAAGTTAAAAGCCGGAGATGCCCACTTCCCAGCCTTCTGAAGTCTGCAAGCCTCCGCCGCCCCACCTCCTCCTTCTCTCATCGAAGCGTACTTGCCTACTGCCTCTGCCGTCACCAGTGCCTAGGCCCCGGGGGGGATTATGCGCGCGATCAAGCGCCGCGCTCAACAGCATCTCTCCCGGGCCTAGGGCGCCAAACATGCTTAATCCTAGACTTCCAACTACATTTTGCATGGGTCTCTCCAAGGTGAAATGAAATCTCACATTCCCCCCTCTGGTCATACATTCACGTGTGACCATCAGGATCGATAAACAGCAACATAACATCATAACTCAATACTTAAACTCGGTACTTCACTCGGTACTTCAAAAAACTCAGAACTCGGAATACTTCAAAAACTCAGAAAACTCATAAAACATGTCCAGATCTTTCATAAGACTTGTCAACAATCTTCAGTAAAATACCAAACTTCATCAGTCGATGGTTCCAGATATTGCTTTGAAAACAGTCTCTCCCACTTCTCCGTGTTGATTCTTCAGGCTGCATTTGTTGTGTCGAGCCATGAATTCTTCTGTGACGTGTCTTTGAATCACACGTTTCAGCTTCAGTGTCCAGATTCAGAAATCCAATTCAGTCCAAATTATGTCCAAATTGTGTAATCCAATGGTTCCAAATGATGTCCATGCAAAAGAGGACGATGGTGTTGTCCATGTCTCAGCAGCTCACAGCCTGATTGGAATCAGGGGCTGTGCAGATTGTCCATGTGTGCTGGTCCAGATGCATTCTCTTGAGGTTTCTCAGTTTTGGCTTGGAAAAAAAAAACACTTTTTGTGTAAAAAAAAAAAAGTCTTCTGTTCTGTAGATGTTACAGACAAGGCCCGCATCCTTCCACCACCTGAAGAAGATGGCATAGTCTGGGATCGCGTCTTAAATTCTGACAGAAGACATGTTTTATTGTCGATGGTAGAGACAGCACGAACAAAGCACACGATCACAGATACAATAGAATGCAAGTGTATTATACAGAGCGGAGGCATTGAGACCTCCAATCAGCAGCTTCCACGGTGCCATGTAGCTTGGCCTTCAGATAGACAAAACAAGGGAAAAGTACTGGCTTCTGCACATTGATAGAATGATGAGTTTAACGTTAACAAAAGTTGCTTCAAAGTGTTATGAAATCTCACAAAATATAGAAAAAGTCCATGGAGGAAAGAGAGATGCAAGTAGTGGGGGAGGGGTCAGAGAGTGTTTGGGGCTGTATCTTGTCCGAGTGTGTGTGTTGTATTGTGTTACTGTTCTACTGTACTACTTTTGTATAATTTTGGAGTTTCATCTTTTGTCTTTGTGTAGACTGGGGTTTGGAAGTTAATAAGAATTTGCCTCATCCAACCTGTTTCCAAATCTGTTATTTTGTTCTGTTTTGTAAAATTGTATTGTACAGGTTTTGAAATATTCATTGATTTCCTTTTTAGTCATGAGTTTCAGCAGCTGGTTTCATGGAACCTTTTTCAGACTGATGTTTTTACTACCCAAAAGTTCTCATGATGGTAAATGATTTCAGTATATGACTCTATATGACAACTTTAAGTGAAGTTGTTTACTTGTCTTCAAATGGTAAATCGAATGCTTGTGTGGGACATTCCCTCAAAACAACATCTAGTTTTGTTTAGTTTATTGTTTTTCTAGCTGTTGGTAAACAACAAAAATCACATTCACAGTTGAAAGACCGAAAGGGTTTAGACCGAAATAAACAATGAACATGAGCCAAAAGTAGACCCTCCTGTGTACAGCACCTTTAAATTGTTAACAATAGTCATTACCGTAAATCATTCTGAAGCTTTTTGGATAGGTCTTTCATATGTGTCATTTTCTCTCATTATCTTCTAAACACTATCCAGTTTATCAATAATTATCACTATGGAACCCGCCAGGACAAATGACTGTGTTTCAGTTTCTGCCTCATGACTGGACTGGACCACTGACCATTACCCCTCCTGGTTCTGTGTGGTTGGACTTTCAAAAGTAGCAAAAATCCGATTTCATGAGCTGCATGAGATTTTGATCTATGTCAGAATAACCTAGTGCTGCCATAAAAAGTACTTCCACTTTGTGTTAAATATTACAGTAAAGTGTCTTTTAGTATTTTAAAATGATGAACTCAGTATCAGAACTGAAACTGAAAGTCATTTTAACCTTAAAATATCTAAAAACCCAAGTCTGGAAGTACTGCCATATGTGGAGTTGCGTAATGCGTACTCTATATGCACTTTCCTTGGCTTCCGTTTATATCGCCATGACGTCAGGTTCGGTGGTTGTCTTTGTCAGCATCACGTTAACATATTGTTCTCCGTTGTAATTATCATAATAACGTGATTTTCCACTTAGTCTAAGAACTAACTCCAGAAGTGGCGCGTAGGTCCTGATATGGCAACTCGCTAGACCACCGTCCTGTTGAGTTTGACATTTTGGAATAGTGACTACCGTGCAATACATCAGTCAAAAACCTATGGATAGATCAAATATATTATTATTGAGTACTGTCTGAAAACAAGATTACAACCACAATTATGCCCAAAATGATCCTGGCTTTATTAGCTTGGGGGGCTCCCTGAGAACAGCCATCTGGAGCTGTCTTCTGCTGGCAAACATCAAATCCAGTGGAACTACTGTGGCATAATGATGAATCAAAATGCTGGATGGAAACCGGCTGCAGTGCATGGGGGGCAGACAGCTCCACTCAGCTGGTAGTCTGTGCTTTTACGAGGCCTCTGTGCTTCCTCCCACATGAACGGGGCCAGGGCCTGTTTGAAGCCGGCCCAGGCCTCCTCAGGGGCTGGATGTTGGCTATTGTTGCACATTTAACACCACAGAGGTAGAAGTGCGTCTGCAGCCCAGCGTGGGACAGCCCCGTGTGGGTCCCGTGTGGTCACATGTGCCGCGCTTCATTAAACATCGACCCTATGGAAATTATATTGCATGTGTAAAAGCAACAACTGGATTAGTTTTGAGCCGTTATTATCTTTACTAAAACTAGGACGTTATTCATAATGTAGTGCAAAACATATGATACAGATGCTGTAAACATGCTCTGTAATACATGATTATGAAATTTAGTATTTATAATCCTTTTACAACCAATATTTATAGCATATAATACTTTATGGAGATGTTTTTATTTTTGTCAAAACAATCAAAGTTGTAGTTTTTGTCTATACAAGTATGGTCAAAGCTATTTTATTCTGACATTTATAGTATTAAGTTATAGTATAATAAACAGTGGAAACCGGATGTTTACTCTCCCTCTTTAATCAAACTTCTGACTTAAAAGTCTGTCCGAAAGTAATGTGGATGTTGTGGAATTGAGCCAATAGAATTTTTGTTTGGCAAAAATAACTGAGCTAAAATACAAGAACTGAGTCATCATGTGAGACGCAACAGTGGCTCAGTTGGTAGAGCATTGGCCTATGGGCCTGAAGGTTGTGGGTTCGAGCCCACCACGAGACCCACTTCACAATTCCCTCTGATGACTGCTGTCGTTGTGTCCTTGGACAAGACACTTAACCACACTTTGCCTGAAAATCGATGAATGGAAGGATGAATCATCATGTAGTTTTAAATTAACACTGTTTGAAGCGCTTTAATCGTGAGCTACATGTTTCTTTACTATCAATGTTGTGTTATCTGTATTGTCTGTATTGTCTGTGTTCTCCGTGTCGATAACTTCAATTTTCGGGCACTAAGAAAGTATACATCCATGTGTCCCGTGTTTATTCTTATGTATTTATTCTTCATTCTTATTCTTCTGCTCAGACTCAGATCCTGGTCTTTTGGAGAAGCAGGAGCAGACACAGCCTACATATGTCGCTCTGAGTTATGTCAACAGGTACGTCCACAACACGAGTCCTTCTGTTCAAAAGTCACCCAATCCTATGTTATCCATGAAATCTCTGTTGGATTCATGTGGTGCGTGGTAATCAAATAAATACATTTGTAACAGTGGTAGAAGTAAGACGGTCAACTTTTAGTGGTTGTTCTGATAGTTCCTCGGAGCTTGTGTCTTTTTTCTGCCTTTCGCTTCGTCCAAGTGCACTTTGTTCCACGCATGGCTTTAGAAGTCGCTACAAGACGCTTCTGTCTCCCCTGCCTCCCCCCAAAGCGCTCTTCATGTGGCTCTCGAGTAATTTGTTAATTCCACTTCGTTTTTTTATTTTATGATACGCATTTACTTCGCCATCCACTGTAAACCAGGCATGAGGGCGACAGGGACAAGCCACTAAAGCCGCTTGCGAGCTCTACCAGAAGCTTTCATGTGACGTCTGCGCAGAAGTTTTTAATGTTTTTTTTTAACAAGAGATAAGCCGTGTTTCCATCCCTTTCCAGATTCATGACAGATGCTGCGCGGCGGGAACACGAGGCCTCCAAGAAGAAGCCCAGGTCCAGTCTGTCCCGGGTCACTCCACCGAGGCCGGCCCACGGGAGCCTCACCCCCCCAGTCACCCCGCCCATCACCCCCTCCTCCCCCTTCCGCAGCAGCACCCCCACAGGTGACACATGTGTTTACTTCAGCTGCGTTCTGCGGCGATCAGAGGGAAGTTTCTCTTTTTGTCATAGTCTGGGGTTTTTCTTACATCTTTCTAAATCCGGGGTGCCCAAATACAGAGGACTCAGAGGATTGCCAGGCAAGAAAATAAGTATGTATTGTGCACTACCTTTTAACCCTTTAACATTGACTCCTTGAAGAAAGCAATGTCATTTTTTTCTTTTTTGGATTTTCTAAGATGTAGGAGCATGGTTTTTATTATTTTTACTATAGGTCTTTATCAAATGGTTGAGATGAAGTTAGATGGTATAACTGCCTAAAACCAAATGCCCCAAAGAGATTAAAGTAGATATATTGACTCAAAAGGTGATTTACCAAATGGTTGAGGAAACCATTAAATGGTTTAAGTACAATAAATACATACAGTAGAAAAGGTCCGAGGCCCTCTGACGTAAAATTAAAATTCTTTATTATTGTAGGGACATTGCAACGCATACTTACAGTACTTGCTGGACAAGGGGCAGCTACTTTTGCTACATTTTGCCAAAAGTAAAATTTTGGTCTCATCGGACCATAACATGGATAATGTGTCCTCTCCGCTTTTCTCTTTGTGGCTTTGTTTCAACACTAGCTTTCTATTCAGCACTTAACCATGAAGGCCAGATTATAATATATCATAATAGTTAGATAAATATATGCGTCGCTTTTATTCTTTGCCCATTCCTGTAGATAATTGAATTAAACTGTCCCAATGAATAAACGCTGGCGTTCTGTGCATGCGTTTTCAGGCAGCGAGTGTGAGGAGGACGAGTTGGAGGTCGAGGACACGGACAGTGACGAGTCCTGGACCCTGGAGAGCGCCCACAGCTCCGAGTCCATCCTCAGCTCCGTGTGCATGAACGGAGGAGACGAGAAGCCCTTCGCCTGTCCTGTCCCGGGCTGTAGCAAGAGATACAAGGTACAACCACACCCTGAGGACGGTCAGGCTTTACAGCTCCGTTTGTGTTGCGTTGTGTCGCAATTAAGGAACGAAAATACACTTAAAGGACACATATGATGCCAAATAGACTTTAACCATTCACACAATCACGTCCCCCCACCCCTTACTTCCAACTGCTTCTTGTGAAATTTAGTTTGCTGTGATGAATCCGGCTCAGACTATGAGGTCACAAACACGACTGCTTTCTGCTTTTTAACTTTAAAGTCAAGGCAAGTTTATTTGTATAGCACAGGTCATACACAACTCAACGCAACTCAAAGCGCTGAACAAAACAAGATGGAAACAATCACAAACCATTGTCAGAATAGAACCCTGTCTCACATTTTCGGAAAAACTGATCCAGATTTTAACTCCAGAAATTTGAATTGACTGATCCTTTCTTTATCCATTATACACACGTCTATGCCTTTGTTTTATGATACAGTACTTGTGTCTGAGTCTTGTTAAAGAAAACAAAGCCTCATTGTACTGTCAAACCTGACACTTTTCTGTCATAGAAAGCTGATCCAAAGCTCTGACGTAGGCCACAAAATGCATTCATGTTTTGAGAGCTAGAAACTAGTGACATGGATCTAATTATATATTTGAATTTTAAGCGGCTTTAAAGTTGGGTACCCTGGCTTTATGTTGAAATATATACTTTACATATTTTTCATTCTCACATAAAAATAAAAATATTCGACTACAATAAAAATTTAAATATTTTACTACAAGCACTTATTCAATTCACAATCAAAATGCCGTTGTGTCCTTAGGCAAGACACTTTACCCCCATTGGCTTGAATGATCCTGGTGTGTGTGTGAATGGCACATACTAGTTGCCAGGTTTCTGTCAGTGTGCCCCAGGGCAGCTGTGGCTACAGTAGTAGTTCATCACCACCGTGTATGGAGTAAATGAATATTGACATTTAAAGCATCTTTGAGTGTCCAAAAAAGCGCTATATAAAACCTGATGCATTATTATTATTATTAATTCTTTTTTTTTTTTTATAGCCCTTAATCACAACAGCAGTAGTGAGGACTTTACAAAGTTGATGCTTCCTCACCAACAGATCAGAGAATCAAACCCATTTTGCAGTGAAGTCTATGAGTTGTAAAAGGCTTTTTCCCCATTGCAGATTCTCCGATGTATTTGCTGGTGTACTGAGAGTCGTGTTCTTGTGTATGACAAATGCGTACACACTCAGTCCACTGGAGGAAAGCGGCGGTTTTACTGCATTTTCCGTCCACATTTCTCACATCTGGCGAGTGCGGTTTGGATAAATGATGTGCGACCAGAGAAAATTGCATTGCTGACGTGAATGACAGAGTTATAGGAGATAACTTGGTCTAAGTGTTGGGAAGTGGCAAAGGCAGCTGCTGAACAGAGCGGCGCGGATAAGATATGTTTTGTTTGGATGTCAGTTGTCATATTTTATTGTTTCTCAATAACCCTTTGTCAAGCTGAGGCGCAGGTTTTCACATTTCAAACCCGCCTACATGTTTCTGTTTTATTTGTGAATTCAAGAGAGTAAAGCTGGGGTCTGATGCAACTCTGATAGACTAAAGAGCATAGGAACTTAAAGAGACTGTATACAACAAACACACAGTGGTCTTATGAAGTCATTATTAATACAATTGTACACACTGAGGCTCTCATTTTGTTTATATATACAGTATATACATAAAATTCACTTGCAAAACATATTTAAATGTAACCGAAACCAAAAAAAGGGACTGGGTGTAAGTCCCTAAATGTTGTCATGTTTATCAGAGCTGCATCAGACCCCAGCTTTACTCTCTCTTGAATTCACCAAATACTAACTTTAATATGACTAGGAGTGTATATGACACACTGTCCCTATTAATGAAGAGTAAGTAAGTAAGTAAGCAATGTTTATTTATATAGCGCATTTTACAGATCAAGGTCACCCAAAGCGCTTCACAATGTTCAGAGTTCAGATATTGTTCCAATCACTCCACACACAGTGATTACAGAAGCGAGTAAGAGCAACGAGTGACATAGATTATCACTATTTAGCAGACAGCAGCTACAGTCGTTACAACAGATTTTACAATGAAACACCCATTTTGCATTAAAACAAACCCGATTTCTTACAGAATGTGAACGGGATCAAGTACCACGCAAAGAACGGCCACCGCACTCAGGTCCGAGTGCGAAAACCTTTTAAATGTCGCTGCGGAAAGAGCTACAAAACATCTCAGGGCCTCCGCCACCACAGCCTCAGCTCCCACCCTCCCCTCTCCACAGAGCTGCTCCGGAGAGTCTGACCTCCACCTCCTCCTCTGACACCACGGCCTCAGCTCCTCCCCTCCAGCACTTTGTCCAAACACCACCAGCACCTGCCCTTTTACAGGTTATTGTCACTGATAATGACACTGTTTTTATTAGATCCTATCAAAGTGTTTTTGATTTGATTTTGTATTCTAACTCCAAACGCAGTGGTTCTCAAACTGTTTAAATCTGCAACAATCAATATGTACTGTGTTTTGTCACGGTAGGGAACTTTTTCAGTTCTTGATGCTTCTTTGTGTGAATGCATTTGTGAAAAGTATAGACAATTTGCATATTCGCGATAACTCGTACTGAAACTAAATAATAATTTTAATTAGGGTTACAAATTATGATATTCTATTATAACTACATAAACACAACATCATTCAACATAAACAATACAATCATAGGGTATGAAACCTTATTGCCCGTGACATTTGTATTATTTGGAATTACAAATTTACAGTTATTGTCAAAAAATAATCTGAATTTATCGGACAGATTAGGAACCAGGGAATAGGGCCAGACTCTGGAGACTCTTTTAGCTCCTGCTCTGGGGATGGAACCAGGAACCACTTGAGCAACAGCACATGAACAACACTGGCTTTGATTGGGGAAGATTTTCTCACATTTTAGTCTCAACAATTGATTTCAATGTTTTCATATTCCACTCTTGACAGTTAAGAGACATTTTTCTGTGGGAACGCAGCCAAAGGGAATCAGGATTAGTTCTATGTGTGATACTACTGTGTGTATCTGTGGAAACGCTTATGGTCCCTTACTTTTTCAGTCTGTAGTAAGTTTACCTTTAGTTAGAGATAGAGACTGATAGTGAAAATCCTTCTTAGATTGCACAGTAGTGTTAACCCACACATGAAACAGCATGATTCTTTAGACTGTTTAGTGTTTGGTGAAAGATGAACAAAACATTTCAAAATTATATGTTTGGACCACGGCAAAGTACCAGAAACTGAAAACGGTACCAGTTAAAACAACTAAACTAGTCTGATGACCCATATTCATCCATTATTACAGTTCAAGTGATATGGCAAATTTAGATGTAGATTAATCATTTCTGATTATGTTAATTACAGCTACGTCTCAAAAATACGAATATTGTTTTAATTTGAGGTTTTAAATTATATTGATTTTTCTCAATATAAATGAGAAAAATTGCAATGAGAAAAAATCTTGAAACATATATGTAAAAACAGTTTACTTACCCTTTTGTAACTAGGGTTTCTATATCAAAACCTGTGTATTATGGTACATAAGAAACTGATTGACCCCCAGTCCCCAGTTTGAGAACCACTGACCTTGGGTTTTTGTATTTTGCACATTTCTCGATTGTATTGTTTCAAGTTTATTCCAACTTAATGTCAAAACTGATGATCAGCCCGAGGGCCACTTCTGAAAGACGTTCTTTTTGCAGTAAAAACACTAATCGTGAACTCAGGTGTCAACTTCAAGCATTTCATCTTCTCGAAAAGAGTATTATTTTTGAGAAGCTAAAAGTTCTAACTTTAGGGCTCGCACAAACATCTAGCATTTAAGAAGTTTTATTTATCTCATGCCCCTTTCCTTTTCTCAGCATTGAAGCACTTTCTAAACAAGTATTTTACAGATTTTGACAAAGCTCTCTGTAGTTACATGAATGAGGCTTTTGTATGCCCTTGCCTTTATAAAGATTGAATTATTGTCCTGCAGATTTCTGAGGAGTTCCTATTGTTCCTGTAACACATTCATACAACGTGAGTGAGAAACTTTGTGCCATAAAACGTTAGTGGAAGCCTCCTCTTGCTTTTTTACTGTTCTTATTAATGTTGCCACATTGGCTAATATTCTTTTGTTTCTTCAGAGTAGCTCCGGACTTTGAGTTTAAATTCAAAGCATTAGCAAAGGCGATACCAGCAACTTTAATAGTATTTCACGTATATTTCTGTGCCATTTTGTACTGTAAATAGTCTCTCCCCTTTGCATAACGTCCACCAGTAAGATGTGCTGGATGAGAATAGTTCAAATTCATTTCGGCCAATCAAACAAGTTTTATTGGCATCTATGCACATTTATCATTTATGGACATTTCTCTGTCTATAAGCACAATTTGGGAGATTGTGTCATTCAATTTAGCTTTATCAAGATCCAATTGAAATAATGGTGTTTGCAAATATGAGTTTGTATGATTCAAAAAGTGGCTGTATTGAATATGTTGACTTTCTTGGTTTCATATCACACTGTGAATCTAGTCACAGAAACAACCTTGTCTGAGGAGTCAAATAAGGCCATTTTATAAAGTGATGAAAAACAGACAAATGTTGAATTAAATTGCATTTTTTTTAAGCTACATAGGCTTCCATTTGTGCCATATAAAATCATAAGAAGCCTAATTTTGCTTATGTTTTTACACACTGTTGTAAGTGTTGCCACCAGAGTGTTAGAGTATAAAGTGCATGTTCATGTTGTATCTTCTGCCAAATGTGTTCTACGTCATGTTCTTTGCAGTAACGCAAATTTCCGAAATGCTGTTTTTTACGTGCTGCTGTATGTATAAATCGTTGCAATACTTTTGTTACCTTGAAATAAATAAAAATAAATTCTGACATAACAAAAGACGCTCGACGTGTTTTAACAGATTCAAAGACTTTATTGTAGATTATACTGGATACATGAACTCACTTAGCAAAGAAATTAAATAAGTTAAATGAACTAGGGAAGAAGAAGAACTGAAGCGTTGTTGCATGCACTTGATACACCAGATGTTCAGAAGATTCCGGACACAAAAATCCACTTACGTCAAATCAAAACGAGGAAAACCTAACATACCAAACGAAACACATACAATCGAGGCTTTCACAATATCATTGGCTTAAATCTTCTCTAAAATAGATGATCTAATGATAAACTGTATATTGTCCAAGTTGAAATGATTTCCTGTTTTCTCATAGGGATGAACCAATTACAGTGATGTTAGACAAGAGAAGCGTTGGTTTCATAGACTGGAGAAAGGAGGGGACTGACGTAACCGGGCTCCACTGGCGGGAAGCTAGAGCTGACGCGCTCATAGCAACCGCATAGCAACCAAAAATGTGGAAATACTTAGCTTTAGCTATATTAAAACGGCTACAGCTATATATTTAAAAACTATTCGTTGGCTCCCAGTTCAGTTTGGAATGACCTCAAATGTGTACGCGTGTTTGTAAAGCCCTCCCCAGTCTGGCATCCTCATTTATTTCTGATTTAGTTGTGCCATAAGTTTCAGTTTTATTATTTGGTTCATATTATATTGGATTTACAAAGGCAATATCAAAAATAAGAACACAAAGGTAGAGCCAGCCTAGTAAAAAAGCAGGAAGTCTAAACTATATGATCCAATATTTAAAATAATTGTTCAACAAAAGAATTGTTCACTCAAATGGCATTTTTCACAGATCTCTAAGGGCCGCCATTTCGGGAAAAGGAGTTGGCCACTAAAAATTCCAATATGGTGGCCCTATAGGATAACTGAGAATCACACACCGTCTGCATAATGGATAATATTTTGCTTGTATCAGTGCAAGGATTTGAATGGGCTGTCTGTCAACGTTTGGGATAACTGTATCACATATGACCGCCATATTGGATTTTGGAACAGCCAACGCCTTTTCCCAAAATAGTGGCCCTTAGACACCATCTGCTTGATTTGTTTTACTGTTAAAAACCAAAAGAAACTTGTTTACTGGTTTCATTGTGGGTTTACACCTCACCTATGTCAAGTTTTAACACGCAATTGTACATTACTGTTTAAAAATCTGGTTAGTAATAATTTAGCATAAATATTTCAAAACTGAGATAAAGTTGACGTGAAACTTTACCCACGAATAATCCGGCCCTTGTGGGAGTAAAATTGAAAAGCTAACCTAGCTAACACCACACTACATATCACAATTCTGGAAACCATCCATTCATTTTCTCGTAGGAGAGGTGCATTTAATGATTGTCCATAGCCGTTTGTTGGGACCTACAAATATATGAATCTGCACAAATAAGCCTAACGTATCCATTCTACCAGATAACATGTCGCGGGACAGAAACACGACGAGAAAATAAGACGAATGATGTTCACACAATGGAGCCAGACGATTACTTTTTGTGCGAGTGAAACATGAGGGAACATACCTTTGCATTGGCTGGATCTGAAACTAAACTACAGTAGAAGCTTTTGTCCGCCAATAGTAAGTCATAACCCCCTAGTGGTCCCTCCCCGTTCAGTGATTGGTCCCCAAATCCATGCAAATTTTTTGGCCAGAGTTTCCAGTCTGTTGATCATTCGAAATTATTTGAGTGCACGCAGCTGCAGAGGGATTCGCAAGCTATTGTAAGAGCGTTTGATTATGGATGGCGAGTGTGAGATCACGAGGGGTTTACTTTTCAATGGAAGCGAATGGAGCTGGCGTCAGTAGGCGCTAACCTACGGAAGCTCATGAGCACTTCCCACTTAGGCGCCATCGAGCTTGCGGGTTAGCACGGCCCACGCCTTTCTACAGTCTACGGTTTGAGTGCATGAGTTCAAATGTTTGGTAAACACATCTCTCGTTCCCTGAAATGTCCCCCGCATGTTGGATTTATGATCACTGAGTCAATCATGTTCATTTTATATACTGTACATACAACAGTCTTTCACCCTTTGATATAGTTAAAACTTTCTGATTCCCAAACGTCTTCAGTTGCCTTACCTATACACACTAGATTACTCACCCGAGTAAAAGTCTGACTACTCTGAAAAGCCGCTCCTCCCACTTCTACATGCAGAAAATATTGTATATTAGATGATCTCTTTATGGTTACTGGCTGGGCTGATTTTGCTCGTCTAGTCAAAGTTAAGCGGATGGCTATCGAAGTGGGTGAGCACGTGGTTCTCGAACACCTTCTGGTCACAGTCCAGGGGGAACTGCTCGCTGCACATGGGGCAGATTTTCCAGTGGCTCTCCACGTGTTCCTCAAACTTGCTCTGGTCGTAGTTGGGCGGAAAGATGACCTCGCAGAGTGGGCAGCGCTTCATGCCAACGCTGCAGAGAAGAGACAGGGGACGTTTAGAAACTTGTTCCCCAACCTTTATGAGCCATGGCACACCTTTTTAACATAGACTGGATGTAATGGACTTGTATTTGATGTGATTTTATCCAAATTCTCATGTTTTTATTGTGATATTTAAGTAAATTTTGACCTGAACTAAATTTAACTACCACAATCAGACACTGTTTTGTTTGGGGTATATACGGTAGGTTGGACTGTTGTGCAGCAGATAAATACATTTTGGCGTTTAGTTGTATCATTGTTGTTGTTTCAACCAATAGCCTGGACTAAAATCATAATTTTACCAAAATGAAAATAAAAATTGGTCAATACCATTATATGGATTAATATCTGTGTCTATAATCGTCAACCTTTTAATTTTTTTGCCGTCCTGTATCTTGTATCGGAATGTATCTGCATTACTCTAGCTTTGTATGGCAGCTAATTATAAAACTTCTATATTCATTGAGACGAACAGGTCAATATCACTTCTTGTAGATGACACACATGCAAGAAAATGTATATTTATTTATTTATTATCAGTAATAAAGTTGGTTGTTTGGCTAGATCTTTAAACCCAAAACTCATTTACCAATCCTCCTTTAGAATGAATAAAGTCGAACATAAATTTTCAGAATCTCATAATGCTCTTAAAGTGACAGTAGCGCTGATATTTCTCAGTGCTGCAGATGAAAGCTGGCTGCACATGTGAAACCAGTCTAATAAAAAGCATCTGTCTAATTCGGCGTGGGTGGTCGGCTCCCTTTGCCCCAGAACAAACCCTCAGCACATGTTACGACGCGCAGGTCCGGTCCGGAGATGGCATTTACGAGAGCGCGGGCCGTTACCTGGACTCAAAGCAGAACGTGGTTTGCCCGTCGTTTGAGAACGGGCTGGGTGCCTCTGTCGCTGCCGGTGCTTCGTGGGTATTAGCCTGGAAATAGAAATATGAAGTTATTATTTAAAGTTTATTTTGTGTTATTATTTTCAAATGTTTTGAATGAACAAAGTGCCCTCCCCCTGTCCCTCTGCAGGCCCAAAGGTAAAGTAAAAAAACAGTAAGAAATACACAACCAAAAAGTGAATAAATAAATTAATTAATATACAAACAAAACATAATAAATAAAAATGATTAAGTTAAAGTAGGTGTACAGTAAAATGTCAATTTCAATTGTTGGTACATTCACCACAAACTTTGAAATGATACCAGACCTTCTCATATTTGAAATCAATCAACTAACATTAAAACCTCAGATCCAAATACATTAATTCAATTTATTTAGAAAATTCCTAATTCACAACAGCAGTCGTTTCAGAGGACATTAAAGTTGTGCCCTAAATTTTTTTTTCAGCAGGAAGTACGTTTCTTACAACCTTTACTTTACCAAAGGAGCATTTCATTAGCCTAAAAATAAAGAGCAATTTTGTATTCGAGCCAGCATTTTAAGAGACAAAGAAGGGTGTGTGGTGTTAAGTGAAATGGCCGTGGGCGTACGTTGTTGTTGTTGCTCTGCTTTTCCGCTGGCTCGTCGGGGCCCTCCGGACGGCTGGGGTTGCGGGTTGGCTGGATGCAGACCACGTTACTGTCCCAGGAGGGAGGTCCCATCGGGGGCAGTCTGAGGAGCTGGTCATCGGTGAACGACTCATCTGCTTCATCTAAAAAAAACGGTAAGATTCACAACATTTACAAGAAGCTCTGGAGTCATTTCTCTGCCTGCTATGACCTCACCACTTCCCTACACGTACGTTTGGACTTTTAAGTTATGTTTGTTCTGATTATTAAAATCTAATGTTTGGCCTTTTGTCACACTTTTGTGCCCTTTAGTGTGAACAAGCAACAGTTGTATGCGCCGTAGTGGAGAGCAAATGCAAACAACAATGGCGGCGGGTCAACTACTCCCGCTGTATGCTTCGAGGGCTACACAGAGGAGAATTCTACTCCTTTGTTCGTCAAAATGAACCATTTTTGCAGCTACTGTTAAATGCAGAATGATGTTGGTGCATTCTTTCACGTCTTTGCGATGGCCTGAGGAGGATGTTGATGAAGAAGTGGTTATACTGCTGGGGGTCGCGCGTGTCGCGTTGTAAAGTTACACTGCTCACTACTGGCCGGGCCCGAGAACAATATCATTCGGTTGTCGTTTAGACGCTGTGCACTTCGAATAAAGGAGCCTGGTTGTTTTTGCAGCGCCTCCGTCTAAACGGGTCTAAAGCCCTGAAGAAGCTTCCTAGTTGGTAGAGAAAGGATGGCTTCTAAACAAAGAAAGTCCCGCTGTATCTCGTTTTATCTTTTACCATATTACTTGTCGGAATGTCTCAAAATCTTCACCATTTAGAAAAAAACATGTTAACATTTTGTTTTACCATTTTTTTGAAACTAGAATTTTCCTTTGCATCGATTTAAGATTACCCAAATAAATGTTTGCAAGTTCAATAACAATACACTCAATATTGGGTACATTTACTGTTGTGCAGCCATTAAACTTAAATTTTACAATCAGAATTGGTTCATTTAAAACAATCTGCAGAACCCAAAGCCTCACGCTTCATGATGAGTTTATATGAGCTTTAGTGTTTAGCTTAACTTAGTTCCAGGTATGGAGCTTCTGGCACAAGCATGTAGCTCCACCCCTTCTGTCTATTCAATCCAAATCAATTCAATGTATTCTTGTAAAGCTCTCAGAGGACAAAACCATTGAATTCGCCAACACAGATGAGAGAATCAAAGTGAGTTAAAACACAAGAAATAAGAAAACACATTGGTATTGGTCCATAAGGAGCAGATGACCAATGTCCATAAGCCTTGATAAATGTCTAAAATAAAATAAAAAGGTGGAAGTGAATATTCTTAGAAAGGTCACATCTGTTATTGGTTAACATGTTTTTTCATTTGAAGCAACTGTAAAAATTACACACAGTACCTTTAAGTCTGTTTTGGACTGAATTGACACACTGAAACACAAATCATGTTTAGTTCTTGCCTTTATTAGGGTCTGAGATGGAGTAGGGGTTCCCAAACTGCAGCTTGCTGGGGCTCTGTGACACCAGCAGAGGCGTGGGTGCGTCCTGGACATAAGGAACGGGGAACTGCAGGAACAAAGGCATTCCGGACTGCACGTTCTCCACGTTACACTTGTCTCCAGCCACCTGATCCGGCCTTTTGGAGCTGCTGCTTTTATCCTGGGGAAACAAATGTACACTTTAAAATGCCGTAGGTTTACTGTGAAAAAGTCTCTATAGTCTTCTTAGTCTTAGTCTATCATCTTAGTCTTCTTTCAACACCGCAAAAACTGGAGCAATATTATATTCAGGAAGAGGAAGATTAAAAGTGAAAACAGGAAATCCAAATGGTTTTAGAGCCAGGAACTACATGAATTTGGTCCTAGTTTTTTTGTTTCTTGTCGTTTTAAGTTAGGTACCCCCAGCCCAAGTCCTTTAATTCTCCTGAAATGAAAAAATACAGCTTGTAAAAACCTTTTGTAGTCTGCCAATTTGATTCTGACAGATTTTGGGAATTTATAAAAATCTTCTCGACATTGATTGGGAACAAGTCATGACCCAGATTAAAAATATACAAAACCTTATTAAGAGGTTCTGGAAGTTTCTAATCAAGTGTTTCTCAAAGTGGGGTTCGTGAGACAATACGCAGGAGAAGCACATCATGATAATAAGATACAATAATTGAATCCATGCGTTTGTATTTGTACAAAATATTAGCCAAAAGACAATGATTTGATGATGGATCAAATAACACAACTCTATATTAATTTATTCTTACATTAACATACTTTGTGTTAAAATCATAAAGTAAATAGTAATTACAAATCGAGTAAGAGATAACCTGTACATTTCAAGCATTCCCTTGATTAATTGTTCACATTAAAGCTGGGATACCTGACTCTTTTGCTAGATAAATTATACAACAGAAAGTCTTGGAAAAGTTTAATGTTTTTGAATAAATCATAAAAAATACATGCATGTGAAAACTGTTAGATCCAAACAGCCAGGACCTAGTTACATGGATTTCCAGAGTTCCATTTCTTGTGGTTTGAAACTTACATACCGCAGCTTTAATGGCCATTTTGATACAGAATGTCCAAAAACTACGAGTGACAGAAATTCTACAGTTATAGCCTACATATGGTCAAAATTTCCGTTACGATCCAAATCATGTTGTCCGTCCTCGAGTGGGCATTTGCTTTTCATAAATACAAGTTGTTGGAAATAGTTAGCCCACAACTGCTACTTTCATCCGACAACAGCCCTGAAGCACGCAGCTTAATTAACACCAAGACGGCTCCTTTTCAAAGAGAGCGAAGTGTTGTGTTTAAGTGATGTAAACTGCAGACGCCAATTTAATTTGCAGTCTGAACCTCAAATTGAGTCATTCTGCTCCTCTTAGCTGAACCAGTATTACCTCCAAGGAACGTTTTAGCTCCCAAAAAAAACCCTGAGTGTGGTTCAAAGTAATGCGATGGAAAAACAGCACTCATTTACTTTGCGTCTTCAATTAAGGGCGCACTAAATAAGCCAAGAGTGGTAGCTGTAAGAATGGCCCAGAATTGCATTTTTTTTGTGTGTGAGTGAAGTCTATAAAAGCAGAAAATGAAAGCTGTCACAAACCCCCTCCGGTTTTTCCTTCGCTCTCACAACAAGGGCGAGTGTATCTTTGAGTTCCTTCAGCTCGCGCCCTTTCTCTGCAACTTGACTCTGAAAAAAGAAGAAATAATGCATACGTTCAGGTCTTGTTCAACTGCATTTGTTAAAAATACATTTGTAACCATCAGGTTTAGTATCGCCCTCTTTTAGTCATGTCGACCGAGTTTGCTTTGGTCGACTACATCTCTAGACATTTCCGATCCATAGACTACTTTTAAATAGGGACAACCAAAAACGTTTTAGATTCTAGGACCCTGTGCTGAAAGACATTATGAAAAAGCTATCAGTTAAGTTGTTGTTTCAAACTGTTCAATTTAGCTCAAGTTTGCTTCAAGTTGGCCAGAGCCACCCGCCTGTGAGCAGCCTCTCAGTCTGCACAGTCGAGTCCTCGTTCTACAGTCTGAGCCCTGTTGATCCAGGAAGAGCGGATCTCTTCCTCAATGAGGGCCTCACTGAGGTTTCTCACTTTGATCCCACTGGGTTTTGTTCCCAGTTGTTCCTTTCGTAAGGACAGTAATGATCCAGGACATTTAAGGACATTTATTAACAGTTATGAATGGTCATCCCGCATTTCAACAGTTTAATTCTCTGATCTGTTGTTGGTAAATAGACCCCCAGTATTTTGTGAAGTCCTCGAAGACAACAGCTGTTGGGATTTTGGCCTATTGAAAAATAAATTGAAGATTTGAATCAATCTTTAATCGCACTTAAAATAATGCAAAAAGAAACAACAAATATTTTATAGTTATGTCCAAGCTAAGTCCCACGAGCAAAATGCAGCCTACCGTGTGATTGTATTTGCCGTCTGTCAACACAAAGTAGCCATCCAGCCAACTTCAGCTCCACCCATACAGTCATGATGTAACTCATAAAGCACAGAACCTTTGGAATCCAGTCACTAACTTTATTTGTTTAAAATTACATTTGTTATTAATTGTGTCATAAAATTGCATATACAGTGGTCCATCGTTTATTACGGGGGTTACGGACTAAATATAAAAAGCAATAAGCAAAATCCTTGAACTCATTGACGGCTGAAGTGGGATCGCGGGGATATCAAACCTGTTCATTGTAGATCCAAGCCCCGTCTGAGCGCTGACCCCAAAAAATAATGCAAACATTTGCAAATTGGGTCTGAAGAACAAGTTTCTGTTCAAAGACTACATAAAAAACGAGTCAAAGAGAATTCCCATTTTAAAGACAGCTAAATATGCTTAACTGCTTAACCACTGAGAGAATTCCATGCATTTCAAAACGTTTGCAAACGTTCTAAACAGAGTTTGGTTCAGACGTGTGATGCATTTTATGGTTGCTCTTTCTCTGGAGCAGCACTTTGGAAACTGTTTTTGAAATGTGCCAGATGAATAGAGTGGATTGGATTAATACATAATCATACAAGATAGTCTATTGAGGAAATTGTACGTCTCGCAGCTCAAAAAAACCTCAAGAAATATCAAAAAGGGTTATTTTTAGTTAATTCAAAAGAAAGATAACATGTTTTAATTTCTACCAGACCCAAAACAAATATCCGTCTGATCTGAGCCAAGAGGAGCATTAGCCAAGCAACTAGAGACAATTCCCTAGAGCCAAAGCATGCTTCTTTCCGCACTCCGGCATAAACAGCCGTAAAAAGTCATCCCCAGATAGTTCTGACTATAAACAAGAGAGAGACTGGAGCTTGATCCCAGAGCTGAGAGCTAAGGCAGTCTGAAGGCCTGCTCTGCCTTGCACCTACACGCAGCACTGAGGTTCATGAGGCACGTCTTTCCTTCTACTACACTTTTAATATCATGGAGTAAAAAAAAACAAAAGTGCAAAAATTGACCTGTGAGGGGTATGGACTTACTGTATGTTAGAAGATAGACTTCATTGATCTCAAACAGCAGGAATTTACAGTAATTTATAATGGTTTAAAGCTGTCATACCCATCTTTTATTTGCCTAAATATTACATGTTTTTTGTCCTAACAAAAGGGTATTGTAAAAGTAAAACGTGTGAACAAATAGAGTCTACAAGTATGCAAAAAGGCTATCTCATGAGTATAGCAAAGACAGATAAGGGATATCTATGAAGCCATGTTTTGTAATAAGGGCAGCGTATCGGGATATCATTATGAACACAGTTTAGAGCAGGCATGTCCAAACTAAGCCTGCTTTGTGATTTACATAGTATGCAAACAAAATATCTTTTGCATACTTGTAAGAAAGAGCCCAGGGAGTCACTATTGAAGCTGAGAGCTGATTGGCTGAGTGAGGGTGAGGATGACTCTCTCTTTTTTATGTTTCTGTCTGAGAAAAAGCGGGTTTCAGAGGAACTATAGTTAGATAGGTTTTTGTCACAAAGATCCATGATTTGTGGTTTGAAAGTTTTTGGTACCCCAGCTTTAAAAGGTGAGGAACTAGTTTCACAACATAACTAATGAAGTGGCTTAAGTCTTACAATGTTATTGCTTTGAGCCCAGGAAAAGGGGTGATTTGTTATTTAAAAAGACATAACAGAACATTACATAATTCCTCGTTAAAAGCCTAAGAATCCCTTCCATCAGGAGTAATTCTACCTGCGAAGAATCAAGAGTAAAGCATTTTTTATTCAGGAAGTCCCTTCATTAAAGGAGACATCATGCAGATTTTATCCATTGTTCCCTCATAAAAACAGATGTGGAGTTGTTTTTTGATCCATCCACGCTAATATCAGGAACTTATGGCACAAATATGTAACTCTGCTCCTTCTGTCTAAAAGCTGCCATCTCAAGGTGTTGCCCCTAAGTAAGTAAGTAAGTAATGTTTATTTATATACCGCCTTTCACAGACCAGAGTCACAAAGCGGTTTACAATTGTTATTATTTTTGGGCACTTGTCCTCTCACTCCACACAGAGATGGGAGCGGGGTCGCCGAACAGGAGGCGCATGCCAGACCTATTGTACATATTTTTAGTGGTAGGGGAAACCGGAGTACCCGGAGGAAACCTACGCAGACACGGGGAGAACATGCAAACTCCACTCAGAAAGGCCCTGGTCCGACCGGGATTCGAACCCAGGACCTTCTTGCTGAGAGACGAGAGTGCTATCCACTCTGCCACCGTGCCGCCGTGCTAAAGTAGTTTTGGTAATTTCTCAAGTGAAATTACGTTCTTTACAATCACATGGTTGTGTTTGCAGCCGGTCGTTTTCAAATTTTGAACAAAACTAAACAAATTCATCTCCTCCCTCAGGTGGTAGCATAGGGAGTTACAGGCAGCGAGCATCATTTACACTTCAGACTTGTTTTAGAATATTTTTTCTACTGAAGATATTTGAAGTAAATTTTGAATGACCAAAATAATGCATTATATTTTTTCTTTAATACCTAAAATGCAGTCACCAAAATTACACGGAAAGTTATTTGAATGGAATATAAATTATTGTCCAAATAAGTGAGATCTCCCCCATTTAAAATCCTGCGTACAGCCCTCCCTACGCGAGAGCTTTGCTGTAAACGTCAAGTAAATGCACCTTGTATCGGTCCTCCTCCGCGGCCAAATGGAACTTCATGTTTTCATTGATCTTGACTTGTTCCTTTAACTTAACCTCCATCTTCGTCAGCTCGTCAGCGTACATGCAGCTGCGCTCTTTCTCCTCCTACATGTGAATAAACATGAGAATTATAGGGTTCTGTCTGTTCTGGCTTGTTCAACAATATTGTAGTTTTGTTCCTCCATAGGGCATGGAAGGGAAACATGTGTTTGTAACGGCTAATTCTAAGTGGAAGGAAGGTCAACTTTGATTTAGGATAGCTTCAGAAATTATCTTTATCTAATTCAACTTTGATAGTCAGATTAACAAATATCTAGTTCATAGAGTTGGGCTTAGATCGGCCTTAGATCTCACGTAGTGGCCATATAATTTGTTAGCGCTGACGAGCTGTCTCAACAACATGAATAAATATTTATATGAACACTTATGTGAGAAGAGGACAGTGCAGAAAACATGACCATCACTTGCCTGGAAAATCCTGAATGATAAACGATATATTCTATGGACAGATCAGTAAAATATGCAGAGTAGTATCAGAGGGGAGCTCCAGCTTTGGTCATTAATAAGACCATTTCGAGGCTTTTGAAAAAAATGTCCTTTAGGGAACGTTGGATGCCATCGTCAGAGCGTAGAGGTGCATACAACAGAGTGACGTGTAAATCAGAGATGCTAACGCTGTCTGTATACTTTTATTATTCGTGTCTTTTTAATGCATCTCGATTAACTGAATGATTGGACTGCTTTTCTGTATTTCAATGTTGATTACTGATTCACACGTATTGATGGTTGTGGTTATCGTATATGGGCGGTATGATCACTGCAAAGAGGTCCGCGGTTCGATTCCACCTGAAGACAGGGATGCTCTGTGTGGTGTTTGCCCCCACTAAAAACATGTACAATAGGTATGAAAGCAGTGAGAGTGCATGGATGGTGATGAGGCTTTGATGTGTCAGAGTGAATGGGAAATGGATACAACAAAATAACAAAGCGCTTTGTGTGACCTTGGTCTGTGAAATGCACTCTATAAATGAAGATCAATCACTTACAATGTAACAGACACCAAAAGCCTGTTATTCACTAATGTAGTTAAATGTACTAATTAACTGTTCTTGTTTAATGGTATCACTTTTAGGTAGACCATTTCTATCAGTCCAGGGACATTATTTTAATTTTCAATGCCTTTTCCAGGTTTTCCAGGACTGTACAAACCCTTTATATCAGGGACTACAGACGGAAAGTAACATGAGCTAAATCTGGTGCAAATCATCTCTACTTTGTCTCTAAGAACAATGGTTTTGTAGATTGTCCCTTTTGCATAAACAATACATTAAACTAATTGAAATGGGAAATTGGATGCCACCATCTCTCAAATACAACGCTTTTAGGATCCAATATCATTATGGACTTTCCAGGCAATGACTGCACTGCTCTCTTATCCACTTTGTAGTGAATTTAAATTAAAAATATATGGGGAAAATGGTTAAAAAAATGAGCCCAATATGATTTTTTTTTAAATTTGATATTAATTTCAGTCATCCTCCATCTCCTGTAGTTTGTTTTCTCTGTTTCACATCATTCTGGCTCCTAAAGCGTGAATCTGCCACAAGTATCTATGGATTCCCAATGATCAAATGAAAACAAAAGCGCAGTTTTCTAGTCCAGGAGAACCATACATACCATACACAATAAAAACACAGTAGATACAAATGTTAAAGTTAAAGCTTACCATCAACATTTGCTTGCATTTCCTATACTTGTCATTGCGATCAGACGCCTCTCTGCTGATCCCCTTCAGTTTCTCTTGGATGATTGCCTCCAGCATGGGGTCAGCTGAACCAGGGCTGCCTGTAAACACAATTGAATTAACCAATAAGAAGCTCTTCATAAGGTAGGCCTCCATCATGTCGTACCTGGGACAGAAGAGTCTGGGCTCACTGTGGGAAGAATTGCTGCTGCTTCTTGTGCTGAGATTTTCTTTGGCTCCTGCAGATTCAAAAAGGCACATTATTTGTACTGTAAATTCTACACTTACACCAGCTATTGACAGTTTTAATGGGGATGTCACTTTGAATGTGTTTGTTATGATTAGGGTTAGCTCTACACAGCTTTCACCATCCTCTGTTTGTGCTGCTTTTAACTTTGTATTTTATCTGTAAATACAAAATGTAGTCCGTTACTTGTAATGTAAGGCGACTTCGGGTGTCAAGAAAGGCACCTAAGAAATAATAATAATACATTGCTTATTATTAGTATGAGTATTGTTATTATTGATATTATTATTAGTAGTACTATTATTATTAGCATTGGTATTATTGTTGGTTCAAATAGTTTTATGACGGCATTTCTCAAACTTTCGATGTCAAATACTAACTAAAAGCAATGCTGTTCGAGTACAACCAGATCATAAACAGGTCTGAGCAGGACTCTCCCAGGTCTAAACAAGTAGATCTATAAATGGAATCAACAGAGGACCCAGCGTACCACTGAACCTCACTAAATCTAAACTCTCACATTATGTTGTAATTTTGTCAATAGTATGAAAATATCTGAACTGAAAAGAGTTTAATAGGTAACTTCAGGAACTTATTTCTACCAAAGTGTAAATTTTTTTGAAAGAATCTCGTTTTGGTGTAGAAAATTAGGAGATTCTTTATTTGTTCCACAGAGGGGAAATTTCAGTGTTGCATCACCGGTGACAGAACAGTAGGAATGAGGTGCACACAGAAAAAGATAGGTGAACTGTCTCTCTATACTAAAACAAAATAAAATCTCCAACTTTAGACTAATGAAGAAGCAAGAATAAAGTACAAATCTCTGACTTTACCATGATAAAGAAGTAAGTGAATGAGTTAAAGTTATATTTTACTGTGATTCCATAAGTTTCAGGGGGATAAACATGAGAACCTTTCCTATAGTGAATAAGTCGTGCCTTCCCTGACTCTTGTGGAAAATAAAAGTCCTTAAAATGTTGCATGAATCTGGAGAGTGTACTGTGCACACACCCCTTGCTGGTCTGAAAGCCGGAGCACTTGTTTCTGCAGTCTTTGGCACTCCTTGTATTTCTCTTTGTAGTGCTCGGCGGCCATGTGCAGGCGAAGCTTCAGATCCTCCACTTCTCTCTGCAGCTCGGCCAAAATGGCTGGATCCGCGGTGTCCTCGTCTGCTTTGGACTACAACAAAAAGATGAAAATCAGTGCCATGTCTTAGAGGTTCTCTCATTTATAGAGCATTTACTCTTTATCTGGGATTCATTCATAACAATTCACATTCGTAATAATGTAGTTTGAGTTTAGTACGCTGGAAAAATAATCAATGCGGGGCACATACCGGTGCGACTATTAGGCAGTAAGAATTAGAAGGCTTTTTTTACATGTGTTGAAGAGGGGGGACTAGTGTTGACTTTGTGTCAAATTTCCATGTTGTGCTGAGGGGATGAAGTTAAAGTAAATAAATTTTTTTAAATTGTGTAAAACACATTAATTTAATGTAATTAATTTAAAAAACTGTTCATTTTATAGTGCGTTTAGAAGCTGCAAACATTAACATTTCAGCAAGAGTTAGCCACATTAGCTTCTTCTTTCTACCAGTAAAAATTACTTTAATTTGTGTACAAGTGTGAAATCTTCCTCACCGCCTTGATCTCCACTTTGAGCTGCTCCACCAGACGCTCCAGACAGACACATTTGGCCTGGACCTCGGTCTTGGCCTGACGGAGAGTGTCCACCTCCACCTTTAAGTGGTACAGTTCAGACATGGTGCGGTCACGGGCACTTGAGGCATCTCTCAACTCGGCTGCCAGCAGAGTGGACTGCTGCTGATTGGCCAAAAGCTGGTCTTCTTTCTGCCGCAGCTGCTCCTTCAATGCTTTCACGTCACTCTATTTAAAAAAAAAAAAAAAAACACATGTAAATGGTCAAATAAGAAATCACCAGCATCAGCCTAACACAGCTCTCTAGATCAGGCATGTCATTTAGGCATATAGGCATGCTATACCTTGTCCCTGCTAACGGAAAAAACCCAACAACTCTAAATACACCACAGATGAAGAGGAGAGGTTGAATTTTCTTCTGATTTGACTCAATTGAGGCAAGAGATTTTGCATCGACGGCCTATTCAAACAGATTTCAAGAACTCTGTTTGAAGTACAGAGTTCTATATTTTTTTCAGGACAGCATGATAAGCATGGATCCTGCTGTAAACATCACATTTCAGGTCAGTTCAGTAGGTAGAATGAACACAGAGCTGCAGCAGTGATTTCATCATATTGAAAAAGTTCTGTATTTGGGGTAAAAGAATAAAAAAAAGTATAAAGGCGCTTAAAGTGTCTCCACTCTGGGGCCAAGTTTTGAAAACTGTTGTATACAATAGACAGACTCACAAGCTCCATGTGGAGTAAATCTGAATTAGACAACATTGTTTTTCTGATACGAGAGTTGTTTGCATTATAATAATAATCATAATTTCCTTCATACCAGTGGCTGTACTTTGGCCAGGACCTCCCTGTGCTGCTTCTCCTTGTCAGCAAGACACGCCTGAAGCCGCCCCACTTCCTCTTTGAACTGAGCGATGGTGTTTTCCTTGTTCACATCCACAGACTTCAACATCTGCAGCTCTGCACTCAGCTTGGTGTTCTCCAACTCGCGATTCTTTAGGTGAATCTATTTTACACAATTGCAAAGTCAAGGAATGGAAACTGAATGTAAATAACAATAGTGCATAACACACACAGTAAAGTCCTCTTAAAAAGGAACGTAACATGCAACACAGACATTTAGAAAAACGAACATTGTGGAGAGTAGGAATTGTACCTTGTAGAGTTCCTTTTCATCCCTTTCATTCTTGAGATGTGACTCCAGAGCATCCAGTCCAGATGTGAGCTTCTTGACTCTGTCTCTGAGACTAAGGACGTATCAAACATTTCTGATTATCATCACTATCATAATGATAAACTTCCATTTTGATCCCAGAGTGCATTACCTGTCCAGTTCTGTTTCCTTCTGCAGTCCTTTTTGTGTGACACCAATCAGATCTTCCTCCAGCTGGATGACTCTGGAAGTGGCCTCTGTGAGTCTCGTCTTCATTTCCTCTTTCTCTTCATGCAGCGCCTGTGAAGAGTTCTGGATGTCCTTCAACGGAATGAGCAAAAGCAGACGGACACAAGTTAGTCGTGCAAAATGAAAAATACCAAGTGAATTCCTTTCATTTTAACTGTCACTTCATCTTGAAAATAAGAAGTTGCATCTGTTAAAAGGACATTGACCAGGTCTTTTGGGTATTGACAACCAACGTATATCGCAATGATGGAAGTGGGTGTGTGGGATAAGGGAAGGATTGGTCTGTGTAATGAACCAAATATTTTGGCTAAAAATTATCTTTCCAAATCTTCCCATATACCAATGAATACATGTACAAGTACACTCACACTGTCTCAGCCTCTGTCTCTGACACTCGTTTTTTTTCCACTGGGTTTTGTGAGATGTTCCTTGTCAATGCTAGAGTGTCAAAGGACAGTGATGGTCCAGGACATTTATGGACATTTGGAAATATTTATGGACATTAGTCATCCAGCTCCCCAACACCAATGGCTCCTATATGTTTGTTAATACTGTATTTCCTGTCTTTGATCTTCTGATCTATTGTTGACGACTAGAGAACTTTGTAAAGTCCTCTCTGAGACGACTGCTGTTGTGATTAAGGGCTATACAAACATAAATAAACAATAATTACCTTTTTTACTAAATGTAAATCTCAGAGATTATAAAAGCGACAAAATACTGCATTTTGGGGGTGTTCTGCACTTCTTAATGGAGGTCAGCGCTCTATGAGTTCACAGTGGTTTTAAGTTTGAATATTGTAAAGAAGCGACATTCACATTTTGCTGTCAACCATGTGTAGCCTGCCTCAAACTACTAATGCTGTTTTTAATATAATCTTCATTCTATTCTGTTTAGCCCTTTTAAGCGGCACGTAGCCACTAGGAGGTGCTGACATGCTGCTTTCATATACAAAGTTTGCATGGAGAGCTGGAAATGTGTATTGCTGGTGCATATGTTCAGTGGTGGGCCGTCCTCACCTGGTTCTCCCGCTTGAGTTGTGCGTGGCGCTCTTTCTCCAGCTCACACTCTTTGAGCAGCGCCTCCTTCTCCACCTCCAGCTGCTCCCTCTGGTTCTGCAGCAAGCTCATGTTTTTCACCAGCTCCTCCTTTTCTCTCTGCACCTCCTCCATCTTTTGCTACACAATAAGGGGTTAAAATAGGTATAAATCAAGTAAAATATAATGGTTTGTTATTGAATGTCTTCAACCAATCCAATTAATTTTTATTACTTGGATTAAAGCACAATTTATAAACAACAAAAATGACTTGACTTGAAACAATTAGTCATCTAATAAAATGAACCATAAACTAATTTTGCTTGTAGTAATTATTAACAGGACTATACAGATCCAACATGAAAACAGACTTTAATGATAAACAGTGGAAAAAGGTAGAAAGCAGAACAAACAAGAGAAATAATTGTTGACGACTTATCAAGAATGCCAAATGAAGTAAAAATTGGGAAAGCATAAAAAAGTATGATTTCCTTTCGGTCGAATGACAACTGCTTTTTTGTTTTTTAAATGTAAAAACGTGATAATTTTTGTAATAATTAATATTGATTTAATTATCTACTTTTTTTAGATTTAAAACCTTGGTACCTAACTGTTTTGGTTTATAAGTAATGTAAATCCCAACAGACAAAACTGTCTGTCATCTTTATCTCATTAGGAAAAAATGTAAGAGCCTGTCACTATTTAGTCGCTTTGGGCAAAGAGAGCTGACTGGTTGAGTGAGTTTGACAAGCTGAAAGCCACACCGTACATGCATGTACTGGAAAGAAGGACATAGGCACGAGTTGTATGCATTTCATTATATAGATGCACCTTTTGTTGTTTGAAAATTAGATTTCCCCAGCTTTTTTCCGGCACATCCTGCAAACCTCTATTCCACTGGTGGGTGTGTATATTTTAGTTACATAATAAACAATCATTTTCAGTACAGTTTTGCTTGATGTCATAATCCACAATCTTCCTACTTTTTATATGAAATTGTTTTTGTTGTTGATTATGCTTATTGTTGACTAAATGATTAAAATATATATATCTATAATTTAAACAGAAAGCAACACTGTAAAACAAAGTATCTATAACTTTAGTGAAGTCGTCCAACCTTTGATATGTACTGTAGTCATACTGATGCTGAGTGAGTGTGTACCTCCAGGAAGCCGGCCTTTGTGGTGACGACCAGGATGTCCGAATTACATTCATCCTCTACCGTGAGCAGCTCCTCCTCCGTGGGGCTGCTGGCACGGAACAGGAACGGAGTGCTGGCCCCCCGGATCTCACCTTCAACATTTATAAATTAATGTAAATAATGCCCATACATTACAACAACGCACAAACCATTCTTATGAAAGGACAATAATGGCGTGTGCTTTTAGCCAGAACAATAACAAGTGAATCGTACCTTTGTGCGTCACGTAACAGAACTGGTAAAACTCGCCGTCGTCGTTGGGCACATAATATCCTGCAAGGAAGTAACAATGGCTTTCAATAATCTATTACAGAAATATACAAGAGACAAACAGCTAATTCTATGTTTTAATAAATATTGCAAATTAGAAACGTATTGTAGTACTAAATGAAAGACTGCCCTTCTTTCAGTAAACGGTATGTATAATACTCAATTCCATTTCAGAGTTTAATATTTAAAACATAACTCAAAACGTTATGTGCGGATTTTCAAGAAACCTCAAAAAGGGACAAAGAATAAATAATCTAAATTGAAGATGATGATCCAGATTTCTTTAACAAATGGAAACAATGATGGAGGTCTGCGATTTTGAGGGCTTTAGCCTCTTATAAGTCTTCAATTGGCTGACAAAATAATTACATATAATGGGGAAAATACAGAAAGTCCACCTGACTGTAACAAAATTAACTTTTGCTTAACATTAGCATAAGGAAAACAAGTTTTGACGCCGAATAAAAATGAAAAGTAAATCTCTGGTCCCTGATATATTAATTCATGCTCTTGAGCCACTTCTCAGTATATGAGGAGAAATAAAAATCCAGCTCAAAATGTCATAAACACCGACATAAAATAAAACGCGGACGATTTTTATTTGATTTCTTCCTCCCCCGATGCCGTATAAAAAGTTTAACAAGCCTCCGAGTGATCCTCCGACATGCGGTTAATAGAAGGTGTCAAAGTTAAATAAAGTATATATGATGTTACCCTGGAAGACCACGGTTCTGTTAACTGCGGTGCCTTCCACATAGTTCTCCGGCAGCGGCGACCACAAGAATGTGTAATAGTCCCTCGCGGTGCTCCAGCCGACCTGCGAGAGACAGACAAGTGTTGAAACCAAGAAAGATTCATAATATCTGACAAATATCTTTTTCTTTTGATTTCAGGGTCTGAGTGAGTGGAAGCAGCTGCCACACATTTTTTTCTAAACAATTTTTCACTTTTAACTCTGATCAAGAGATTGTTATTACTGCAGTAAATGTATGAAGACAACATTTATTGCAACATTTAAAGGTTATTAGAATTAATGATTGAGCTAAATAATTGTGGTTCATTTTCGTCTTTACAATGAAGAAGCTGAATCTGCTTCTTATCCTGTGAATCTTGTGTTTGATTGAGAGAAACATGTGTATGGACCACACAACATGTGCTGTACAGTAGTCATTATCTTCTCGAGATTTCAAATGTAGATTTACTAGATTTACCAGAGAGCAGTGTCATGCTAGCCTGGTCTTACCACACCATCGTACTAATTTCATTCCGTACATGTAGGGAAATAATCATTGACCAGAGTTTATGATTGGCTAAGGCCAGGCTAGTGTCAAGATTAAAACTATTATATAAAGTACAATTTCAAAATAGATTTCTATACAATATTTGATACTCGATATCCATTGTAAAACCAAAGCCATTATTTAAAAATACTTTTTAGACAATAAACTGTAATTGTTTTGGCTCAACACAAAGCTCAAAGCTGATTTTTTTAATAAGAAGTCAGCAAATATTGTGTTTGAATGAATTGAAATATCCTACTTCTACTCCGTTAATATTTATAGAGTTTTTTTCATCTCAAAAGATATAAAAATGGAGATGACTGAAGGCTTTGTAAATGTAGTATTCTCTTAATCAAAATCAAGAGAGAGTAATTTTGATAAATGTGATTATCTGTATGTTTATGTGCGTTTATGTTAATTAGAAAAATGAAAACAGATTATCTGTCTGGTCATGATTAAAACAGTACGTAATAATTCATTTCTATGGCCAGTCTTTTTCTTACCATTTTTAAAACCTGTCTCTTGTTTTTGTGTGCAGCATTATCATGTCCTGCTTTCCTTGAACTGTACATATACATAAAGTGTATCCCTTTAAATCGTTCCCTTCATTTATTTAAAACTTGCAAACAAAAAGACTCCCCCGTCCGCTGTTGTGGTTCTTCAACATGTCAGAATGAGGAAACTGCGCTACAACTCATGTTTTACAGCAAGAGCAAAATAGGTGAAAATTTTATACATTGGCAACTTGAAAATGAAAACCGAAATGTAATTATATGTATTTTATGTCTTGTTAACTGACGGCTGAAGACGGGGGGAGTGCAAAAAATACATCCATAACTCTGGACTGGTGCCATAAAAGTGTCAAACTAAATCAAAGTCGACTTGTGCTGCCTGCTTTTCAGAGCACAAGCAAAACACACACGCAACACGCCCCGTCCGCCAGCTGCAAGGACCGCGCACAGGCAGCACGACGGACTGCTCTACTGCATTGACTTAGTGATTGATTGGCGTCTTGTTTTTGTTTTGAATGAAATGAAAAGTGAAATATAAAGTATATCCTACTGACATTATTTCAACTGCTCGCTGCTCGTTTGTAATGGTTCAAGATCTGAAGACTTGAATTCCTTCGAGACGAGCTCAGAGCTGAGACAAGCTTCTTGACATAGCATCAATTGTGCATATAGGCAATGCTATGAAAAACAAGCAACCAAAAAAATATAATAATTACAGAGTACAAGTTAAACCAAATCTATTAAAAAATCAGAACTGTTTGATTTTTGCAGTCAGCAAATCATAAGGAAGACAATGTACCACAAGATAAAGGTATACAAGATATTTTGTTTGTCCCTATTCTTGTGTGTATAGAATTAAACAATATCTGAACTCTGAATATTGTAAAGCATTTTGGGTGACCTTGGTCTGTAAAAATGCGCTATATAAATAAAGTTCTTAATAACTTACTAGTAAGAGTCAGACCACAACATTTGGAGTTTCATAGATAACATGTAATCTAGGGACTGCAGATACAGCTGATTTTGAAGTCTTGTGAGACATATATTGTGTGAAAATCAATGGCTTGCAAAAATTGAACTTTTGTACTATTTAAGATTAAGAAGATCCTTAATCCGTCCCACAGCGGGGAAATTGCAGTGTTGCATCACAAGTTACAGAAAAGTAGGAATGAGGAGCACACAGCACAAGATAAATGAACAATACCTATACTAATTAAAATAAAATAATATCTCTAACTCTAGCATCAAAGACACAAGTAAAAAATCTCTATCTTTAACATAAAAGAAGTATAAATGTCATGTTCACAGTCACAAAGACAAAACACATTAAAGTAACAAACTGTGTAATGAAGCAAATAGCTAAATGTAGAAAGGCCCCTTCAAAATCCAAACCTTAATTCAATTGAAAATGTGTGGAGACCTGAAAACTGCTGTTCAAAAACACTCTCCAACTAATCTGACAGTGGTTTTGTGAAGATGAAAGGTCAAAACTTTCAGTCTGTAGATGTAAAAGGCTTGTAGAGTCATACTCCTGTCATAGCCAAATAAATGGGTTCTAAATGAGTATTAACTCATGTTGTTTGCATTCTTGTTCAAGCCCCACTTGCCTTTCTTTTGTAAATAACAAAATCATGCATAATTTTGCTATCACTTCAAATATGTCTATAATTATGTTGTGGTCGTTATGAAAACAATAAATCTAATTCAAAATCTTTATGTTTGCGGTTGTAAACATGACACAATGTGCAAAGTTAAATCTTGCAAACCACTGTATGTCACACAAGACCAATTTCAACAGCAACCAATTAATTTTATTCTTGTACAGCCCTAAATCATAACAATAGTTATCTTGGAGGTCTTTACAAAACTGTTGAATTCGCCAAAACAGATCAGAGAATCAAACTGTTTAAACACAAGGAATGCAATGATAAAAAAACAGAGCCATTGGTCCATAAGGGGCCGAAGACCAATGTCCATAAATGTTGATAGATGTCGAGTGTCGGATGATCACCACTGTCCTTTAGACCCTCCTTAGTTTTTCGTGCATCGGAAAAACCAACCATACCCGTCCAAAGATACAATATTCTAAGAAACAGAGCATTTTGTCGTCTGACCCGTACCAGAGTCTGCACGCCACTGTAAATTAGTTATTGCTAGATTGTGACAACATTGTATCATGAGCTCTTTGTGAGAGATTCCAAACCCTATTGTGCAATGGAAATGTGGTCAAACTTTTCCACACTAAATTGGGAAAGTTGTGAGTAAAGAGACAACCAGTTGCTGCCCATGAAGTTCCAGCCCAAAGCCGTTAGCCACAGGAAGCAATTAAAACATGTGCCCGGTTAGTAAGTGTCATTAGTGAAGCTCGCGTCCACACTGCACTCGTTAAAGCAGCTGAGGGGGCGTGCATCAGGGGGAGAAGGAGACCCATGTGTTCAGGAGTGCCATTAAGAACTGACAGATCACACACTCTTCTAATGCTACAACTATTTCAACATTCAGCAAAAAAAAAAAGAGACAAAAGTCAGGTTTCTGTAAACGTGTGGGTTTTCAGGTCATTTGACATGTTTTCACTTCAACAAAAGGCAATGAAGAAAGCATCCGCTGCAGTAAGGGCACGGTCACGTTTTTAAACAAGTTCGTATGTAGTCTTTTAGTGGTTCTGGAGTTTTTTGTAGTAGTTTGCATAGGACATAAATGTTTAGCTGAATATAATGTTTTTTATGATACTGAAAAAGTCATGGTTATAAAAAAAAGCTTAGATTATAACTTCATTACCTTCCTTTCAATCAAAATAGTTCATACAGAATGCACCAAAAGTGTTTCACATTGACATTTAAAACCAACAGTCTGTACATTTTAAACACACTGTAAAACAAATATAAAAACTAAAGTATAAAACAATGCTTGATGATATCACAACACCTGATGATTTTTTGTAATACAGTTTTGTTGTTTGTAAGAGTACTGTGATCGAGTGCAAGTAGAAAGATCGCGATAAGAAGCTCCTGACATTTGGATTGTGATCCTTTTTAGAAGTGAAACGCTGCATAGTTGGCTTTGAAGTGGGCCTCTTCCTGTTTATGTATTTACAATTTTCCACATAATGGTTTACAACAATGTAAACAAAGTACATTTCAACAAAGCGGGTTCCAAAACATGCTTCTTATTTTTATAGAAACGTTAATCCTCCATCCCCAGAATGTTACGTACTGTTGCTTTAAACGTGTTCTCCGCTTCAACACGAGTTCTTGGCTCTAAACCATTGATCTGTCACCGCTGTTAGGAGCGTTTACATAATTTACGATAGAACAGGCAGACAGCACATTTCTACACTCAGGACGGTGAATACAGAGGAAACATGAGGCTGCGAGGTGCCACTTCATGCCTCCCCTCAGGCTATAAACGGAGCGGCATGGCGTTCATCCACAACAATGTGCAGTTTGCAAAGCGCCAAGAGCCTTGAGACATGAGCAGTTCCACCTTCAGCTGCCTGACATGACCTTCAGCTGTGAACAAGGTCTATGCTGGATTCACTAGACTAGTTTGATACTTTTATTAGTCTTATTAGTTCACACAATAATATAAAGTATGTATGAGCTCACATCAGGCCCTGGGCTCTATGCGGGGAAGAGACTCCGGGTGGATAGGTTAGCTGAGGCTGGTTTTTGTCTACACAACATCAACAAATAGAACAAGAAATGTGTTTATGAATGAGCCCCTCTGTTGAGTCTGTGTTTACTGTTGGTCACATGTTTTACACTGTCTGGTCTTAAACACAAAAAAACCTGCTTCAATGTCTTCTCTGTGAGAAATATTAAAGTCAGAAAGTGGTTCCATAATACAAACTTAAAGATACAATTGCTTGTCACTTGAAGGACATACAAGATGAATATATATATAATTTTCTCATTTTCTCCCACTGAGTTTTTAGAGTTTTTCTTTGCCAATGCAGGAGGTTCCAAGAACGGTGGTGACGATCCAGGACACTCGAAATTAAACTACATTTATGGAAATTGTCCCTTCTGAACCAAAGGCTCTGTGTGTTTTTTGTTGTTGCATTTCTTGTGTTTGAACTGTTTGATTCTCTGATCTGTGTTGGAAAATTATATAGTTTAGTAAAGTGCTCTGAGATAACTGCTTAGGGCTATAAAAAAATAAATTGAATTGAATTAAAGTAGGTGTGGGATGAGACAGAATTTCCATGAAAATACAAAAAAGAAACTGTAATATTGTGTTCAAACTTAATTTGACTTCTTGATCACAGTTCAACCTGAGAATGGGCCTCAGAAAACACTGAAAACAAGAATCAATGACAGTTTCGTTTCTGTAGCTCCTTATGAGAAAACTTTGAAGCAACACAAAGCTTTAACAAGCCATTATGCGATATAAAAAGTGCACACTCTCCGTTAATAATGCGTGTATGGAATTGGTAACAGATTGCATTTTTAGGTGAAAGACAATATATTACAATAATATTTATATCAAAATACTAAAAACTAGGGCTGGGCGATATGGCTGAAAACTATATCACAATATAAGTAATTCATATCGGTCGATAACGATATATATTGATTGTTTTTTATATATTTTTTAATTTCGTGTCATCTAACACATGTTAGCAGCCTTGTTTACAGTCACGGGGGAATGAGGCTGGAGCCAAATGTTCACAAGCAGTCTCTCCCACTTTAGTCCTGGTTTAATCCTGGTTTAGTCCTGTTTTGGCTGTTTTCGAGTGTCTTGTGTCCCTGTGGCGGCTCCGGAAAGTTAATCTCTTGCTTATGCCGAATGCATTGAGTCTCTGCCTCTCCCGCCGCACATGCTGTTCCTCGCACAGACGTGTTTAACCATTGACACGGCACTGAGACACGATCTTTAGATCCATGGCTATTATAATAGATCCATGATCCATGGACGCTACGCATGGTGCGGTTGTTGTTTTTTTGCTTTTCCCAGAAAGTTTAGCGGTTTATCGCGTGTCTATCGCAATATATATCGTTATCGTTTTATCGGCCAGCCCTACTATAAATATCGCTCTAATTTACAATATTGTGCAGCCGTAGTTTGAATTACCTTGAAGATGCCGACCCAGTCCTTGGGGTGTGGCTTGATGAACTGGGTGAGAGTATAATGACACTCTAGTGCTGCGTGGGGCAGATAACTCTTGCCCACATTCTGGAAAATCACATGGGCAAAGTTTGAGGTGTCCATGTTGTTTCCAATCAAAGGTCTGTCTGAGAACAGGGCCATGGATCATTCAGCAGTAGCTACAAGAGACATGGTTCATAAGTTAGACAAAGAAATTATTATTTTTCAATACACGGAGTAAAGCTGGAGTAACTCATTTTGAAACCACAAAAAGAAACTATAGAACCTATAACAAAAATCTATGTAACTAACGCTAGTCTCCAGCTCTATCAATAGTCTTCAAATACACCTTTTTAGATCAGCGTTTTAACTAAAATAAACAGTACTATCAGCCCTCACTCAACCAATCAGCTCTCAGTGTGTAAGAGTTACAATTAGCTCAACAGATCTTTTTTTTATCTAATAAGATAAACTAAATGTTAGTTAAACAAGACTCTTTCTGCTGTGACAAACATTATGTATTTAATGAGGAAGAAGTGAGTAAGTCGAGCTTTAAATGAACAAAAACCTTCGAACAATTTGGGTAAAACAATTTGATAGCAGGACTTATTGAATCATAGTGTGAATAGTATAAATGGCTATCGCTTTCAAGAAAAAAGTTACGAAGCTGATGTCATTGTTTAGTAACTACTACAACGACATGAGGCCTAACTAAAGTGATCAAGTGTTGTAGCCAAGTTAGCAGTTAGCACAGAGGCTAACAATGTCCACGTTCACAACACTCTAGCTAATGCGCAATGTAACTACAGAAGTGGCTCGTTAAATCTGATTAAAGACCATGCGTATACAAACGCAGTTACAACGGGATTACTGTTGACGTGTTGCTTTAACCAGATAAAACAGTCCGGAAGAGTCAAAGCTAATCTAATCTAATGACAAGGTTAGCAGCGGAGTAAGGCTAGGGTAGGCTTTGTGTCGAGTGTAACCCCTGTCAGAGAAGCACATTGTCTTAAACTTTCGCCTTAAGTAACACATGGATATGAATAAAGTTCAAACATACCAAAATGCCATGTTAAGGTGCCGTCACAATCCAAATGTGTAATAAAACAGTTGTTGACGCAGTTCAGTCTTCTTCCTGTAATAATAACAACATTGCGTCACTTCCTGTAAGGGTGTGTTTTGGGAATCCCACTTTTTTCCACCAAAACTGTACGTTTCGGTTCACACATGATGCAGTTACAGAAGATGTATCATTAGAATGAATAGAACAGATACAAATCTGTAATGGTTCAACGTGTTTGGATGTAACAACATTATCAGTGTGACAAAAGCAACACACAAAAAAGATCATGTGATTTGGGGTGCACAGAGTTGTTGCAAAAGGTGCACCGGACATTTATTTACACTTCATCTAATTTGATTCAGTTTATTTTTGCTTTACCCTAAGCCCCACAGCAGTTGCTTTCAGAGGACCCCACAATGTGGTTGATTCACACACAGCAGATTAGAGATTCAAACCGTTTCAACAAAGGAAATGAAATAATAACAAACATCGCAAGGAACGATAAAAAAAGGGATTGTATGTACTTTCCTTCTCATTATACTGTAGTGACATTAGCGTCTCAAAATTTGAATGCACTCATTTTTGGGAGTGGAGAAGGATGTATTGTTATTCATCTTTGTATGTTCTCTCTCTAAATGTCAGGATGTACGTGTATCTCTTGTATTTATTAATTATTCAAATACATTTTTAAAGTGCTTTCCATTCAAACAGTGTAACATAAACTGCTTTACTGTTCATTAAAAACAAGTCATGCCTATTGACAGCTGCTCAACTAAACAGCACCATCCCAGGAGTCGTCTGGACCAGGAGCAGAGAACCGATCAGGGCCAGCAATAATGTGAGTCTGTTTATTTTACAATAATAAATGAATAAATACATACATTCTTACATACATACACACATACAGACATTCAAGGAATATCTGGACCTGCACATATACAGACAAGATTATTTGTTTGTCATGCTATTCATATAATGTATTTATGTACGTCCCTGAACAATTACTCCCCTGAACTGCACAAAGTAAGACATTTTTTTAACGCAGCCATTCCCAAACTCAGTAACACCGAGGCCCCCTTAAAAATCTGACGGGTCTGCGTGGCCCCCCCAAAATAATAACCAAGAAGACAACATTAAGAATAGGCTCTTCTGGTTATTTTATTTTGGGGAAATAGCCTCTGCTACAAACATTGTAATACAAAAATGATTACAGTGGATTATTCAAGTCAAATAATGAACACAAATATTTTAATATTATAAACAAAACATTATAAATTTAACATTAAATAATTATATTTTATTTTTATTTTTTTTATGACCTCCCGCGGCCCCCCTGCAGTACCCTCGCGGCCCACCAGGGGGCCGCGGACCCCACTTTGGGAGACACTGTTTTAACGTATTTATTTATTTTCTAGAACGGCACCGCCCCTCTCCCTCATTGGCTGGAGCAGAAGGCAGTGCGCTGTGAGACGTGACACGTGATTGGACGATCCGCCTGTCATTTTCATGTCGTCGCCTTGCGTCATGTGTAAGGTCAAGAGAAAGAAGCATGGCCGCTGTGCTAAGAGGCTCTCGATACCTGCTTGGAGGCTGCGCCAAACATGTTACTATGGCATTTGGTAAGATAGTGCGAAACAAGTATAATTCAAGTGAAATGCATGTACTTTGTGTTAAGGTTAGTGATAAGTTCACACCGTCGCAGTAACATACATTTGCTGGCTACTCTCTCAAGAGAAGTTTGGGATGATGGTTGTCTAGTTTTTTCTCAATGTGCCTTATTTTTAGCTGATTATAGTTCCTACCTGTATAATACTTAAGGTATAATGCAAATATTTATTATCGTCTCATGCTTCCTCGGGTTGAATTACAGTCCTCAAGGTTTATAATGGAGTCATAAAGTGCTGACAGTAGCTCCTGTAGCTATAAAAGAGAAATCAAATATTTTTGTTATTGAACAGCTTTACTCGTCCAAGAACGAGTGCAGTAAGAACTTTGTTAAGCGATTGATTTTCCTATAGCAGATTAAAAAAGAAACGATCAATGTCAACGACAGCAGTCCCACTGATGACTGCTGTCGTTGTGTCCTTGGGCAAGACACTTAACCCCACTTTGCCTGAAGCCCCCACTGATCTCAGCTCCTGTGGACTCACCACCTGCAGGAGGATCAGTGAGGATTATATGAGACTCAAAGGTAACATTCATTCAAACCTCGTTTTGACATTTCAAATTATTGCTATTTTAAATTCAACTATGTAGTGGGAGTTAAGAAACTCCTGCATGTAGACACAATGCCAATTCCTAAAGGCCAATTCCTAAAGGCTAACCGACTCAAAACTGCATAACCAGAACTACATTTACACAAGATGTGTTTATCACTTATGTGTTTAGTTGTATCCTTTCTCTTTCTTTTTTAGCATCTACCAGGTCGATGGCCTCCAAGACACAAGTGGGCTTTATCGGCCTGGGAAACATGGGAAATCCCATGGCAAAGAATCTGATGAAGAGTGGATACCCAGTCATCGCTACAGATGTTTTCCCGGAGTCCTGCAAAGAAATCCAAGAGCTGGGGGCACAGGTGCCTTCTTCATTACTTGAATATTCTGATTTCAAGGGGACTTAACATGCATAATTTTACAGCTCTTAAACATGTTATAGTTGTTTATTATAGTTTTCCCTGTTATTGACTCGCTCAAAGTTATTTTCAGAGCAGTTCAGGCCTGTTTGAGTAATATATTCTCTTATTTAACATTATAGACGCCATTGCCTGGACTCCTCTCACCATCACAACAAGGCCACTGTTTATATTTTGTTTGCAAATGTTCTTTTCTGAATCAGATAAGAGGATTAGCTAGCCTTGCGCTATCATTTTTGCTCTCAGGAAATTATGTCTATGCTTTGCTAGCTTCATTCACCGGCCTTTTAAGTTTTCATAGCAGTGAAAACCATGCTGTCTGAACTGCACAATATTGGAAAGTATAGCGATGTTCGATATGGGTGTTTTGTATTTTAATAACAATATTATTGCGATATTTTTGTCTTTCACCTAAAAATGCAATCTGCATTGAACCGCCAGAGAAAAATCTCTAACGACAATTAAGCACAACATTAATTACATTCAAATGCAGTATGGCACAGATATTAACCTCAAATCTTGCCTAAAGTTGCCAATTCCAATATGGCGTAATGGCTGCAGTCAAACCTATCTCATAAAGAGCTACAGAAGCAAAACTGTCATTTATACTTGTTTGCACATTTGCCTTTCGTTTGACCGGAGTAAGTGTTTTAGTGCTGGACGTGGTTCTGGGGGTTGTCGTGTTTCCCTTCGACATAGCAACTATTTTTTGGCATGATTTGCGATTAACTTGTTTCTGTGATTGGTCCTGTCTAAATCCGAAGTTGCACCAAATTCCGGAGGTAAAGTGTCTTTTGGGAACAATTTAATCTCTGCATTTGTCTCTTCATAATTTTCTTGTTTCGCATGCTCCACTCTAGCGTGTGGCGGCACTAGGTTGCAGCAGATTTGTCAAAGTGTGCGTACAAGAATTGCATACATGAATATATCAAAATTATCCCGAATCTTTTAGATATGGATATCGCACGTATCAATATCGCAATGACAATATTTTTTTGATATATTGTGTAGCCCTAGACTTGATTTAATTTAATTTCTTCCTCAGATTGTGGATAACCCTGCTGAAGTAGCCGACAAAGCTGACCGTATTATCACAATGCTTCCCTCTAGTCCCAATGTCATAGATGTCTACACTGGACCCAATGGCATTCTTAAGTACACTTCTCCCATTTATATATCATTTACATCAGGCCTGCACAAATTTGATTATTTACCAATGTATCTAAATCAGGATTCAGTTCACATGGGACATATCTAGGGGCATTAACATTTGAAAAAAAAAAGAACTTTTTTGCTAATGCAACAATCACATGCTAGAAGAAAAACCATGCGGCATCTCAAGGGGATTTCCATTAATAAATCTCTACATGAAAAAGGTCAAGCATTGTCTACATGAAAAAGAATATAGCCTTTGTTATTTCATCGTTACCCCTGTTTAGTATTGTATAAATAAATCTTTCGCAACATTTTGTGCAGCCCTGATTTACTGATTAACTTAAGTATGTGTTAATTAAAAGTTGAAAGATGAAGCGCTCTTTCATATGTTTACAGGAAAGTAAAGAAGGGTTCTTTGCTTATAGACTCAAGTACCATTGACCCATCCGTTTCTAAAGACATGGCGGCAGCAGCAGAAAAGATGGGGGCTGTTTTCATGGATGCACCCGTGTCTGGAGGTATTTCTTAGTTTTCTAATGTACGCCTGTGACATGTACAACTGGGCTGTGGGTTGAGGCCAAATCTACATGATGCACAGTGACTGTTGCTGGCTGTTTTGTGACCTGGTCCTTAGATATCCGCCTTGTTTGCGCTCCTCATGCTGTAATCAAAGCCTCACGTGTTGGGAGACGTAGATGAACTCAAGTCGGGGAGTCCTACATTTTTTTTCCTCGAGTTCAAAATGCACAGAACGGGAAAATAATCCCACATTATTTAGCAATAAATTAGCGTCCTGTTTTTACTGGACTTGGGGCGACAGTACCAACAGCTCAGTTGGTAGAGCATTGGCCTTTGGGCCTGAAGGTCGTGGGTTCGAGCCCACCATGAGACCTACTTCAAAACTCCCACTGATGTCTGCTGTCGTTCTGTCCTTGGGCAAGACACTTAACCCCACTTTGCCTGAAGCCCCCACTGAAAGATCTCAGCTCCTGTGGACTCACCACCTGCAGAAGGATCAGTGAGGGGCTGGTGGTCTGTGTACTGGGTGCAGCTCTGACTGCCACCCCCCCGACCCAGAGATGGATTTAGGGGAAGAAGATGGATGGATGGATTTAATTGTGCGTCCCATTACCATTTTCTTTCATATATGCTACAGAAATCCAGTTTTACCTGAGTTGTGACATCTAGTTTACAGACAGAGATGTGCTAGAATGATGCCCATGGCTATACTCGAGATAGGAATTTTTCGTTGTATCTGGCGGTATTTTGCTGACAAAAATGCACTTGCAACGTGCCCCTGTTTTTCCAGTGTCTCTAGTGAGCAGGAGTGTAAGTGCAAGAAAATAATCTGTTATTTTATAATCGATATATACAAATATCTTTGGCAGTGTCAAGACAAATCGTTTTCACTTGCTGCAATGTCATTTTCAGATTAAGGGATACATTTACAGATGTGTATTAAAATGATATAGCAGACAAAACATATCCGCACCGTTTGAACTATTGTTGTTGGCCTTTGCAACATTGGCCACAACTTTGTCACAATTTAACAGAAAGCTATAGATGCAGTTTACTGTTTTATCCTGAAAACCAGATGCTAGTCAAACATTGGAAAAGCGTGCTTGTTAATCACTGCGATGTTGTTTTTAATGTAGTGATTTTTGCCAGTTCACAATGCCTTTCACAATTATGTATTTAGTGCACAATGGAAGTAGTGAAAGGAAACTATACAGTGTCACAAGATTAATAAAACATTTGGTTCAATAACTAATAATCACATGCTTATCTCATTTGATGCCTCTTTTTCAGACAGACTACTCTTGCTCAGCTTTTAGTGTCAAATAGTGACTCAAATTGATCAGCATATTGTCTGATTAATTCACAAAATTTCACTTTCAATCAAATGTTATTTGTAGATCGCTTTCCTACACAAGGCAACAAAAAGCGCCTCACAACCCATATCACATCAGCCATAAATCGTAGACATTAAAATCTACATAGACATTAAAATCTACATAGACATTAAAAATACAATTAGAATCCCAAAGGGCATTAAAAACATAATGAGATCACAAGAAAGGGATCACTTTTATTATTCATTATTAGTGAAAAAATAACATCAAGTACAAGTACCCTGGCTTTAACTCTGCTTTATCTATACTAGCTCAATCTGAGTCCTCGTCCTCGAGCTGCTGTCCTCTGATTGGTCAGTTCACACCAGTGGGGGAGGGTCCCAGCTCAAAAGTGGCCAAAATGACGTGCGCTGACATGCTTGCAATACCACCCCGGGCCGATGGGGGTGGACCCAGAAGTAGAATTAGCCAGTGCTAACATATAGCATTGGCAGACCTCTCAAAAACGTCTTTACAGGATGGACCAAAAGTTGGCTCTTGGCCCAAAGCTCCGTTCCACATGTGAGTCAATGCTGAGGGGGGTGGATTTTTTTGGTCAACTCTAGTTTACTTGCTGTGAATTTTTGAAGTCTCTCGTTCAAATGAATGGAGCTGCGCAGATGCGTTTTTTCACAATGTTCTTGTGGGCGGGACCACTCGCGGCCATTTTGGATTTCTCCAGTAGAGCACATTTTTTGGCCCATTAGTTAGAACAGCGGAGGCGTGACTCTATCCATTAATATATATACAGTCTATGGTTCACACTAAAGACATGTCTTTTGACCCAGAACAACACTGGGAAAGGTTGGCGTGTTGTAGGGGTGACACGGTATGAAAGTTTTACCTCACGGTTATTGTGACCAAAATTATCACGGTTATCGGTATTATTACGGAGGTTTTTTTTAAGTTCAATGAATATGTTCAGAAACCATTGATAGTTCTACACAAACAGAAATAGTTTCAAAAATGTGAACAAATGTTAGCTGCAAGTAACATTTGGTTGATATCATCTATTTAATTAAAATACACAATGTATTGATTTTTACTAAAATGGTTAAAACAAACTTAATGCATGGTATTATTGTTCCTTCATCTAGCACGCAATGTTGTCTTCTTTTCACTGTCTCATCTATCAACGTTTACCTGTTTAGCTTAGCATATTAGCTGCAGCTAGGCTGCAGCTGCGTTAACATTATTAACAGACGGATAACCAGACATCGGTACATTCGTCTACAAGTCCCCCGACGTTTATTTCAGCTGAAACGTTAACGTTATCTTACTTACAGTGGGCAAAAAAGTATTTAGTCAGCCACCGATTGTGCAAGTTCTCCCACTTAAAATAATGACAGAGGTCTGTAATTTTCATCATAGGTACACTTCAATTGTGAGAGACAGAATGTGAAAAAAAAATCCAGGAATTCACATTGTAGGATTTTTAAAGAATTTATTTGTAAATTATGGTGGAAAATAAGTATTTGGTCCCTTCAAACAAGGAAGATCTCTGGCTCTCACAGACCTTTAACTTCTTCTTTAAGAAGCTCTTCTGTAGTTTTCTGTAGTCTTCTGAAGTTTGCCAGAGAGCACATGAATGATACAGCAGAGGATTGGGAGAATGTCATGTGTTCGTGTTTGGAGGAAGAAGAATACTGAGTTGCATCCCAAGAACACCATACCTACTGTGAAGTATGGGGGTGGAAACGTCATGCTTTGGGGCTCTTTTTCTGCTAAGGGGACAGGACGACTGATCCGTGTTAAGGAAAGAATGAATCTCCCATGTATCGTGAGATTTTGAGCCAAAACCTCCTTCCATCAGTGAGAGCTTTGAAGATGAAACGTGTCTGGGTCTTCCAGCATGACAATGATCCCAAAAACACTGCCCGGGCAACAAAGGAGTGGCTCCGTAAGAAGCATTTGAAAGTCCTGGAGTGGTCTAGCCAGTCTCCAGACCTCAACCCCATTGAAAATCTGTGGAGGGAGTTGAAAGGCCGTGTTGCGGTATTCCACAAAGATAATGTTTATAGTCCAAATTTTTACCGGGGTTTACCGCTACACCGGTAATCGTGAGTTCCCCAGCGTGTGTTGTTTGGACCACAATCGGCTTTTCACTACAGGGAAGACTGGATCATGTCAAAATCAAAGGGGCAAAATGTACTTTCAACTATCAAAATCACAGCGCAGAACATCCAGGACCACAGGGAATCACATTATAACGGACTACGGCAGGTTTATCATCCATAGAGAAGAATAAATATTATCAAACACATTTTACATGGACAAGTTTATACATGAAAGGGCAGTACATACACAAACTTTGAGAGTAAGAAGCTCTTGTTACACAGCTCTTTATGACATCCTGATGCAAAGTCCCTCGTGTGACTTGTGTGTAAGGAAATGGCAACTACTGGATTTTTTTGGTAAAAAAAGTTTTTTTTCCCAGTGGTGATGAGACTGTAGTCACATTTTGTTGTCACACAATGATGTAATGAGGAAACAATTGAAAAAAGGATGTGGTTTCTCGCCTCATGCACCACTGAGCTTGTTTCTTTTGAAACCTTCTCTGGCTGATACCAATCTGTGTAGCGCTCTGAAATGAGCTTCCCTTTTGAAGTTCTCAAGCTAAGGCCTCATTTAGACGGAGACGCTGCGGAGACTCTGAATAAAGGAGCCTGGTCGTTTTTGATATTCTTTGCAAAGTGCACAGCATTTAGACAATGACAAAAAACAACAGTTCTAGACCATTTCTCAACGCTTGAGTTTACACCCCCCTGAAACACCGTCTTCATGTAAATGAAAGGCCAAACCTATAACCAACTCGGTTGGTTATTGGTTGGGCGGCATGGTGGCTGAGTGGATAGGACTCTCGCCTCTCAGCACGAAGGTTCTGGGTTCGAATCCCGGTCGGACCAGGGCCTTTCTGAGTGGAGTTTGCATGTTCTCCCCGTGTCTGAGTAGGTTTCCTCCGGGTACTCCGGTTTCCCCTACCACAAAAAATATGTACAATAGGTCTGGCATGTGCCTTCTGTACTGGCGACCCCGCTCCCATCTCTGCGTGGAGTGAGAGACAAATGCCCAAAAAAAACAGCTTTGTGACTCTGGTCTGTGAAAGGCAGTATATAAATTAGATTACTTACTTACTTACTCTAACATTTTACTGTTGCAGCGTCTCCGTGTACACGCCACCTAAAGCAGGGATGTGTTCATTGGGGTTGGTTGAGGCGTAGCAACAGTGGGACTATAGCGTAAGTGTAGCAGTATTTATGGTAAAATATGAAAATCTTTCTTTTTACTAGCAAGTTATTTTGCTTGATGCTTCAGTTGTATTTTTTTGTGGGGGATATTCTTTCTTGTTATGTTAGTTTTTCAGCCATAAAGGTGGTTGAGAAGTTTTGAAGTCCAGGATTCTCCCTCTGGCTATATGTTGTCTAATGTTTGTCTTTCAATTTACAGTACACAAAAAGCTATTTTCAAATAGCGAATGGAGGCTGTTGCTTTGTAATATTTTGGAATCTACCCGGTTTTGATTTTGTCATTCAGAATCCTAAATGATACTTGTCAAAATGGATTTATATAAAGTTTTGTCCAGAAACAAAGTGGCTGCGTTATAAGCGTCAATGGCAAAAAAAAAGTTTTTGAAACGGCGATTCAGCACGCGTTCAATCTCATGTATTTCTCGTGGATTAATAGTTGTTGGGTGACAATACAAACATTTCTTCCTTCAATAGTGATATGGGCTCATGTTGTGCCAAGTTAACAGTGTGCGCCTTGATAAAAGATGCTTTAAGCTGTATTTGCTGTGATTTAATGAGGCTATAAAGATTAGTTTTTTTTTTTTTAAATGAGTTATTCATAAATCATTTCATTTCCGGCAGTGTACACAAAGTATGTGACAATTGGTAAACTATAGTTGGAATTAACTATGAAGACCAATTTTAGGTTGGTCTTGCATCATGAGGGACCAGTACTACATGATACTCTGTCCCATTTAACCCTTTAGACGCCAAAAGAAAAAGAATTACATGAGCTTATGACTTGTACATTCTATACTGTGGCCAAACGTCCCACAATCAGGGAAGTTTTTATAGATATTTTATTCTTTGGACTTACTTTAGTAGTCCTATCTCAAAAGTTTCAGAGCTCTACTTTTTTGTCTGGTCCACGGCAAACCTTTTGGGCTGAAAAAATAATGCACAATAGTCAATGTGACATTTAACTTACTTGGTTAGAAATGTAATCCAAAGTTAGAATTGTGTTTTTTTTTTTTTTTTTTCAGACTTTTTCAATCCTTTTCTAGAATTGATCATGTTTTAGTTCTTTTGTTCTAACTTCCCCTCTTTTGCTTGCCATAGAAGCCGATCTTAATTACCTCACAGGCTTGTAGAAATTTGGCACATTGTAATGGAAATGTGTAAGCAGTCATCTAAGCGTCTGCAGTTTGAGGGGGGGAAAGCGGGCATTTCCCCATCTCTTGCCTCCTGTGTGGGATACTAATTAACATACATTTCCAGGTGTGGGAGCTGCCAGTTCGGGAAAGCTGACTTTTATGGTGGGAGGAGCAGAAGAAGAATTTACTGCAGCTAAAGAACTCCTCAGCTGCATGGGAGCGAATGTTGTGTTCTGTGGTCAAGTGGGCACTGGACAGGTAAGACCAACGCACAAACACACACACAACTGTCGATGCACAATCTATTGGGATGAATTGTAATGACATACCTAATGTTGGGCCAGGCTCTCGTGAGATTCTATTCCACTGGGATTGGATTTAGCACGGACAGAAGGCTAAGGAGTGCATAAAAATAGCTTAATAAAAAAATGTCATTAAAGTTCTATTTTGGTTGGAGTTTTCATGGCTGTCTTAACGATTATATCAAGTATATCATTGTAACAAAATGAGCACAACCTCTGAGGGCCTATAAAAAAGGCTTGAGGGGTAGCGATTTTCCCAGGACAGGCGGCGTTTTAAATCAGCGGTTGGCCGAAAATGTTCAACTTCTTGGTTAAAAACACGAAGAAGATGACAAAGTCTGGGATCGTGTCTTTAATTCAGACAGAAGACATGTTTTATTGTCGATGGTAGAGACAGCACGAACAAATGTTACAACTGCAAGTGACTGCAAGTGATAATATACAGCACGGAGGAATGGAGTCCTCCAATCAGCTTTCGCCGCGATGCCAGTAGCTTTTCCTTCAGAAATCAAAACATGGTTTGGAAAAGTTCTGGCTTGTGCATATTGTTGAATGATGAGTTAGAACTTTTAACCACAGTTGCTTCAAAGTGTCATGAAATCTCTAAACACGGAAACCAATAGGTGAGCGGCACCAACCACCGGCACAAGTAACAGCAGGTCAGAGTCAGAGGAGCAAGACACTTGGAAGCAGCTATAACAAGAGCTATACCAAGATTAAAGCAGGACCAACGATGGGAGAGATGATTGTGGCTTTATGCTTTCACCCTGAGGTCACATTCTACCGTGACTGCATGAAATGACGCCCGACAGAAGAGAAAGACCGCTGAAATCCTGCTGCTGCTCCTGGAAAAAATGGTGGCACGTGGTCTGACCCTCTCTGGATGACCAAGTGCATGAAAGCTGCCAGCTCAAACTAATCTTCCATCAAAGCTGTCATTGCTACCCCCTAGTTTTGGCTGGAGATTCCTACTCGGAGTATGTTTGAGTTGGGCATGTGGGGTGTGAGCACTTAGTCCACTGCTTCTTCATTAAAGCCTTTGTAATTGGTACAGTGCCTTCCAAAATCTTGTCTTGATCTGTTGAACCCTGCTGTCTTGTCCAATTCCTGGTAACTACCGTAACATCTGCTGATGACAAAATATCAACCCAGAAAACTATTTTGTCATGAAAATCCTACCCGTTCACCAATGAAACGTGCATGCGCATGCCCTCACAGGAGCTTACTGATACTTGTATCTACAATGCTCACAGAACAAAGCGCTGTATGTCGTGAATATTCAGCGTGTATTTAATTGTGGATCAATGTAATGGCACCGTCGTAACAACTGACAGTTCCATGAATAATTATGAATATTTAGAAAATTCCATAATCATCCAAATGATAACAGACTTGTCTCTTTGCATGTAATGACTCCATAGTTGTTTCACGTGTTAAGTTGAATTACACTTTTTAACAATACTCTCATTTTCTGAGTTTCACCTGTATATTACCTGTATGTAATATATATGTAATATATATATATATTAGTTATAAGCGGCTCACAAAAACAATATGAACTTAACAAGGTGATCTGGGGGGGAAGTATCTATGGAGTTGGTGCTCTCACAATTATTATTATTAATATGTTTATTGTGTATTTATGATTGCAAAGCTAATGTTCTTGTTTATTGATTGTTTGATTTGTTTAATTTACAATATTGATTGCCTTGTTTTCTCTTTGACTCATGTGGGCAGTTAATAAATAGTCCAGCCCCGCAGCTGACACAGGTTGTGCGTAATGCATGAACAGACTTTAGACTTTAGGTTCACTACACACTACTGCTGTCTGGGTGAACTGTCAACAATTTCTTCTTTCTTTAATTTAATTTAATCTTTTTATATTTCAGCCAAACATATTGTGGTATGGTATGGTATGGTTTTTATTTTTACAGGGACAGTGTTCAATAAACATTAGCCAAAAAGGAGAGATGCATTGTACCAGGTTGTAGCAGCAGTGCTAATTTACACCTGTAGTCCCTTAGCAGGTTGTTTTAAAACAGTAAAATAAAAGTAGATTGATACATGACCACACATTATCAGACATAGATTACGATTTAATTGAGTGAAAGGCAACAGAAGGTGTAAAGACGGTAATAATCGAGATCTGGAAAAGTTGAGGTCGCAATCTTTTGATTATTTTTTTTCAAAGCCCTATACTGAACTGAAATAAAAGGCTGGGCAAATAAATAGCTGTCAATCTCAAGAAATATCCATAAAAGTGACTTATTGAACCTATTACCCACTCAAATCTTTTGTTTTATTGTATTGCATTGTACCTGGTAAAATGCATCTCTCCCTTGTTAATGTTTAATTGTACAATGTCCCTGTTCAAATAAAGTACATACCATGCCATACCGTACTATATTGAGCCTGAAAGCCATTTTTCCTGCAGTTTATATATTAAACCATAAAACAACAGACATCTGTGCATACACGCATACAGGACGAGTCTGTTTACTAATGTGTTTAATTCAATGTGTTTCTCTATAGGCAGCAAAAATATGTAACAATATGCTTTTGGCCATTGGAATGATCGGTACCTCGGAAACTATGAATCTTGGAATCAGGTAAAATAAAAGTTTCATATCATAAAACTTTGCCTCAGGTTTGCTTATAGGGTATGACTAAGTTGACTGCTAAATCATTTTAGTTTATAGCTTTTTTGTTGATGACATGTTGCAGATCTTTTCTTAAATACAATGCATATTTCCAAAGCGTTGATTTTCTGTTAAAGTGCAAAAAAGTTCATTTTTGTAATTGTTTGAATTCAGCCTTTTGTTTCAGTAGATTTTAAAGGGACAGTATGTATATATCACATCTGACCTTATCTGCTCAAAGCAGAAAGTTATTCTTAAAGATACAGACAAACAGACATGATGGCCATGATATTTATGTTAACGAATGTAGTTATTACATTTAAACGAAAGTAGATACAAAAGTAAGTAGTTGTTTGTACTGTTTCTGGCTAAACCCCAGCAGGTGGTTTGTTCTGTTAACGGTGCTTAGGAGAAAAATCCTCGCGAGAGAAATTCTGGCAACAGTTGAATTACTTTAGTCCATTAAGAGTGATTATTACATGCTGTCCTTTTTTTGACTTCATATAACTTGCTACCTATTTCTTGCTGCAATGTGTTAAGCCGCATTCAGACCTGATCATGCGTTGCGGCGATTCTCAATGCAAAGTCAATGGTGACGCGCGTTTGAGCGTGGAACTGGATGTGCGTCTCGGGATGCATGCACGGTAGAGACGCACGGACGGCGCGGCAGAGGTGCAGGAGCGAAAAATTGACGCACACAGGAGATGAACATTACTGAACGTTTCCTCGGGACGCTCGTGCAGTGACCAATCAGAGAGCAGCAAAGTGGTCATGGGGACATTAGTGGTCTGAGTGAGCAGAATGAACATACTGTAAACAGCCAAAACAGGAGCTACACCAGGACTAAAACCAGTGTTGACAATGGGGGACATAGTGCTTGTGAACATACGTGTTTTCATGCTTCCGTGACTTTATGCAACTGCTTCGAGCGTGTTCGCCGATGCAGAAGTACCGTTTAATAATGAAATTAACGTATGGCGCACCTCTGTTAACTCATACTGCTGTTCTATAAAGTCTCTGGAAGGTCTCTGAACACAGACACGCTACAGAGCTGAAGCGTTTTTTCACAATTTTCTTGTGGGCCATTTTGGATAGCTCCAGTAGAGCACTATTTTTGGCCCATTAGTTAGAACGGCGGAGATAGGCGTGACTACGTCCGTTAATCAATTAATGGTCTGAACGCGCCATCACGAGACATCTCTATGAAGATGTTCTCCAGGGACATCCTTGGAGCTTTCATGATCCAAAAATTTTTTTTGTTTTAATCGTTACTTACAAGAACCTATTTATTTGTATTATTTTATAAACAAGCTTGTGGTGAACATGCCCAACTGCAGTCTTTGATATGCTGAGTGCTTACTACTGAAATGTCTGCGTTGTTTGCAATGTTTTTTTTATATCTTCTTGCTCTCTTTATCCTGCTCTATGTGTATATAACTTTACACTATATGTAAAGATAGATATAGATGGAGATATATTGATATTTAGGCATCTATATCTAGCTAAGAAACACAGCAGCTACTTGTAATGTATATTTTGTGTGCTCTTACTATAGTCCTGCATGTGCACAGCAACATTGAAATTTCCCCTCTTTTCCCATTCACTGCTCTGCTCTCACACCCAGACTCGGGCTCGAACCACAACTTTTGGCAAAGATCCTCAACATGAGCTCAGGCCGCTGCTGGTCCAGTGACACATACAACCCTGTTCCTGGAGTTATGGAGGGCGTCCCATCTGGAAACAACTACCAGGGCGGTTTCGGCACCCAGCTCATGGCGAAGGTCTGAGGAACTAGATCAGAATGCACACATGCGTAGTATAAATGGAAGATTTCAACGGGGGGGATACTTTTTATTTTTTGGTCATTTTAAAGCTGCCCGTTCCTCAATTTGTTGTCATGGAAATGTTATCTCTTTGCTTGGAATGCACCTCAGTATGTTGTAGAGCACTATTTAAAGCTGTTGGGAGCTACCTTTTCAGAAGACCTTCATAGCAGCATCATATTCTAGATGCATCTAATAAAATCCATGTAACTAGTTCTTTACTCTCAAAACATTTTGGTTCTATCACTAGTTTTCATTTGCATGTTGGCAGTGTGTCACATTTTTAGATCAGATTTTTCAGACAGAAAAGTGAGAAAGAGAGGACCGCCCTCCCTCAGCCAATCAGCTCTCAGCCCAAAGAGTCTAGCCGTGACTCACAGGGCTCTTTCTTACAACATAGTATGCAAAAAATGACATGTTTTCTAATAAGATGAAGACTGAATTTGTGTGGTCTGATTCATCTACGATTCCGAAACAAACTTAATATTTTTTATGTATGAAAGTAAGTAATGTTTATTTATATAGTGCATTTAAGATTCCAGGGTCACCCAAAGCGTTTTACAATATGGGGAGATATTGGATATTTTGAAGAACCTAAACTCTTCCATTGGATCAGCATTGTTTAGTCTGTAGTCCGAGTGTAGTCTTTTTTTATCTCCAGGGGATGGAGAAGCTTAATGCAATACTGTGGAGGATTCTGTATCAAATTATGCTTAGATTTAGTTTTCATACCAGACCCGCCACCAAGAAAGTTACATCATGCACCTTTTTAGTTTCAGATGTTTTTCTCGTTTTTCTTTTCCTTTACTATAATGACAGCACGGATTTGCCTGAATTTGAACCAATTGCAATATGTGCTCCAACTATTATAATGGCGTGTTGAAAAACTGTCCCAAACCATGTTACAACATTGTTCCCTCATCAAAAGCCCCCCTGGAGTTGTTTTTAGCTCCGTTCACACTACCATCTGCAGCATCTGGCAACAAACTAGCACAAACGTGTCCCCCTGGCCCTTCTCACCAAATGATGAGTTTCAAACTGTGGTGAATCTTCAGACCGATTTCATGAGAAAATCAATACAAAAGTATTGTTTTTGGCCTTTCCTCCAGTCAGTTTGAATGCTGCATGATTTAAATTGTGCTTAAATAATTAAATTCTAAGATCCCCAATGTAATGTTCTACTTCTTAATGAGTGTTTTTCTCACCTTTTAAAGCCTGGGTACCCAACTTTCAAATAACGAACTATGAGGTAAATCCATTTCACGAGTTCCATGGATTGCTCACAAAACAGTTTGGTTCTAATTTCACATGCACAGGATTTTGGCCGCCTCCACATCTTTAGGTCCGCTTTTTCAGGCAGAAAAGTAAAAAGGAGAGGACCACCCCCATTCAGCCAATCACCTCTCGAGACAAAGCAAAGGTTCAAATAGTAGTAATAGTTTATTACGCACACGATAACACATTTTCTGATAAAAGAGAGACTGTGTTTAAATCAGACAATTTTACTTTTACAAGACTGGGGACAATGGGAAAATTCATGAAAAAAAGGTAGGCACCACAGCTTTAGTACCGGTAATTCTATTCCATTTGTCAGATATGTTCATATATATTAGATTATTTCTCTTTCTAAAACCTGAAATGCAAGTAAATTTTCACTAGGCCATGTTTTAGGTCAAAAAGCACACCAATGACAATAACGAAGGCATTTCAGAAGTGTGTTTCTCTCCCTCCAGGACCTGGGACTGGCTCAGAACACGGCCACCAGCACCAGGACCTCGGTGCCCCTGGGCTCGCTGGCTCATCAGATCTACAGGATGATGTGCGCCCGCGGTTACGCCAGCAAAGACTTTTCTTCCGTCTTCCAGTTCCTGCGCGAGGAAGATCCCCAGTAACGGACCCCGGGCGACGTCCAGAGAGAGGGCGCCCAGGGACTCGTACACAAAACGCCTATACGAAGCAGCGCTGCCGTTAAACCAGCCTGGAATGCTTCTTTTGGAAAAGTCTGGAGGAGGAAAAAAAAGAAAGCCTCAACATTCGACACTCCTATAACGTAGAAACGGCAGGACAGCTGTTGGGTACACACACACACACACACTAGTATTTTATGAAGAGCCGAAACACGAATAATGCAAGTGTGTGCGGAGACTGCGTTATTGTTTTTTTGTTTTTAGCAAAAGAAGGGGTTCTGTCGCTCTCAGTGGTGTCTTCGTATTTATCAGGCTTTTCTTCTTTTTAACTTTCTGTCTGTAGAAATGTTATGCTTTGAAATGAAATGGTTTATTCTTCTTCATAGAAAATAAATAAAACACTTAATGATATTTGTCCGGCTATTTTTCACATTTGCACATCTGTCCGGTTTTATTCCACAACTGGGACGTCGAATCAATTACTCTTGTCTAGGACTGTAACAATCAACAGTCTATGTCAGGTTTATTTGTATAGCACATTTACAACAACACCAGCTGCCCACAGTGCTTCACATGCACAAAAGAAAAAACTACAATCTCAGAATGTAATGAGTTCATTAATCATGTGTAGTGAAGAGGATTCATTATTTAAACTAACTATTTCTACATGGTTAATTTTCACAAGCATGTCATTTTGGCCTGTCACGGAAAAGTGAAAAAGTGAAGACCAACCTCTCACAGCCATTCTGCGCTCACCCTAAAGCGTCCAATAGTGACTCTCAGGGCTCGTTGCATGTAACGTAATGTATATATCGTTCAAATAAGCTCAAGACAGTGGGTTGTGGTCTTTATTTGTTAACACAATGTTAACTTATGACTTTTTGGTTGTCCCATCAGAAAGTATAATTGACATAAAAGTAAGGCACTCCATTTAGATCTAATGTGACGTTATGTGTGGGAAACGTATTTCTAATTAAACAATACATGTTTTGTTTATCTCTTCGAAAATATGGTTGGTTGGCATTACTTTCGCTTCATCTTTGGTCGAATGAATAACAAATCTTAACTGGTTATCAAAACAATCGTTAATTACAACCCGACTTGTTTTATTAAAATCGGTCAAAAAAGGTTTTCCAAAGTCTAACCGCAGAAATGGCTATGTCTACGTCTTTTATTTCGTCCTGTCTTGTCTCAGATGTGGAAGGATGTTTCTGATCAAATTCCCCGAGAGCCGCGGAGGGGCCAAGGTGCTGCGGGTCATGCGATCACAAGAAGAAACCATAAAAAGTCCATTAGGCTGAGAGTCCGTGTCTTCTGCTGATTCCTTTTGCGAAACAGCGCGCTCTGCTCAGGCCTCCAGCCGCAGGACACCATCCACAGCTTTCACATGGAATGAGAAAAGTGAAAATGAAAAACTCATCTTTACGCAGACAGTTTTTTGCACTTTATGCACGATCGTGTATTTATTTACGTAAACACTGAAATGCGCACGCGTAAAGCACTTCTATTATACTTTATGTTCATTGTATTGTAAATTCTTGTATTGTATTCTTGTACACGCCATGAGAAAAGGTTTTTTATTTCCCAAACGCTTCATAACTCATCACAAGATCCCGGCCTTTATACGTCCGTCATTTTATAATCTCATCCCTCTGGTCACTTATCGATAACTTGCCATGTTAAATGTCTAGTGTGTGTATTTATTTATGTATGAGCATGTCATCAAGATTTTTTAAGCTTTCTTTTATAACTATTTTTAAAAACTTTTCTATAACTTGTCTGCACCATATACCAAACTGACTTCCTGGGATACTTACAATGGTAAGAAAAAGTATTCTGACTGATTTAGTCCTGGACACTTTTGAAAAAGAGGTTCTCAATCTCAATGGGACTTTCCTGGTTAAATAAAGGTTAACTTGAAAAAAATAGTAATAGAAAAACATCTTCAGAATGGGACATATTAGTCAGGCACACAACAGAAAAAATTATGTTGCTATTGATCATTGTTGCATCGTTATTAATTTGGCCTGAAGAGAAAGTGTAATTTTGTTGTAATGTAAAGAACGCCCTGTTAATGGGATTCACGAATTTAGTGCGTATAAGTGTATATTTCAATCAACTGAACATGGAATTTTCTCACTATCAAAGTGAAAATATAAACTCTAAACTTGAGGACGTCGTTATTTATTCCCATGGAACTTCAAATTTGTAGTAATATTTTTAGGAGAGGCCCACAAAAAGACCACAATTTGGATGTATTAAAAACAATACATCAAAATAGTAAATTCCTAAAATGTATGGTTTTAGCAATAACTTGAAAATAAATAATACCAATGAATGAGGTTGTAGTGTAAATAGCTGGTCGCGTTCGGCGTGTGTCCAGCTGGGCCGTTTGTCCACAGACTTGACCTTGGCCTTCAGCCGCGGCCAGTGGCTGTGGTCAGGGACTGAGGACTTTCACCTGAACTCAAGCCAAAGACCTGTGCTGCTGTAATGTTGTGTCTAATGTTATTTCTCTAAACTTTGAATTTTCGTTGAGAAATAAAGGCCTGTAAAATTGTTATATCATCTACTCAAATATTATTATTCTGAGCAAACATGCATGTAGTTGTTGTGTTCTAGACATTTGATAATTACGCATGATTCTATAGCATGAAAATGAATAATAATAATTCAAATGAAAAGTTAATAATTTAGAAAATAATTTAAACCTATACAGTCATCCTTGGTGTTTTTAGGGCAGCATCCAATCGCAGAATCAGGCTACAAAAGAGTATTTTGCAGCTGATCTCGAGTGTGGAAACTGGTGAGAAGAGCTTTATCATCTCCTTTGCATATCACGTGTTTGGCTTGGACCAATAACCGCGCAGTGTGAGGCGCGCTGCTATCGACCCTGGCGCTGCTGCTGCTGCTCATTCAGGAGGTTTGGAAAAAGAGCTGCTTGTTGGATGTGAGACATGCTATGACCGCATCTGTGCTGCTGCATTCACACTGGCCTGACCCGGTGATGTTTCTGTACGACAGTGCCCTGGATGACAGAAGCAAAAACATGGAGACTTTCCCCGGAGGCAACTTTGCTGCAAGTCAGTGCAGGAATCTGTTGGCGCATCCAACTTCCATGGCTCCCAGCACCACCTACACCAGCGACGTGCCAGTGTCGGGTATGGGCGACCCGGGGAAGCAGTGCAGCCCCTGCTCCGCCACCCAGAGCTCCCCCAACGCCTCTCTGCCCTATGGATACTTTGGCAGCAGCTATTACCCGTGTCGAATGTCACACGGCAGCGTGAAGACGCAGAGCACGGCGTACACGGACAAGTACGTGGACTCTGCGCTGTCTGGAGATGACTTCTCCTCTCGGGCCAAAGAGTTCTTTTATCAGGGATACTCCCCTACTCCTTATCAGCCCAGCTACCTGGACGTGCCGGTGGTACCTGCTCTCAGTGCGCCCTCTGAGGCCAGACACGAGTCTCTGCTGCCCATGGACACGTACCAGCCCTGGGCCCTCACCAACAGCTGGAGTGGTCAGGTTTACAGCGCCAAGGAGCAGCCTCAAACAAACACGCTGTGGAAGCCCTCCCTACAAGGTTTGTACTGGGCATCTGCACATGCACGTACATTACAATGCGCCAGGCTTTTCATGTGCTGATCATAACATTTAGACCACTGTTCCCCAACCCTTTTGAGCCCTTTTTATTTCTTTTTTGATAATCACACACCACCAGCTGAAACTGAGGCAAAAATGAAAAGTAATTCTCAGCAAAGTTGTACATAAAAATTCAAACAAGCACAAAAAAGTATTTATAATCTTGCTACATTATTTTATTAGCACTTTATTTTGACCAATGAGGTGATATTAGATCATTTCTCAGGTACACCAAACACCTCAAGGCCCTCAGACATGCCCCGACACCCTGGTGAAAAACACTGCTTCAACATAAAGTGTGTACGTGTTTGTGACTTTTGTGCAGACAGTGTTCCTGGAAGTGACAGCTCCTTACGCCGCGGGAGGAAGAAGCGTGTGCCCTACACCAAAGTGCAGCTCAAAGAACTGGAGAGGGAATACGCCACCAATAAATTTATCACCAAAGATAAAAGGAGGCGGATATCTGCGCAGGCGAACCTGACAGAGAGGCAGGTGACTATCTGGTTCCAGAACCGACGCGTAAAGGAGAAGAAAGTTGTCAATAAGTTCAAGAGTTCTGGTTAGCGCTGGAGGAAAGCACGTGTATCAAAAACTGGCTAATTTATTTGGAAAGAACACTCAACGTGACACCAGCTCCGTTTGACCCACGCGTTTCCTTCCTGCTTTAATTGGAAGCAGTCTCTGCGGCCTGTTGACACGGGACGGAAATGGGCTGCAACAGTCTGACCAAAGGCCATTCTGGAGGGACATGTTCTCATTATGAACTGAGCAGACTCTGCTGACGCCTGGACCCGGGGACCCCCAGAGCAGAGCGAGATGGACCCCAAACACGCACATGCTTTTACCTTTGAGTCACAAACACGTCCTTTGTTTTGGAGTTTTTCCTCAGGTGCGAGTGCGTACAGACAGCAGCAGGGGAAGTCTGAGGTTATTTAGTGTGGCGAGTTTTATTTACAAAAGTGATAACAAAATGAAATATGAACATCGAGTTTATGGCACGCATTTCTCCCTAACCGCCTGAACCCAGAGGGTCAGATATGTTTAGACTACTTCATGTAGACATTGCCCTGAACTTTTGAGATAATATTTAAATAAATCCTTTTTTTCTAATATTATTATAATTATTTTCCCGTTTTGTTTTTACTTGCAACATGTTTAAATGCAATGTACTGTAAATAGTCTATGACTAACATCTCCTAAAGCCTTTATGTCTGAATCTGAAATAATAAATCCTTTGCAATAAATGAGAGACACTGTGTTAATATGAACAGGCCAGACGTCTTGTTGTATTATGAATGAATGTTCTGTTTTATTATGACTTCTGTGTGAGTGAAATGTAGGCCGCGGCCTCGTGAACCTCACAGTGCTTCTGCAAAGGCCGATGTCGCCATCTGGTGGAAAAACAGTGTAAGTACAACCAGTGCTCCTAAACGCGGTACACAATAGTCTGCTGCAGACGTGTTCAGTGTTTGACCAAGTACAACCGCGGCTACATGTAAGGAAGAAGAGTATTATTATTATTATTTGAATGCAATAAAGCAGCAGCAGCTCCGTTCATATATTGGTTTCTAACATGTCGTTTGCGGAATCCGTATCTCACCTACAGTCTATGATCTCACCTGGAGGTGATGGAGCCTTTTTAGTTCATCCTGTGTCTTCATTGCTGGGATCTTGTAATCAGTGTGAGGAGTAAATACATTCATTCACAATTCGTTAAACGTATTTAAGTACATTTTCCCCAAAGCTTTCATACCAACATATAAGTTGCCTATATAAAGAATGCTCACACAATCTTAGTTATGGAATAATAATATTTGTGATTGCAAAAAAAGTTCTTAATGCATTATTTAAAAAAATCGAATTCAAAAATAATAATTGGCAACATCTGCAATTGCAATAAACGTTACACTTGAATTGCATTGATATGGTTTGTTTTGTATTAAAACTGTATATAATACGATTTGATTACTTTTTGTAGAATGTTGTCACTCACATATGTGTCATCAAAAAGTGACTAAACATGATGTTGTGAAACGTTCAGTGATAAATACACATGTATGGACAACAACAGTTTTACAGAAACCTCGCCAACATGGTTTGCGCGTGACACATTAAAGATGCTTGGATTCAATCCGGGATCTGCTTTGCTCATTTTAATTTTACATGAATTTGTTTTACATCGGGCAATAATGCTGAATATTTGTTCTTTGCTTTAAAACGTCTAAAAGGTAAACTTGAGCTTTGTGCGTAGAACTTGCAAATAGCCATTGTTTTCTAAAATATAGATCCACATCTCCGCTCATGGCTGCCCCTCTTGTTGTGTTTGTAAATGAGCTCTCTGCCATTTTTGTTCTGTAAAAGCCACTGTTCCGGGGGCAGCGGCTCCAGCTGCAGAGGCCCCTGTGCAGCCTTCATTTAGTCACATCCACTTCTCAGATCTTTCACGTCTAACATTACACCCGCGTCCACAGCGCGCTCTGGGTCTGGCTCTTCAGTCTGCGCCATTGGAGTCTAGTCTTTACCACAGACTTACAGGATATAGGGGTTTTATCACAAAAGAATAGAGAATTTTGTTTTCATTACAAAAGGATAGCGTATTTTGTCTTTATCGCAGACTTTTTCTTTTTTTTACCATGTACAGAAGTAAAGAGTATTTTGTCTTTGCCAGGCGTATAGATTTTTTTATTATTATTATTACAAAGGGATATTTCGTCTTTATCACAGACGTGTAGTTCCTTTGCCAAAACAGATATGTGTCATTAGAAAAAAAAAAAAACATTTGAAAGGCTCACAATGTGCCTTTACTTTTTGGAAAAGATCTAGTTCCGTGCTACAGTGACGCCCCTTCTTTAAAAAAAATCTTTTCAAATGTAACAAAACGTGATGGAGATTGGAGCTGAAGGAAGACAACATTTAGCAAAATCTTCAAAACAGAGCTGTGTGTGTTTGAAAATTAAATCTTCATTTGGTCTTTTCCACAGACGTACGAGCGTTATGTTTTCACAGAAGTATAGAGTGTTCTTTGGTCTTTGTGTCTGCTGCTGTTTTACGCGCTGATGTTTTCACCCAGCTCACTTCCGGAGCCACAGACCCCCCATGGCGCACACGGCCCTCGGCGTCTTAACCTTGGCTGTCGGGGCGTTCAAGTGCTGTTTGGCCTTTTCCACGATATTTTAGTTTAAATACACTTAAAAAACACAATAAAGAACACATCCAAACATAGGCCTGACACACGCACTATAATGATCGTTTTCATTGGTTTATCTAAACCTTTTGTTGATCAAAATTGCAACCAGACTGATGTATTTGATGTAAATAAAACCATGGTGTTTTGAAAAGCTTAAGGTTTGAATTAACAGAGGTTTCCTAGAATTTAAATATAACCATGGTGCTTGCATTTGCTTTATAAATGAATGATATTGCTGAAGCTATACATTTTAAACGGGTACTTTTAAGAACAACAGAATCTCATGTTTTGAATCCTGACTAACACATATTTATGAAAGAGCACTGTGTAGAATGACTTAATAACGTTTGCCCACGTGCATAACATTTTGCAATTGGGCTCATTCTTATAAACGCAAATCTGCCAGTAAACAAAAAAGAGTTCTAATTGTGATGTATTTGTCTGTGTTTTATTCCAAACTACTCTGGTTTGTTAATTTGTATTTATTAGAAACAAAAATACAAATTGACTTGTATTTCGTTAATCCATGGAAATAAAGTGTGTGCTGTGGAAAATCCCTGAGCCAAAGGTTTAACCCGGGAGCAGAGCACAAAGCCCGGGCCATTCTCCAAACAACAACCGCACTTTGTATCTGCCGTTAGTCTTTATCCAGCTGCACTTAGACTATATGTGTCCTTACTGCAAAGTAATGTCATTACGCACGAGTGAAAACCAACCCAAGAACTCGTATAACCAAATATGTTTTATTTAACAAGGCTCCTATTATACACATGTGCAAGTAAAGCAAGACATTTGAAATAAATACATGCGTAGATCGTATGTCCCTATACCATTGCTGTTTTGGCCTTGTACCAGGCTATTAAATATATGGATAATAAACAGAATCCTGCAGGCTTTGTATACGTTATTTTTTGTGCATGAGATATATCAAATTTTTCAAATATCTATAGGCCTATTTCTATCCTAAAGTCACATACAAGTCCTGAAAACTATAGCCTCTGCTAACACATATTTACTATAAGACTTAATAACGTTTGCCCCCGTGCACAACATTTTGTATTTGGGTTCATTCTTATAAACTCAAATCTGGCAGTAAACAAAAAGAGAGTTCCTGCATGTTTTACGCATAACCGTTTCACTCAAGCACAAACTATGAATAAACTAAATTCAAAAGATAGTTAACTTACTTGTCATGTAAACAAACCAAAAACAAGACATGGGGAGGGGACGTGCTAAAAATAGAAGTCTGTGGTGATGTGTATTGTAGAGGTTTAGCTCTTGTACATAACATAACACGTTGTTATGGTGAAACAAATACATATGGCGCGGGGGGCGGGGGGGGGGGGGGGACTTTTCTCTGTAAAAGTGCTCCTACTTGTAGCTGGAGCGCACATAGTCATTGGCTCAAGTGTACGGACTGAGGCGTAGGCTGCTGTCACTTGTGCCAGTGGTCACATGGCTTTGGCCCTCAGGACTGGATAGACATGGATTCATTCCCCACGTCAGCTTCGTATACGCGTCTGAGGACTTGAGTTGAGTGCTCTCCCTCAAAAGTGGCCGAGGCTCAGCACCAGCACGCGCATGGAGCTATGAGGATTATTATTGTTGTTGTTATGAGCCATCTATAGACGTTCCACCTTCAGAGCGCGCACTATGGATTTTGACGAGCGCATTTCTGGCTCAAACATGTACCTCCCCAGCTGCACTTACTACGACTTCTCGGGGATTCCGCACTACTTGAGCCAGGGCCAGTCGTCCTGCCCCGTGTCCTACTCTTACCAGCCACAGGTCCCGTCAGTGCGCGATGTGGCGTTCAGGGACTATGGCATTGACGCGTCCAGCAAGTGGCACCATCACAGCAGGGGGCTCTCGCACTGCTTCGCGGAGGACAGAGACGCCTGGGCAAGTTCTGTTAAAAACGGCCCCACTGTCAACTCCAATCCCACGCCGGGGTTTTACGCGAGCGTGGGCAGGAACGGGGTCTTGCCACAAGCGTTTGACCAGTTCTTTGAGACGGCGTACGGGCAGGAAAACACAAGCACAACGCATATTACTCCAGGCACAACAGCTACGGGTGAGAGCAGCGTGGACAGAGAGCAACAGCGAGCCAAAGCCACCAGTCCTGCCTCTGCCACAGGCTCCGAGATCTCCGCGGACAGCCCACGGTCTGTGTCCGGTCACAGCGACGACAAGCACAGCAAAGGCAGTGGTTAGTATAACAGAAAGAGAAAAGAATCCTGCGCGTTGCTCTTAAAAAGGGTTTTATATGCTCTCTTTTATAAGCCCGCGGTTTATGGAGGCCCTGCGCATTTTTGCCTGCAACAAAAATATACCATAAACGACAAGATCACGTGCTTGGGAATGAAATTGGCCGTGAAGTAGGCCTACGATGTTTCCAAAGTTGATTTGCACCTGCTCGTCTCGTTTACAAGCTTTTAAAAATCATTATGTGTGTGGTTCATTATGGGACAATCAAGCATAGTACAATTACAACTATAGCACTGTCTTTTATCATTGCAATTAAACAAGTGGTTGTATATGCTTGAGTGACTGATAATGCGTAATACGTGTCTGATGTTTTTGACTTAGAACCCCAGTATTAGATTGGACAAATATTTAGACACACATATTGTTTTTTAATACGACAACAAATTCCCGTGAAGGACTTTCTCTCACACCAGGGCGACTCTTTATGCCAGAATGAAACCCAAAACGCACCACCAAGAGACACAAAACACCAGTCTTTACCACGTCCCTATCACCCCCTAAAATCCATTTTTATGGCTTTTTATACAGTTTCACAACTTCCGACATTCAATGCTCCAACAACATGTCCCAAGAGTCGTTGTGGTACTATAAAGTGGACTTTGAGACTGATGATGATTGAGTTGATACTGTTTTACACATAATGATGATCTCAAACTTAAATGGAAGATTATTTGTTTGAACTAAAATTTAGATATATCCAATTCCTCATGTTTATAGTATACTGCAGTCACAAGAACTTATACTTCGAATAGGCATGTATAACCCTTATTTTAAAAATTGGTCGATTGACTTAGTATTCTTCAATATTTGAAAAACTCGCTTTGTCAGATCCCCAAAAGCCAGTGATTATGGGATTTTTTATACATTTGACCAAAACAAAGCGCGAACAGTATTTATTATATCTATATCGAGAGAAAAATAACTTAAATATCTCCACTATTGTGAATAATATATTACAATAATAGACTGTTTTATCAGAACGATTATAGTATATCTTGACAGGATTCAATTATTGAGCTTTAATACTAGTTTTAGAATCAATTTCTGATGCTTTTGACAACCTCTACAATTCAATTCAATTCAATTCATTCTTTATTAAGAACACAGATAGAACTGGTTCATAGATTAAAAAACAACTACATTTTTTAATCTATGAACCTACAGTAATCTACAGTCCTATCCAGGTCATGTTGCAAAAATGTGCAGCATCACCATGTGTACAATGTATCGCTGAACCATGGACGATTTTGGCATAATATCGAATTGCGAGTTTTTGTATAATACAATACGATTACATTTGGGATTTGTGTATTTTGTTGTCATTGCAGTTACATTTTAAGAATACTGAAATAATAATTGTTGGACTCATATAAGAGCACATTTGATGAGCATTGAAAAAAACACCCAAATAATTCTTTAGTACTCATATTGATTTGACTATATATATATATATATATATATATATTTTTTTTTTTTTTTAAATATCAGATTTGCCGAAAATAAATAAATGCTAATAGTGTCCTGTTTGACATAACATAAGAGACATTTCTAAACAAAAAAATTCAGAAACATGTTCTTGTCGTTTTGGTTTGTTTCACTGTGACGATTTGGTTTAATACACAATTAAAAATTCATCCGAATCAATGCAATATAATATTACTTTGTTATTAGAAGAATTTATGAACTTTTTTGTTGCCGTTGTAGTTGTGCGCAAAGGCATTCACGATTTTCTTGTTGCACTTTGATTTAATTCGGTTTAATATTGCAGCCCAATAATGTATACAAAACCATTAACACGTTTTATTTCTTCCACACATGTGTGTTCAGGTGGCCACAAGACGCGCAAGAAGAGATGTCCTTATTCCAAGTACCAGATCCGGGAGCTGGAGAGAGAGTTCTTCTTCAGTGTTTACATCAACAAGGAGAAACGTGTGCAGCTCTCCCGGATGCTCAACCTGACCGACCGCCAGGTGAAGATCTGGTTCCAGAACCGCAGGATGAAGGAAAAGAAGCTGAACAGAGACAGACTGCAGTATTACACCACGAACCCGCTGCTATGAACTCTGCTGCGCGCGGACAATATACATGGGAATAATGTGTCATTATTATTATTATTATTATTATTATTATTATTATATAGCCCAACCTAAATAATTGTTGCCATTTGGTTATTTGGTGTGTGTTCTGTTATATAAACATTTTGCGTTTATTGAAATGTGCTGGTGTGTTTTTTTGCCTAAAACATGAACGTCAACGAAATATTTTGAAAATAATTCACACAACAGATAAATGTTTTAGGTGTTTTGTCCAAAATAATAAAACATTTAGTTTGAAAGGTGTAGTTTATAGGTTCTGCTTGTAGTTTAAAACGTGAACCAATCTACAGATGAAATCTAGCTGTGTTATATTCGCACATTTATAGTAATAATAATAATAAATGTGCCTTGTCCATTTTCAAAAAAGATAAAAACATAGTTTCGCCAGCTCCTCGCGCGCCATGCTGACATTTCAACATTAAACTTCAAGTCAAATGTCATACTGAAAGACTTAGTTGTTTTGACTTATGTGTTTTCTAAAGTAGAATCGATTCGATCCATTTGGACTTTCTGCTCCTATGTCAAGCTGCAAGTGGAAGTCCAATTAACCCTGGTACAATGGCGGTCGCCATTAGCTGCTATCAGCTTCCCAAACACCACTTGAATGGAACTTTCTTCTCTGTTGTCCTCTGCATCCTGTCCAGTGTGAAGAGCCTAAGAATTCCGCTTTGATTGCTGCACATCCTCCCAGTTGCTCCAGTAACCTGGCCATAAAACGCCGAGTCGTCTGGAGCATTTGGAGAGCAGTGCAATAAAGCGTCTGGGACCAAGGTTATTAACTGTGACCAAGAGGCTGAAAAAGCAGGATTCCAAACTTCTAATGCTTTGCATTAGTGCAGCAGCATTTCCTTCACTTGGAATATGTTTTGGTAGTAAGGCCGTGTTTTGTGGCCACTTGGTGGCGCTGATCAGATCAATGTCATTGCCGTGAACAGAATTATAAGAAGTAAGTCTGTTGTCAAAGTGTGGACAGCAGATTCTTCTTTTTCAGGTATAGTGAACCCGCGGGGACTTTACACAGCACTAAACTCTCATAATGCCCCCTCACTCCACAACAAGACATTACATGTCATAGTTTTACGGCTGATCATAAACGAGTTCGTGACAAAACGAGTAAACAGAACAATGTAACATCATTTTGGAAACACAAAATAGTTTCCTTATAGCTGTGAGTCACGCGCCCTCGGAACCGTATCTCCCACATTAAAGGATGTGTGTGTTTGGTGCATCACTAACTTTTATGATTAGTGTTGACATGTCGCAATTCAATTCAATTCAATTCATTCTTTATTAAGAACACAGATAGAACTGGTTCATAGATTAAAAAACAACTACATTTTTTAATCTATGAACCTACAGTAATCTACAGTCCTAAATCCAGGTCATGTTGCAAAAATGTGCAGCATCACCATGTGTACAATGTATCGCTGAACCATGGACGATTTTGGCATAATATCGAATTGCGAGTTTTTGTATAACACAAACACAAAATAGTTTCCTTATAGCTGTGAGTCACGCGCCCTCGGAACCGTATCTCCCACATTAAAGGATGTGTGTGTTTGGTGCATCACTAACTTTTATGATTAGTGTTGACATGTCGCTTTAAAATGTATCTATAATATGTAGAATTACGATTTATTTTGGTTTAAATACACAACATATTATACGCACAAACATTTTGGACTTTACGCACGGCTTTACACAGTTTTGTGAATACAATTTCAAGAAAACCAGGCACATGGAACTGAGGCCTTTAAAATCCCAGTGGTGTATGTTGTTCCATTTTTTGACTTATAATTTACATGAATTCATGTTAATTAGGCTATTAAACATTTCCAGCTCCTCAATGTGTTGCAGACTGAATATAAAATAATAACACATTCACATCTTCAAATTGTCCTTGCTACTTTTAAGAGATATAAACCAATACTTAAACATACACACAAATACGAAAATATTTCCACTGTTTTGACACTTCGTCGTTGGAACGCCAATAACACACTTCAGGATAAATTATTAAGCAGCATTTTTTACAATTATTGCATGTCTATATTTGCGACAAAGGAGTTTATTCACCACCGTCTTTGTTTATAAATTAAATGAACTGAGCTGTGTTTTATTAGTGGATTATAACAACAACGTGACTAACCACAAAAGCAGGCTGTATCTGTACATGTTTTGTGTAATTATTGTGTGTTTATAATTAGGAAACATTTAACGGTTGTGCGTCTTGTAATTATAATTTTACGAATGCGCACCAGTTGTCCAGACAGAGACCAAATTCAAAATCTTGTTCATATCACAAAGTTTAAAATGAGGACGCTATAAACTGTTTACTTAAATGAATATTATCAGGAATAATTGTTGTAAAAACGTAAAATATGTTTGAGGTTTGGAGTGTTTGATGCACTATGCTGCAGAGGCACCTCTAGAACCTACGTTTTACTGTGCCGTAAAAGTGCTCATAAAACTATGCATTGGACATAATTGCTGGGGACAGCTTTCAACAACTGACTGTCAAAGATGGCTTCTTTTGTGTTGTGGCGGCTCACTCATGCCCTGAGTTTGAACATTTTACACAAAGTGTGTCTCCCAGTCATAGTTTAGGCTTCTTTTACTTCGCCTAAAACATTGGGCTAATCTATGACAGAGGGGGGTGGGTGGAGCCATAGTCGCCTGGTGTTTTAATTGGCTGCACGCTACAGTGAGAAGCGTGAGTATCAGTAATTATTCAGCAATGTTTTGCACAAGAAATGTCAGCCAGGAAGGGTTTTCTTCACCCGCCGTCAAATTATCCCACTACGACGATGACATGCCCCAACAATCAGACTGCAAACCCCTTTTTTGTGGATTCTTTAATCAACGCGAGAAGCGAGTCTGGCACCTATTACCAAAGTAACGGCGTGTATCTGCCCCCAGCCGCGGAGTACTCGTACGGGCTGTCCGGGGCTGGCTCGTGCTTCCCGGGGCTCGCTAAGCGCACGGATCCGAGCGGCCATGTCCCCGCGTCCGCGCCTTATGTCCAGGGGATGGAAACATGGCTGGAACAGAGCCGCTCATGCCGCGTGGAGCAGCAGCAGCCGCACGGAGTGCAGCACATGACCCCCTGTTCATTTTCTGCGAGCATTAAAGAGGAGAGCGCCTACTGCCTTTACGAGCCTGACAAATGTCCTAAAGCAGCGACTGTAGATGACATCTCCTATTCAGGGGGCAGCACAGTCCCAGTGCCCGGCTACTTCCGTCTGTCCCAGACCCCGTACACGTCCTCCAGAGTCTACCACGACTCTCAGCCTGGACTGGACCACTGCAGTCCGGACAGAGTTACCCGTTTGGAGCAGAGCGTGTCCCAGCCTCAGCACGCAGCGCCCACAGAGCGCGTGGGAGAGGGGAGCCACGAGGAGGCGCCTTGCGTCCCGGACCGAGATGAAGACAGCCGCCCGTCATCAGAAGTCTCATCCTCCCCAGAACCCACGGAGAGCGCCGCGGAGAGCCCCGAGAAGCCAGCTAAAGGTGAATAGAACCGAGAGAGCAGCACGATGACTCATTCGAAGCGTTAGATGCATCTCTCTGGCTTTGTGTCTTAGTCTATTGTGCAAAATACTTACTACAAAAACAGACACTATTCTTGTTATCCAAACATGAACATAATTACAAGACGAATAGGCGAACAATATAACGCATGATATCACGTTTTTACAAATGTTCACCTATGTGTTCGGCTTTGAGCAGTTGTCTTAAACTGACTTTGTTCGCTGTCTGCAGTGTGAATGACAAATAGGCCTGAGGGCTTGAATTAAACTGGAATGGGTCAATTTTGCGAGTGTTTGTGTGCAAGTTTGAGAGAGCCTTTGAAGGTTACATGGAGGTCAGTGCGTAAATGTACATATTTATTGTCTCTGCTCCTTTTATTGAACAGATGGTTTACATTTGTTTGAAATCTTAGCGTGGGCTTTATTAGATCTCTATTAAAAGAGTTAATATAGGCCTCAAGTAGCCTAATATATGTGTCCAAACGTGCAGTATATATTGAACAAGGAAATGTGCGTGTGTGAGTGAGTGTGTGTGCATTATTGTATTTTTTTTTTTTTACACATCTACGTTCATAAACTGTTGTCCTAAACTACATTTGAACCTGTTACCCTTCCTTTACAGGAGAAGATAAGACAGAAAGCACTGCAAACTGGCTCACAGCGAAGAGCGGCCGCAAAAAGCGCTGTCCCTACACTAAACACCAGACCCTGGAGCTGGAGAAGGAGTTCCTCTTCAACATGTACTTGACTAGGGAGCGCCGCTTGGAGATCAGCCGCAGCGTGCACCTCACCGACAGGCAAGTCAAAATCTGGTTCCAAAACAGGAGGATGAAACTGAAAAAAATGAGCCGCGAGAACAGAATTCGAGAGCTGTCCACTAACTTCAGCTTCTCGTGAGACGCGGGCGAGCTGCGCGTCCCGCCAAATGTGAATAATGGACCTTTAATGCTATAACTTATTGATGGTTGCTCTTTTGGAACTGTTCATTTCGTTTCTATTTGTGGTGTATTTATAAACAGCGTAAATGTTGTGTTTTTAAGAATGTGACCACAGCTGCTTAGTACTTGTTGTACATAATGTATATTCTATATAAAACTGCATGTTGAACTTCGAGTATCTGTATACACTCATGTTGGTCTTCTTCATGTGACAGCTTTTAGCCCATACTGAAGGGCCTGGGATGTCTGCTGATCATTTGCACATTTCTGATGGTTAAAAATAATAATAATAATAATAATAAAAAATTACTACTACATTACTATTTGCACGTTTCGTTTTCCTTTCACAATATATAGCAATACTGTGCTACATGTGCGTGATACCGCATGGTTCTCATCCGTGCATATTCAATAATTGGAAGAAATTATTTAAAAGTTGGATAATAACATTGTGTTAAAATGTTACCTATATTTTCTATGTTTTTGTATTCGTCCAAGTTTTTATTTATTTATATTTACAATATCAAATAAAACTAGTACACGAATGTTCATCTTGTCGATCAGGGAAAACCCTTGATTATACTATGCTCTGGTCTCATATTGGTTGCATGTTCTACTTACATGATTTGGTAATCCTTAAATGTTTTAAATGGGCTAATTGGTCTGTCCATAAAACTGGATACATTTATTGCGTCCCAAGGAAACAGCAGCGTCCCAAAGAAGAAGAGCGGGCTGTGGAGTGGTTTAGGTAGTCTCATGTTGTTGGGCTAAATAATTTCACCCACAACACGAAACTGCCTTGATTGCCTCAGTTAAACTCGACGCAATGCAAAAGATGGTCCCCTGTCATTTAGGCAATAAAATAATAAACTATAGACATGTTTCAGATGCGTGCGTAAAACCTGTGCGTAAACATGGACTGTAAGATGAAATACACATAGTGGAGTGTCGTGATGTTAATGGGTGTATTTTATTTATTTATCCAAACCATCCCTGTGTTCTTTGGTCAGTTAGCAGATTGAGAGCAGGGGCAGAAGTGTTGTAAATGCTGCAGAATGTGGCAAAAGCTCAGACAAGGCCTCGGTTATGATCATTGCAGCTTTGCCAGTTGCGTCGCCACAGGAATGGCCGGATGTGTCTGTCTTGCGCCAAAAGAAAGGAAACAATGGTCTAGCTTTATTGCAGATATTTAGCTTTGGACAGCCAGGTTGTAACCCGAAGAAAAACAACCCAATTGCCCGTGATAAAACGCATGGTTATATTGCACCCAAATAACTTGAGCCCACTTTCCGTTTTCACCGAGTCTTCAAAGCACAGGGCCTGCACACAAGGACTTAGAACGGAAACACATCTCTCATCTCATCATTTTTATTATACACTACACTGCCTATAAACATAATTGGCGTTTATTAAGTTGGCTAAATAAATAATCAGATTTTCTCTTGATATTTTATTGCTTGTCTTAAAGTTTACAAAAACTGACGTTTTATATAATCTAAACATAAGATGTTTCTGACACAAAATCATAACTTTTATTGCTTATAAAAAGAAACATTCCCCTGTAAATATACGCGAGGATTTGCTATTAAAATGCGGTGGGGAAAATGGTGGCCATTTACTTGAGCAGCAGGCTGATTTATTATTTATTGTTCTGTCCCACGGTCACGTGTTCAGGGCGCCCTATCCGACGTTGGGCAAGGTTCAACTTATTGGACGCATTGAGCTGCAGCTGGTGCAGCAAAGCATGCATTCTCTGTGATTCTTTCGTACGAATTAAATGCTATTGAGGAAATTTTTGCTTTCTTGGTTTGGAAATGTCGGCCCTGGGAACTGGATTTTATGCAGACGCACAAGAAGATATGGCACCAAGGTATCCGTCAGCCGCATCAGGGGTGGAGCAGCCGCTGGTGAGCGAATATGGCGGATCTGAGTCTTGTCTTTTACAAAACAAAACGTCTCTTTTCTCCAGCACTTGGAACCCGAGTGCACCCACATACATCCACCATGCGTACAGCACAAGCGGCACCGGGGCGTTAGATAGCGAGGGAATGTACGCGCGCTCGTGGACTCTTGAGCCACTGCCCCCGTCCCTGTGTTTAACGGGATTACCACCGACTGCCGCGCATTACGAGATCAAGCCGGAGCCGCTCATCACGAGTGGCGAGTGCACCACACTGGAATCCCATGCGCCGCTGTTGTCTGACATTGAGAACGCGGCGACGCTCTCGGAGATACCGCCGTGTGAAAGCCAGAGCCCAGCAGATGTGAAGAAGGACGTGGACCCAAGTAAGACCCAGCGTTCATGATGGAGATATGTGGGATATTATGGGAAGGGGACACAGCCAGCAGGGACATAGGCTACGCGGGTGTTTGGCCACATTTACGCATGCTGCCACACAAAAGGACACATGCGTTTTTGTGGTTAGAAGTGATGCACTTAAGCCTGTAGGGTCAACATTACGCATAGATATTACACTTATTTCCACTGTGCAGTCCCACAAGGCCTATTGCTGTCCCATACAGGCGCACTTATAGACTATATCAGCAGAACTGAGATCAAACAAACTAGTTTTATACAAAGCTCCGTGTCTTATTTGTGGTTTTGACGTCCCTTTGTCTCTATAGATAACCCTTCTTCCAACTGGCTCCACGCAAAGCCCACCAGGAAAAAACGCTGCCCTTACACAAAATACCAAATTCTCGAACTGGAAAAGGAGTTTCTGTTTAACATGTACCTGCCGCGGGACCGTAGATATGAAGTAGCCAGGGTGCTGAATTTGACCGAGAGACAGGTGAAAATCTGGTTTCAAAACCGCAGGATGAAGATGAAGAAGGACAACAAGGAGCGGCGGAGAGACAGTTAATGGTGCAGGACCAGGACTGCTGGAAAGGAAGTATTTAAATAGGAACTTATGGTGTTAGATCTTCTTGTACATTCTACACAGACCACTCTGGATGGTTTGTTATATGTTCAGTATTTGTGAGAGACAATGTCTCGTCTGAATTTAAATGTCTTCGTTTCGTTGTGATGCACAAACAGTTGAATTGTCGTTTGCATGACTAGACTACCTGAACTCTTGAATGTCACCCAGCTACCTATTGAAACCCTTAAGTTATGTTGTTTACTTCTTGTTGCAATTGTTATTTTTAAGATTCATTGTGCACACGTTAATACCTCGTCAATGAATAAAAGTAGAATTTTTTGAAAATAAAAATGAACACTTTTAAAAACATGCAATCGTTCCAGTGTAAGGTTGTGATTAGTGAAATGTATTCCACTCAACTCCTGATACCTTTAATGTCAAAATAACGTTTAAAACGGATGCGTAACTCGTGCGTAAAGTGTACGTAAAGGACATCAGTGGTTTGCAACACGTTACTTATTAATATACTTACACATTTAAAATATAATAACATCTAAACTAAGGGGGTAGAGATGGGGACATTTTATTAGTGATTTCCAGGTTGTAACAATTTATTTTATGGCACTGACCATCAGAAGGGAACAACACCCCGAGGTCCTATTGTCAGAATCATTAAGTTAAGATCCAAGTTTTGTTATATTGTGTGTTGATGTAAACCTGATCCAGGGAGCTGTAGTATCACTCAAGTAGTTGTTGTTTTCATTATCCTGTATTAACAAGCCACAGCTGTCTAGGTGTTATCATGTACAGCGTGTAAAATGTTTTTTACAGGGAGTGGCTCAGGCTGAAAAGCATCAAGCGACTATGTGTGGGCGACTCCACACCTAAAATGAAGTATCTATTTTCTTTTAATATACAATCTAGTTCGCACTTCATCTTGGACTGAAAGTGTTGTTTATACAGAGCCAGATACCTGTTCTCTGAGGCCTTATCCGCCAGAACAAATGAGACTGTTTATAATGTGCCAAGCACTGAGTCCACCTCATAGAATATGATTTTATCAGCTTGAACAGGACACGCATGCCATGCATGCCCCATAGACTTCACACATGGTAGTGAACACAAATAACTGGAGAACGTAGAGCAGAGGTGTGGGAGCAGTGCAAACGTGTCTATTTAAAAACGTCTAATTACTTTACAGCCGTCTGGACAGTGCTGAAAGATCCATTTGTTTAGTCCAAACAGCAGAGGCAGAGGCCCATTCCTGTTATTGGACTGGGTTAGATTTATATGAACACAAACCCTAACCAAACATTCCCCTGTAAAATAGATATAGTCTTTATTCTGGGAAATGATTGGAAATGTAATTGTATTGTAGTGCTCGTTTACCTGTTTCTGCTGATGATCCCCGTTGTCCAGCAGGGGGCGGCAGGGTTCTATGTGAAGCTCCTCTTACGTGGTACATTCAGTGGCTTCAAAGAACTAGACCCCTGCCCTCCTCCATCACGCCACTCACGTCCACTCTAAGGTTTATGCTGTAAAACATCTCAATCTAATGGTAAAAACCTTATCGATTTGCTGACAGTTCAGGCTGAAATGCGGCTTCAGGTCAAAAGGGCCGGAGATGTGTCTGGACACCACATTGAAATTATTTACAATGTTATGAAAAACCATTGCCTTCTTACATTGTCTTTTAAAACATGAAATATTACTATATTACCAATGCTCTTCCATACACTTTGAGCACAGTATCAGCCGCAGTTCACTGGCAGTGGTCAGAGCCTTCACCATCTCCACATGCAGCAGCTACAGTCACTGCCCTTCAACCGGGACCACGAGGTTCGTATGTCAAGCTGAGGCACGAGCAAATCTCTAAAAACAGATCCAGATAGTTCTCCCTGTTCTCCTGCAGACACACCACTTCACTAGTTTAAATTCCGAGTTTAGTTGCTTTATGAGAAGTAGATATTAGCCATATGAACGGCATTTAATTTGATTTTCATTTTAAGATTAAAAAAACACTGCGAATAAAGCTGTATTTAGCATTGTTATGATTATTTTGGTAAATTTTGTAGGTATTCACATTTTCAGGAAGATGGTTACAGTTTTTATCTTATAACCCTTGAATGGTTTCCTCAACCATTTGGTAAATCCCCTTTTTAATCACTATATCTACTTTAAGCTCGGAACTGAAATATACCTCTTCTTTGGGGCATCTCACTTAATTGGTTTTAGGCACTTTTACCATCGAACTGCATCTCAACCATTTGGTCAAGGCCTATCATTAAAAGATTAAAATAAAAATAAAAATGTTAAAACAAACTATTTGCGTTATTAGTGCTCCTCCATCTTAAAAAATAAATGGCATCACTTTCTTCAAGGAGTGAATGTTAAAGGGTTAAAAAGAAGAAGTCAGAGATGGTATATGGCACATTGTGGTGGTACTATGGTGGTGTATGTGTATTGCAGAAGCAGCAGCAATAGGCCTATAGTGTAACATTATTATGTAGTGTTCTAAAATAAACTTCTTAGAATTATAGTGGTGCTAATAAATGTAGTATAAGTAATAGGAGTAATATTAGCACTGGGGCAGTATAACGCGAGGCTCCAACTCTTCCTGTCTGAGCTGCACATGCTCCCAATTAACTGTGTGTGTGTTTTTCTACATATTCTGTCCATGAGCGCCATATATCTGTCATACAAGAAGACAGCTCCTGTTTGTGTTCACTGTCCTTCAGAAAAGTGGTATTTGTTTGTGTCATCGACTTTCGACTATTCGGGTAATGTCGGAAGGAACAAAGTTGGTGAGAGTATTTTGCCAAGAGACCTCTGGTGCCCTCATACATCAACCACATGACAGCAGTCACAGCACAACTTTAGGGAGGAAAGCCACGAACACATGTGGCCTACATACTATTGTCTCAGTCAAGAATTAAAGCTTCAATTCCTGATTTGTAGAAGTATATGTATACATTCAGTTTTTGTCTTCTAAGGATAAGAAATGTGGGACAAAATCAAAGCTGGAGAACTTACCGCTTTGCTTTCATGAAGATATTTTGTTTTTTTCCCAATATAAAGAGTCTTCCTTAAGAAACAATTTGAGGTAAAATCAGAACAGGCTGTATTTGTCTTGTTAGAAAACGAGCGATCTTTTAAACACTGAGAGCTGATTGGCTGAGTGACAGCAGGCGCTCTTATATTTTTCACAGCAAAAGATAAAAGTATGAGAGACACAAAATGCATGCATGAGAAATAGAAGCAAGAGAGCTGGGAAATGGATTTTATTACATAGTTTACATGGTGTAGTTTCACACATAGGTCTACTCCAGCTTTAAGGCAGCTCAATTTAGATAATCTAAACAGAACACGTTGGGAAAACTCTTATTGAAGGAGGAAAAAACCCGGGTAAAATGTTATGCTTCAGGCTCGAATCTGATTGGCTGAAGTAGAGTTAATCCCCCACTGCTTCTGTGTGCTGAAAAAGCATGTTGTGCATTCATATAGGCATGTGAATTCTAATGATGTGGCAATGAGGAACATATATACGCGCAGTCAAATTTTTTTAAATTTTGTTTTAACCACATTACATCATTAACAAACCTGGAGCTAATATCAGGAAGTGCTGGCACAAACATGTAACTCCGCCCCTTCTGCCTAAATACCCCTGTCTCCATTCTTCCTCTATATATCTTGTTTTCCTTTTACAACAACATCAGTGCCATAACTCAGGTTTGGTATACGTTTTCAGGTGGACGTTCTTCACAACGGCATGTTTGCAGCTGGTAGTTTTCAAATTTGGAAAAAAAATGATATTAATAATTCAACTCCTGGAACAGACACCGGAGGAAAGCATTCTTTACCCTTCATACAAATGTTTATTTTCTACCAAGATCTTATTTCATAATCCAAAACATGAGATGGCAAAGTGAAACAAGTCTCATAATTTTTAATGGCTAAAAACCTTTAATTATGGTGTTGCAGCACACAGTACAGTAGTAAGAGCACACAAAAGAAAACGGGTAAGTAGCTGTAAATGCTTCATAAATTTGGCTTTAGGGACAGACACATATAGGCCTGTAAGACATTCTAATAATTATGATTAAAAAATATATATATATTCTATAAAAAATCCGGTACTCCATAGCGTTAAACGAATGTCTGCATATCTGTATACTTTTTTAATCATCAAATAATCCATCACACTGTTTCAGCCTATTTTGTCATCAGCCCGTCATAACCTCATTTGGTGTGTTGATTGGTCTCTCGGTATATTCATAGGGGCCAAATCAGGTGAGTGTTCAGGCATTATTTACGCACAAGTCAGCTTACATGACGCGTTGATTTGCTGCTCCTGTAGTATGTGTCAGATCCTGTCATGAATCCAGCAGGGCCGTAAATACAACAGTAATGTGCTATTCTACTCCAACACACACGTACAAAGCATCACCATACGCTCCATGGCTCAAATCAGCGTTAGTCATTTTCTATTTTTTTATATAACACCTGCACAAAAAGGTATAGACTGTTAGGTTTATCTTAAAATAAATGTGAGCCGAATGATATTATAGTAAGAATATACATAACTTTGCCAAATATTCTATTTTTTAGTGAAACCGTTTTGGACAGTCAGTGTTTTGGCCTGGTGCCTTCCAGATGTCTCTCTGGTCTCACAACAGAAGGGAAACGCGCCGCCCCCGTTCTAAATTAACCCACAACCAATGATATAAGGCTCTAAATATAGAACCACATAATTCAAGCATATATCACACCTACCAGCCCATATTATAGTGGCAATATTTTAACATTTGTAATCCTTATAAACCACATTTGGTTGATCAACAGCCATGTGTCTTGGCTTTACACACTGAAACATCAAGTTCAAGCTGGTAATGGTTTAATGTAATACAATGGGAACACACAACAGGATATAAAAACATACCAACACAAAATACACAATATTATTCTTTTAAAAAATCAATAATTTGGGGTATTTTATCCAGACGACGAGAGCTCCTCTGCTGCGTTGTGGGAAAAGGAGAGAGCGGTGGCGTTGAATAGCTCCAAGCTGAATGCATACACCCACTCACCTCTGCAAACAATTGATCCAGTGTAAGAGATGCTTTCCACTGAATTAAGTCAGGTTTCCCCCTCTTTTTCTTTGCCTATAGTTGAAAATTCTACTCTGGTTAACAAAAAAAAAAAAAAATCCAGCCTAGTCTGCCAATGCAAAACCAGTGCGTAAAAGTATAGCATATTTAGGCCAATAATGAACAGTTGTAAAACGCTGTAAAAATAAATAAAAGAAAAAGAAAAAAACATATAAAACATGGCGAGGTTTTTGGGGGCTGCTGTGTCTTCCAGCTATGGGATATATGATTCAAGGCATGAGGTGCTTCAAATGTGTTCTTGGGGCAGAGAGCTGTCAGAGCGAGAAAGATTGATGACGGGCACAGACGACTAGCGCGGCTCTTTGTTTAGAGCTGGGGCCATAAACAGCCATCACTTCCACCGCCTTATCCCCTGGCTTCACACTTAAGAAGCAAATCAGTTTATATACTCACTGTATAAGGGACAATGAGGATGTTGTACAGGTTTTACCATTCAAATAAATATTGCTTAAGAGATCTGTTTGCGCACACAAGCCAAAATTAATCAAATAGACTATATTTCCTCTCCGCCATGATTGAAGCCTTAACACGCAAATATCTCCGTTATTTATACGCGCAAGGTTGCATAGACAATTCAAGGCCAAACAAATAATTGATTAACTCCCAATTTTTGGAACGTTATTTGGTTATTTGTGAGAGAAATATGGCGTCCACTCCACAATCATTCACTTTGCTCCTAATTGTGCAACGTCTCCAACATGCAACTGCGTATATTTCTAGTGGTCTTTGAATAAATGCCTATTAACAGTGAGACTCGACCGCCATGTGTAAATAAAGTGCTCCCCAGCCCACGGAATGAGGCGTTTCCACTTGGAGTTTCTCGATCAATCACAGGGGACAGTGGCTTCTTTTGATAAAAGCCCAAACCGTCATTGGGTAGATGTAATCATGTGACAAGCAGCCCAGTCTTAATTCCAAGCATGGCCTCGTGTGCAGGCTGTAGTTAATGGCACAGAACTCTCTATTCGACTATATTCACATTAGCAGTTTATAAATGACTCGACTCGTGTCTGTTTTGATAAACCTTTAAGACGACACGGGGAAGGCGATGACTTACGAATTCGGGCGTGAGAGTGGTTTTATCAACAGCCAGCCATCGCTCGCCGAGTGCCTGACTCTCACTAACCTTGTCTGTGATGCGTTTCAACATTCATCAATCAAGAGCACGGCGCCTCCACTCTCAGCTCTCCTTCCTCCTCCTTTTGAGCACAGCATCCCGAGCCTCCACCCGGAACATCCACGCCACGGCCCCGGGAGGGTCCACAAACAGCCCGACAGGAGAGTCTGCGCGGGTGCGCGGCAGGCAGCGTGTCCACTGAAGGAGTACCCGTGGATGAAGGAGAAGAAAAGCATCAAGAGGAGCCAGCTTTCCACTGAGTCGTCACCGCTCTACTGCTCACCCCAAGGCAAGACATGATTAATAACCTCTGAAACTGAGCCTGCTCTTTGTCTCCACGGCCCGCGCAAAAGTGCACGTAGAGGCTGCACATTTAATCATTCCTATTTATATTTTCAAATTGGCCTTTATATTTGATAAATTCTTAATCTGTCCAAATGTAAAAGTGTTAATGGCTGACAGTAATGGAGAGTGATAGATTATCGTACACGGGCCAGCAGCTGCATGTTCATTAATCTTCAGCCCGCGTCCTGTCCACGCAGACCCATCATATTCTGCCATGGGACCATAAATCACCAGAGCGGTGTGACTCTGCCACAAGTCCTCAGCCTGCGCCGTGTTTCTCACCTTCATATGTGGCTTTGTTTGTGTCGTTATGCTTTATGCTTGTGTTTTGGACAGGATCACCAGAGGCGGAGGATGGCGGGGGAAGCACCGCCACATCCCGGAGGCTGAGGACCGCGTACACCAACACGCAGCTGCTGGAGCTGGAGAAGGAGTTCCACTTTAACAAATACCTCTGCAGACCCAGGCGCGTGGAGGTCGCGAACTCCTTGGACCTGACGGAGAAACAGGTGAAGGTCTGGTTCCAGAACCGCCGCATGAAGCACAAGAGACAGACGCACAGCAAAGAGAACCGAGACAGCGACGGCAAGTACGCGGGAGGGGAGGAGGAAGAGGAGGAAGAGGAGGAAGAGGACGGGGACTCGGACCAAACTGACGACGGAGAAAGTGCGCAGTATTTCCCACAGACTCCCGGGGACAGCACGGAGCAGAGCGCACACAGCGGAGGCCACAGCCCTGCGGTCTCCCTGCAGAACAGTCATGACAAACACGCAGCGCCTGCTGCTCCAATGTGCGCCTCCACAATAGGCGCAAACAATGTGCAACATTCTGCCGCACAGACCGCTGCGCAGGACTGCGGCGCGCTCTCCCCGTGCGCGTCCTTCTCACCCTCTCTGTCAGATTCTTTACAAAGTCCACTGACTTTTTTAAGCGACACATTTGACCTTTTCTCAGAAACTCTCACAACTATTGATCTACAAAACCTGAGCTACTGATTGTGTTCTGTATACTATTTGAAATGGAATATTTAGAGCTCAGACAGAAGGTAAGTTAAACCAACACATGAGTATGCACTGCCAAAAAGATTATTTTCTATATGGAATTGTATGGATAATTACTATAAATATTTTTCTGGAAATAAAGCTTTACATTAAACCTATACCAGTGTCTTATTTTATTACAACTATTAGGCTGTTTTAAATTCATGACGCTAAAACAGTATAACACACTAATTAAAAATAGGTATTTAATTACATGGATATTACATTTTCAGTATTGGCACATTTTGAGCCACAGTGTTCTTGCCGCAGCAGAAGTCGGGCCAAAAGCTATATGACTTTTCTTTGCTCTCTAATTAAATTTTATTGCCTATAAAACTCGCAGCTCAGGGGCTGCTTGTTTATGGCCTGATGCGCGTCGCAATGTAATCTTTGGGGATAACAATTTCTGCACCACTTTTGGAGATATAGGCCATATTCAAATGAGATTGTTTTATGCATTATCCCCTATGCGGCGCCTGCAGAATTCTAACAAAAACGCCCCACGGTTTATTGGCACATCGTTTGTTTTTATCCGAACTGAAAACGACAGGAGAATGCAGATAAAATGTGCGCCGGGTACGTTTGAATGTCGAATATTTCATGCAAACCTAGAATAAAGTCTTTTAATATTTCTATTAAAAACATATTTTACATGAAAGCTGCTGTTTTCAAAGACAAAAAGTCTATTAATATGTCATATTACAAATTAATAGCCTGCATTAAAATGACGTAACGTGATGGATCAAGATCATCTGATATGACCACAAAAGGCCCTTTTAGAAATTACACTGAAAACAGTCAAATATAAAACATTGCTGCTGTTCCTTCATTATGCTTTGGGCTCCCATTGGCTTGAACAATGAAAGTCTTAGATCATTTAAACAGGAGATATTTGTCCAAAATTTGTGAAATATGGGCTACAAGAAGATATGATTTTGGAAAACAAGACCCAAACAGGCCTGGTCAAAAGTGTATTATGGATACTGTGGTTTAGTGTTAATGTCTATAATTGATAGTACAATACATTTGCATTAAAAAAGATGGACCTATGGCACGGTTTTGTCCTGAAGAAAAACATACAAATCTACACAGTAAAATACACGGTCAAAACATGCAGCTATACAATAGATATGCAATAGTAGATTATAGAACATTATGCAAACTCACGAGCACAACTGAAGATGTAAAAAAATCACCTTATAGAGCAAGTTATGCCCAGTTTTTATGAACAAAAGATTATTATGCAGAATGTACCAGTGCATTATAAGCGTAACTCTACACCAGCCCTATGGGGAGGGGACCAGGCAGTCACTCACACTGAGCCTCCAGGGGCCAAAGATCAAGCCGGCTCTCCCTCTCCTGCAATCGGGGAGGAACTAGTGCCGGGTCAGAAGGGGGTCAGGTTTTCAATGACCACAGAGAGAACCATAAAGAATTTGGGTGAAAAATGCCCCAGTTTTACGGCTGGTGATGTGAAAAAGAGGAAGAGTTATTGTTGCCGTTACAATAAATGCGAAATCCTTTATTATCAATATCTCATTTATACTGTGTTTGTATTGGTATGGCCTCACTCAGGTGCTAGGGGTTAGATGGATATTGTATGCGGGCCGGTTCTATATGTACTAAAGAAGATAGTGCCGCCCCATGATATATACATTTAAGTGGCGAAAAATGCTATAAATCTCGAATGGGGCCACTTTTTCATCAGCATTCAGAGGTTTTCTTTGTTAAAATGACAAGAGTTGGTCCTTGTTAGAATGATTATGTAAAAAGATACTCAGGACAACATGACATGAATTGTTGTTTGCAGGTGAGAGAGTGGAGATTGCAATAGTTTGAAAAAATTACTTAAAGCAAAGGGTGCAATATTCTATAGTCTAATAAGCAAACTGTTATTCTTTCAGAAAATGTCATACAGAAGCAAGAGTACAACTAAATCTTGGTCCATTTGATTTGATGTAAATGTGCAAAAACGCATTAGCAGCATCTGGATTTAAAAAAGAAAGGCTGACAATCTCCCTAAGTGGTTTTTTGGAAAAGCCACATCTATTTTTGTGCCGTACATATGAAGTTTCAGCCTTGAGCAAATTCTTTTAAATTCACCACCAACAACAAAACATGTTGATGATTGTAGCTGGAGGAACACAAATGGATGTATTTTCAAAACAGAGACAAATTCACTCTTCAATAATTGTTTTTATAATTATTGAAAACAGCTGGCAATGAAAGTTGAACTAACAATTTGTGATTTCTTATATTTTATTGCCTTTTAGATTGTATGTGTCATTTCCATATATGTAATTAATTCCACAGAACTGACCCTGCATACATTGTTAGAGCTCGAGTTATGACAAAGACAACACAATATTTAGACTGTTTTAGAAAATGTTTGATCTGACAAAACACTCAAAAATAATATTAAAAGAATTTGGGCTTGTCCATATTTTTGATAAATATTCTTAGATACTTTTGGAATAACAAGTGCAGTATCTTTATTATTCTCACAAGAGAGAAATGGCATTCTCTTGATTTAAGTAAAACAAAAAATATCATACTCTGCACTTTGAAAAATCATGTTTTAATACTCGAAATGTACTTCAATCAAATATCTCATCAGTTTATGCTCGTAGGCTGTATATTTTTGACATAATTACCAAACCAGGCCTTTTGGAGGAGAAATCAAATCAGTTTATTTTTGCACAGCCCAGAATCACAACAACAGACATCTCTGAAGTCTACACAAAATTATTGAATTGTCAGTAGCAGGTTTTAAATATAAATTATGAAAACATTCAATGTTCAAGATAGACAATTTCAGCATATTCATTGATGAATGTCCCAGAGCACCAGAAAATCCTCTCGCCCTTAGACCCTGCGTATTTGGCAAGAAAAAACGTCTAAAACCCAAGGGGAAAAAGCAAAACCTTGGGGAGACCCACAAGGAGAGATCCACTCCCATTGGATGAAATTATATTATCATTCATCCCATTCTTTATACCAGTTTTGCCCTTTGTTTTGATTATATGCATACCTATAAAACTAGAAAAGTACTTTAAAATCCATGTTTGAATCTGTGCACTCAATGTGACCATTTATCCAAGCACCTTCAGCCTCACTTTATCCTTCCCTATAACGTTCTGCTATGGGCTCTAAAGACCGCTGCTTCCAGAGCTCTACAACTGTCAGTCTGTCACATCCAGCAAAACAATAGACGGAGGTTCAAAGGGGCGCTCTCTTAGCCGCGGCAGGGCGACGGTGCCTGTCCACACAAGACTAATGAGAGTGAGTGGCACCTTGGTCAACAATATGTCACCGGAGAGATTTGTTAGAGTTTGGGTTACACCATTATAGGCCACTGTACATTCTACAGAGTGTGACATGAGGAGGGCTTGACATGAAGAATGCTGCAATTGTTATATGTATTTTCTTGTAATGAAACTAAATATTGGAATGTATTTGTGTAGGATTGTTGGACCGTGAGTTTTGAATGTCAGGGGAACTGCACTAATAAGAGGAATGGTGTGATAAATTATTATTCTAAGTAAGTAATCTTTATTTATATACCGCCTTTCACAGACCAGAGTCACAAAGCGGTTTACAATTGTTATTTGTTTTGGGCATTTGTCTCTCACTCCACGCAGAGATGGGAGCGGGGTCGCCAGTACAGGAGGAGCATGCCAGACCTATTGTACATATTTTTAGTGGTAGGGGAAACCAGAGTACCCGGAGGAAACCTACGCAGACACGGGGAGAAGATGCAAACTCCACTCAGAAAGGCCCTGGTCCGACCGGGATTCGAACCCAGGACCTTCTTGCTGAGAGGCGAGAATGCTAACCACTCAGCCACCGTGCCGACCTACTCTTGTCATACCTTCTTTGGGACATTTAATCCATTGAATGAGAAAACCGTGTCGGTGCAGGTTTTCTCTGGGTGCTCCGGTTTCCCCTACTACTAAAAACATGCAAATCCTCCATGGTAAATCCTCCAGCCGAATATCTGGAGATGGGTTCCTGGGCACTACGCTCCTGACAGACGCCCTAGTTGCATTACAGGCTGGGTCAAAGACAGTGCACACCTTGTAAGTAATGTTTATTAATATAGCACATTTTACAGACCAAAGTCAAGCAAAGTGCTTTACAAAGTTCCGATATTTTTCAATTCTCTCCACACCGTAATGACAGAAGCAATACGCCAAACAACCTGGCACATCAAAGCCCCCAATCAACACCATCCATTCACTCATTCACCCATTACCATTCAAACCTTTTGTGCATGTTTTTAGTGGGGAAACCGTAGCACCCAGAGGAAACCTACACAGAAACAGGGAGAACATGCAAACTCCACACAGAAAGGCCTGGAGGTGGAATCAAACCCAGGACCTTCTTACTGTGAAGTACTGCGCCACCGTGCCGCCCCACACGTCTCAAACTACTAAAATCCAAGTATATATAGTTCCTTGCTCTCAAATCAGTTTGGTTCTTGTTCACTATGTTCTTTTGGCCTCAGCTTAGACAGAAAAGTGAAAAAGAAAGACCCCCCTAACTCAGCCAATCAGCTCTCAGCCCACAGTGTAGATTAGAGCTAATTAGAGCTCTTTCCTAAGTATGCAAAAGATAACATTGAAGAAGACAGAATGTTGTGGTCTGATATCTTTTACTTTTGCCATACCTTCTATTGAGGGCAAAAACTTGTATATTCTATAGACCAAAAAAGTTAGGTTCCCCAGTAGGATCTTTTATTCGAATTTTTGTGCAATAATGTTAAAACTGAGCTGGACATTACAACAGAAGCAACAGAAGTATCATGTTTTGCTGATCTGAAGCTTATGTATTTTGCCTTGATATAAAATATTCGAACGCTGTGAAACTCTGGTCGTGTTGTTTATGCTGAAAACCAACAATAAAAACATCACAAGCCTCTGCAACTTTTGTCATATTCTTCACCAGATTTAGCTTGCATTGACAATAATATTTACCATTTAAGGTAAGGTATACTTTATTATCCTTGTATGGATGAGATACCTTTCCTGTTTGTTGGAACACCATTCAGAATCGGTCCAGTTCAAATATCTATCAGAACGATACAACAATTCACTTTTATTTGTTGACAAGTTACAATTACTCAACAAATCACTGCAGCCACGTGGCATATTTATGGATTATTCTTATACCTTTTATGAATAGTAGTAGGTGTTGTTGTATAGTAGTTGTTGTAGAAGTAGATATACCTTTTCCTAGTAAACGCAATAAAACAAAAACCCCACAATCTTATGTTTTCCAAATGTGCCCATAACTTTCCATACAAAACAACCATCTTTATTTATGTGGCCATAAAGTGCATGTTATTGTAAGCACTTCAGCTCTGTCCATTAAGTCGGTCAGAGTCAACACTTAACTGCCAGGGGGAAATGATCAAGAATCAATCAGAAAATATGATCAAACATTACGCTTCAAATTTATTAGGCCCGTTGCTCTATTAAAACATCAAGAGGCTGTCATTACGCGCGGCCCTGTTATGAATAGGCTTATATTATAAAGACCAATAAATGACACAAGACAACACAGCGCTGCGTGGTGCAAATCGAGCGTGGTCAGTGATAAATAACCAGACGATAAACTTCCTGCTTCCGCGTCGTGAGAAGTTTCCTCTTTTGAGCCAAAAGCGTGCGCACTGGACCAGAAGCAGCCGTCACAGGCGCTGGCAAAAACAATGAAGGCGATTCCCGAGGAGATAGCGGCACTTGTCTCAGGTAAAACAGCGCAGTGTGTAAATGTTTTGTGTGGTTTTGAAGGGCGCTTACTGTATACATATAACGCAAAGTATGCAGACAAGGGTTGCGTCCAAATTCCTTCTCCACCCATTGATCTTTGAGATTGACCAGTGACATCAGAAAAAAGGGTGTTGTATTTCACGTGAGCAAATGTGGAGCTACCCAGTCTCATAAAGAGTTAATTAAATAGAAAAGACTAATTATGTCAATAAAGTATGAAAAGGAGATTACTTTTTGAAATTGAATGCAACATAGGTATCAAGAGGAAGCGTTTTGTTGGCTGCTGCAGACCATGGTCCAATTATTAACTTTTTTTAGGTTACTGTTTGCACACACAAGAGACATTCTGTCATATTATCCTGTCAATTCTTTCATGCTGTGAAGCAATATTGTAATACATTTTTTTTTTGCCTAGACCTTGAAGTTTTCTTGTGCGATGGATTGAAAGGGGAGAATTTGAGCAAAAAGGCAAAAGAAAAAAGAGAAGTTTTCCTAAAGAGGCTCAAGGAAGTAAAACTTGGGTATGGGTACATATGAAAACGCAAACTTTATTCTCAATATTTATACGCACATTGCATGTTATCATCTGTTTCTTTCTGTTTTAGTTTCCCTCATGATTTCAAAGACAAAAGTAAGTTCAGTTTTATTTTGATTTAGTGCGATGTGATGTGATGTGGTGATGGCAGCAGCGTGTGTCCTGCTGCAGGTGAGGAGGATTTTGAGGAAGAGAGGGAGTCTGACAGCAACAACGACACCGGCTCCCTGCAATCAGAGCGCACGGACAAAGATGAAGAAACCTGTGAAGGTAAATGACATTTAGTAAACAACAGGTTTGGAACACAGCCTACAACGTATATGTGCGTGTTTGTTAAAGATTCTATACAACAATCATTGTGCCTGTACAGGGGCCAATTCTCCATCGTGAGATCAATAAAGTTGATCTTAGCTTATGATTTAAATAATATAATAATGTTTGTATATTACCAAATAAACAAGACCCAAGCACCACAAGTTCGGGAAGGATCTCTTACTCTTTCAGCCCAGTAAAGCTAAGATTATGTTTTCTCTAAGTTCTACAGCTATAGGAGGATAGCGTTAGCTATTTTTAGACGCTTGGAGAGAGGTTTTACTAAATCAAATGGTCCATTCTTGTTGTGTGGTCTGTTGTACGACCCGCTGGGGCCAGATTAAGTTTTTTTTTCTAATTATTTCGGAAAAGAACAGCGAAAAACGGCCGCGGTTAAGTGGTTGCCCTTTTATGCTGGTACCTACGGGAAGCTGGGGGGATGGGGGATAAAAATTCATAAACAAATTTAAGTTTTGCAACTACTTTCATTGCGCTCTTGTTCACTCATTCATTCATTCATGAATGATGATTAATTTTAAACATTGCATTTTGGTTGCTCATCCCCGCGGCTTCCTGTTCCACCTTTACCGTAAGTAACAGCGAAAAGGAGCAACCCACTGTCTCAGAGACAGTGGGACTCTGCTTGGCAGCAGATCGGTGCCAAGACAGAGGTGAGTCTGAGCCATGTTTCTTCTCGTCATCCCAGGTCTCATATGGACTTTGAATTTGTTCAGTTCGGTTTCAGATACTTATTTTTAGCTTGTCTATATATCTCCTCTGATCTTCTTGCGTTAAAGTGCTTATACACAGTGCTATTCGCCCACTGAGTCTTTTAAAAGTACTCGTCGCATCCATGCTTCAGTATATGCTGCTCTGACTTTTTGCCACCCAGCGAGGGGCGCATGCGCACGCGGGTTTAAACAAAGATCCTCCTATAGAGTGTGTGAGTCGTGAGTTTGTGTATGAACTGCGCAATACATGCATCAAGAGTTCCGAGCTTCCGGCTCTACCGCATGGCATTGTGGGTAGTTTTCTCAAAAAGGTGGGCATCAAATCACTCTGCCATATTGGATTACTTGTTGTGAACGTGATCTCTCTCTCTTGTTTCCAGCCCATAGATTGTTTTAATGCTAAAAAATTCACCAATTTCAGACATTTTGAAGGTAAGGTAAATATTTTTTCAGTTAACAAAAAAGCAATGAATTTTTTTCTTGTGAAAAATGATGCATAGAGCTACATGTAGCTTATACTACTTACGAGGATAAATAACATTTCTGATCAGAGCATTCAGAGTGGGGACGAACACTGAGCTGGCAGTATAGAGAGGTGTGCAGTAGGCTTTAAACAAAGTTATTTTTACTTTATCTGTACACATGTGAAATCTCCGTGCTTCAGTGTTAGCCTGTCCATACAGCTCACAGTACTGCCTCTGAATGTCATCGTCATCACTGAGGTCACTCCTGATTACATGCCCCAGGTATTTGGCCTTCTCTACATTCAGAAGCTCCACACCAGACAAATATGTCCAAAGTACAGCTTTGGGCAAGTTTATAAAGCTCGCGTGTAAGCATTCCATCCTCGTAAGTAGCATAAGCTGCGTGTAGCTCTATAGTCAGTCGGTTGTGTTTACATCTAAAACCACAAGAAAAAAATGCATTGCTTTTTTGTTAAATGAAAAAATCTTTACCTTCAAAATGTCTGAAATTGGTGAATTATTTAGCTATTAAAACAATCTATGGGCTGGAAACAACAGAGAGCGATCACGTTCACAACATGTAATCCAATATGGCAGAGTGATTTGATGCCCACCTTTTTGAGAAAACTACCCACAATGCCGTGCGGTCGAGCAGGAAGCTCGGAACTGATGCATGTATACAAATAAACTTGCCTTGCTTTGCCATGGCTATGAGAAACATGGTGTGGTGGGCTGTGTTGCTTAAAAATGATGACAATCAGCTTCAGAACCAGAGACTGCGGAAGTGTCAAGTTTAATCTAAGTGCCCACAAAAGTGCAAGCCTAAATTAAAGGTGTATAGGAAGATTTCCCAAAATGTATGGAATGAACGGCTCTCTCCACTTTTTGAAAAAACTCTCTGGTCTTATTTGACGAGCACGCATCACCAGAATGATTGGCAATAAGGAGGACCAATAGTCTTGATGATCCACCCGGAAGTAGAAAATCCTTCTATATACCTTTTTTAAGTCATGCACATCAGTTTAAATAGAACTTAACAATACACTGGCGAAGGTTCACTGTTTCTCATCTCTCTGTGCACAAAACAAAAGTTCCAACTCTATAATTGGTGACTAATTTTTGTGAAACTAAACACTTTTAAAATAACTTTTAAAGAGTGAAATCCAACTCAAAGCCATTGACCATGAGTGCCACGTACAGAGATCGAAGGCGCTGTTGAAAATGAGACGAGAAGTGGATCAGTCTGGGATCGTGTCGCAGACAGAAGACATTTATTGATATTACAAACACGGAACAAACAAATATTTTTACCGTGAAGGAATCATGGGACAGTCCAATCATGAGCTGGTGCCAGTGGCTTTGGCCTTCAGGCAGTCATAACATACTGTATACTGGCCTAACACTGGGCGACACGGTGGCTGAGTGGATAGCGTTCTCCCTTCTCAGCAATGAGGTCTTGGGTTCAAATCCCGGTCGGAACAGGGCCTTTCTGAGTGGAGTTTGCATGTTCTCCCTGTGTTTCCTCCGGTTTCCCCTACCACTAAAAACATGCACAATGAGTCTGAATGTTATGAGTGAAGGGATGCTTTTGATTGGGGGGGGCTTTGTTCGGTTCGGTGTCTTGCTTCCGTCATCACCGTGTAGAAAGAATGGAACAAAATTTGAACTCTGGACGTTGTAAAGTGCTTTGGGTGACCTTGGTCTGTGAAAATGCGGTATATAAATAAAGTACTTTTTTTACTTAATGATGAGTTCAGCTTTAACCACAGTTGCTTGAAAAGTGTTACCCATAGCGCAAGGGTCCTTCATTTCTGCTTGCGGCTGGATTTGTATCATCACATGCTATGGTTTGGAGATCGTCCATAGGCTGTCTTAGTTTTGACAGCCTTTTTTAAAAACTTTGATCACAGACCACATCACACCGCAAACTGGAAATACAAGTGAAGAAAGCGCAGCCACACACACACACACACAAAACGCACACAACACTCGCACTGCAGAAACAGACTTTGAGTGGCACAAAGAGGAGACATTCCAGCTGTATCTCGGCAACATACTTTAGAAGCAATTTAGGGGCACAGCTCGCACCTCCTCTTTTAGGGCCGCCTTTTGACAGCCTCAACATGCTTTATTGCTCCTGATTCTGGAGCCCAAACCATTGCCAAAGCTCTGGACTTGTGACAAAACGCACACATTTGCAACTAATACAGTAGCACTAATCCTGGATAATGTTGTACGCCGTGAACTCTTGTGTCATATTTTGTGTTTGGAAAATGGAGTTTTGAGAATTCCTGGTGTTCCGGGGTTAAGATGTGGTTTATGGCCGGTAAGCAGCTGTCACTTTTATGGCCGCGCTTTCACACAAACAACTTTGACACAGGAGTTGAACATTTGCATTGAAGTTGCACGGTGCTCAAGGAGTCTCGCGTTTCATTGTATTTCTTTTGGACAAATAAACGAGGCTTTATTCTGAAATTCTTTGTATGTGATTTAATTATTGTTTTTTTTTTCTGTGCAAGGAGATAAAAAAATAACATGAATTGAATATTGTCTTGATTTTTATTAGATTTGACTTGACCACTGAAATTATTTGGAGATTGTAAACAAGAAAATGGGCTGTTAAACTTGAATTAAGTGATTCTGCATCTGTTTGTACTAGGAAAAAATATGTTCTTTGTTGTTTTTACTGGATGATTATCTGGTCTAAGAAGTTTATAGTGCACCCTATTCAAGAAGAAGATGTTCTCTGAGTAGCGCTTGAACTGAATAGATAAGTCTTTATTGATCCCTTTTAAGAAAAAAATTTGTCCATCGGCAAATTTCAGCAAAAAAATCACTAATAATGGATTATTTAAAAATTTAAATACTTATGGAGTCTTGCCATGTGTCCAAATCAAAGCTGTTTTTTGGTGAAAGTACAAGTCTCCATCTGGTGTTCCCAGGCGCCCAGCAGTCTCCTCCTGTGGCTGCTCAGGACCTGACGTCTGTGTTTAAGTCTGGATATCTGGAGAAACGAAGGAAAGGTCTGTGTTCCTGTTGCCATCGCTGCACAATTATAATATTCATATGTGATCCCTACGGCTAACGGCACGGTCTACAAATGATATCACCACTCAGACAAAGAGAAAACAGACTTAAAAGTCAGGAGTATACATGTGGCAAGTGGAGAAAGAAATTGCAAAAAACAAAAACAAAATCGATGAAACAATGAGGGTGCAATTGGTGAACCGTGTTATTGAGAGGGACCACTGTATTTCAACCTATCTCTGAGTTCTAATATTTATCTAAAAAAACAACAAATGAGAAATATCAAAGAAACATATATACATTTTTAGACATAAATAAGCAAAAAAACGTATAATAAAAGAAAAACACATCCAGAAAGTTGGCAAGTAAGACACTCAAATCTCATATGACCTAATCCATAAAATGTTTGTATGGTTTATTCTATTTTTATGTTTTTCCCATGAACAGGGCAACTCTTCATCATTATTTACTACTTATTGTCTTTTCCTTAGACCACAGTTTCTTTGGGACCGAGTGGCAGAAGAGATGGTGCGCTCTGAGCCAGCAGACATTCTACTACTACGGCAGCGATAAAGGTCATAGTTTTATCGTATAGTTTTAGAATCATATTTGACACTTTTCACATTCTCTTTTTGAATGAAACAGACAAGCAGCAGAAAGGAGAGTTTGCTATTGACGGCTACTCGGTCAATATGAACAACACTTTACGCAAAGATAACAAGAAAGACTGTTGTTTTGAGATTTCCGCTCCGGACAAAAGAGTCTATCAGGTATGAGAGTCAATGCTATAATGTGCTTTTTTTTTCTTGCTATTATTTTTTTGTTTAAGTTAAAAAAGCCTTCCACATTGTGGTTGTTACTCTCGCCTCACACCTAAAATGTTGCTGTTTTGATCCCAGGCCAGATCATTGATTTTTTTTTTTTTTTTTTTTTCATAATGCTGGTATATTCATAATTATGTTACAAATGTGAATATCCAAGGTCTGAAAAAACAACAAAATCAATTAAGGGATTTAGTTTTTATTTTGTGTCTGTTTATTTATGATCAATGAATCCAAATGTTTATCTCAAAACCTGCCCAATCGCACTCTCACAGTTTGTTTAAAAAAAGGGGTTGGTGAAGCCAAGACGTCCACTGTTTATACAGTATGTGATGAAAAAAAAGTAAACTTGGTCAAAATTTGGTCAAATGTATCTTAATTCGAGCACATTTTGACTGCCTTTAAACAAGATTTGCATTTAGTTGAATTTGCATTTCAACTAAATGGCTTCATCCCATTGAGTCGCACTGTACTCAATTCAGGATAAAAACTGCTCTAGTCAAGCCATTATTACCTCATATGTTTAATTTTTGCAGTGTGTATACTTCCAACCACCCTCTTTCAACACAAGACACACAAAGTACAATGATTTAAAAACCCATGATATTTAAAATATTAAAAGTGGGCCATACTAGTCCAGGGGCCGACAACCCAGATTGCAAAACTGTTCTGACCCAATTGGAGCGCATCTGAGCTTTAAAACGGTTTTAACAACAATCAAGACATTCTTATCTTGATTCACATTTGCCACAACTGAAATCTACTTGTTTACGATCTCCCCACAGCTACATTAGCAACACATATATCAGATTTAGTAACACAATCCAAAAATAAAATGGGCATTAACCCTAACCCTACATTAAAGTCAATGATTGGATGCATGAGTTTCTGAGCTTTGCAATGATATCGAGAATGCCTATATTGGGGGAGCTGAAGTTGGCTGGATGACACTGTGAGGGGAGACCTCCGGGAACACCAAGTGCCGCCGTGGGGGCAGCTGTAAAGTGCCAAACTGTCATTGTGTCCTTAGGCAAGACACTTCACCCGCATTGCCAAGAACAAGTGGTGTGTGTGTGCGTGAATGGCTGGTGGTGGTCTGAGGGGACGAATATACCTACTGGTTTTCTCGCTTTCATCAGTGTGGCCCAGGGCAGCTGTGGCTACAATAGTATTTTATCGTGTATGGAGTGAAAGAATGAGGACGTGTGAAGCATGAAGATGTCCAAAGATAGTGCAATATAAAACCTAAACATTATTAACTTGTGTGAATGTTCTCAATGGCTTCTTCGGGATAGCAAGACAGAGGGCCTCCTAAAATGCCACAGAGGGCCGCAATTAGCCCGCGGGCCTTAATTTGGACATGCCAGGTATAGAGTCACAGCATGAGCATACAACCAACCTTACATGAGAAAGCTACTCAATAAAACCATTTAAATCTTTTTTTTTCATCCATTTGACACTGCTGACTTTTGCGTTACTCGACACGCATTTATTAGTGTCTAAATGAGGGCGCAGACTCTTCCATCTGGAACATTTTAGCATGCATAAATCTTGTATTATTTGTTTATGTTAATTAATACATGTCTAACTGTGAATTTGAACTGACTGAAGTTGTTCATGTGTACGTAGTTCTGTGCGTCATCGGCCAAAGAGGCGGAGGAGTGGGTGAAAGATATAGACTTTGTTCTAAAAGGTTTGGCTTCTAGTCGTTTGTTTAATTGCTTTTTAATTTGCAGTTACGATATTTCACATACTTTCACTGGCTGTTGTTGTGTTTTGGACGGTAGCTATGAGCGGTGTTATTCCAGAGGATGAAGATGAGTACAATGATGTTGAGCACGTGGCGGACGAAAAAGCAGAAGAGCCCAATGAGGATGATATCTATGAAGAGTTGCCAGGTTTGATATTTATTAAAGTTTCTTCGTTACAATTATATATACGTATTTGACATGACATGGCAAAATTCAAAATATGCTTTCGCAATTGTTCATGTTTTTAGCTGATTTCTCTGTCAGAATAATTTGTATTGCCATTTGTCAGTAACAGTTTGCAGACAGCTGCAAACAAGTTTTAAAAGTAAAAATTTAATAAGCCATGCATACAATAAGATAAAAAGATCTTCATAAAATGTGCTAAAATTACTACTAGCTCACTATGTACGTACAATAACCATGAGTATATTTACAAAGAGAAATTATATTAAGACACACACAAAAAAACAGCTCCCGATCCCTGTTCTATAATAATTTCAAGCTTTAAAACTGTCAACAAACAAATTATATTAATTGTAGTTGGTGATTGGAGGCGTCTAAATTCTTCCTCTTCCCTTCTGCGTCAGTCCTCATCCATGGGAGTGGATCTGCTCCCCCCAGATTTCCCCTTTTTCCACCGCTGGGTTTTAGTTATTCCTGCTGCAGAAGGAGGGTCTTATGACGGGGGATGCTTCGAAACAACATTTATCATTTTTCTCAATTCCCGTGAACATGGGTCAGTCCTAACCCAAACCCCATTGTTTGATTTTTCTAATCTTGTGTCGGCAAATAAAAAATGTTCCTAAGTCCTTTCAAAACGACTGTGGTTGAGATTTTGGGCTGTACAAAAATACATTGATTTGAAAAAAAAAAAAAAGTATGGCATAAATATTTGATCTCTGAGGCGAACCCCCATATATTATATTATATATTATAGAATTATTTGTATGTATATATTATAAATTTCCTCTGTATATTTGTCATTCTAATCGTACTGTCACTATAGTCTATTGTTATGTTACAAGAACTTTCTCACAAAACGAGCGACTTCCTGTAAAATAAAGCAAGACGTGAACCTTGCTGAGGTTTTTAAACGCCACAGCGGATATACAAATGCTTATTTTACTTAAATTAAGAACATGAAAAATAATTTGACATTTTGAATCAGGAAAAAAAACCTGGCTCTTCAGATGAGACTGAAGCATGATCCAAGGAAATGACCACTAACATCAAACATAAAGAATATAAGGGTTTAATATATGGCAAAAACATGTTAAAGAATCTATACGCAGATAATCTAAAAAGGATGAATGAATGAACATGAAATAAAGAATATATCAAATGTATTTACAGAATGAGTCGAAGGGAAATGCAGCACAAATGTACAATTATATTTTCCGATAAATGTCTTAATTCAATTCATGTTTGGTTCATTTTTAAATCTGTTTTTTACTGTTAAAATTTGACGACAAAAGAAATCGATTGTTTCTGTCCTTAAGGAAGACATAACACCCTTTAATATATTTAGTTTTTTATTTGTATATTGCCTTATATTGAATCATAAAACTCATTACATTGCTATTTTCCGCTCACTCCACACACAGAGGTTGCCAACAAGAGCCCCAACCTTAACCCTAACCCATGTTTTTAGTGGAAGGGGACACCGGGAGCACCTGGAGGAAACCTACGCAGACATGGGGAGAAAATGCAGAAAGGCTCTCTCTGTTAGAAATGTCGGCATTGATCTAAAACAATGTTCTAAAAAAGAAGAAATGAAAAAGTTCCTGACTCAGTCCTGCTATATTGGTCTGTGCACTGCCCCTTTATGTGACATCAGCAGAAACATGGTCACATCAGAGGAGGTGTAAGAGAATATGAATGACTGAAACAACCATGAATCGTTCCAATAATGGCTTTGGGTTTTTCAATAATAATAATAATATCAGTGGTTTATGTCACAATTGAAAACCTGAAAACTATTTTAAAATTTGATTGAGCAAGACCCAGGTTCCTGATTGAGGAGTGAAAAACCAGTCAGTTTGACATTATTGGGTTGAACTATTTCTACTCCATTTATATGTAACCACGTAAACGGGATACTACTGAGACAAAGCCAGCAGATGCATTCAAGAGCACACAGAAAGGCCATGCTTATATTAGAAATGTATGTATTTGGACTCATTCTGATCATTGTGGACAAAGCACATGTCTTTCATTGGTTTTATGTGAAGAAACAGCTGAAAACATGGTTATTGTGGAGTCAACTAATCCAGAAATATTGTCTATACAAAAAAAGATGTGGCCTACAATTGAATTTTTCTGAACATGATTAAATCTATTAGTATTTTTTATTTTTTTTCAGAAGAGGAAGATCCCATTCCTGCAAAGCCTCCTCCAAAGATTGAGCCACTGAAAAAGCCGCCTCCTCCCGCTGCTGCTCCAGGTATAATTACTGTATATTTATTGTTATATACTGTCTCCTCTAATATATTCACAGTTTTCATACTGATGCAGTGAAGAAGTGCAGTTTTGTAAAGGGAAGTTTCACACACAAAGGGCAACTTCCTGAAGCTATTATTATTATCGCTCTGAAAATACCCTGTACTTTTCAAACTTTCTCAATGAGCAACAATCAATACCTCATTTTTCTCTTCTAGAAAATTGACTTTGTTATATTGACTTGACTTTGTTTATTTAAGATTTCAATATGTTTTGTATATTTAAAAAACAAATACACCAGCTGCTTAATGGGGATCCAAAAAGATGTTTCAGATCCAGACGTTTTGGCTCAAACAAAAGAAAATGGGTCACTATATTTGTTTTGGTCTAACTTTAGTCAACATAGTAGAGTTACACATAACTTTGTGACTTTGTTAGGAAATGTTTTTGCATTCTTTATTATTTCTAATAAATCCAATGACTTGTGTGTTTACAGTGGTGGATAAGAGCACAGACTACAAGAACTTCTACCAGTGCCTGTGGGACTGCCTGGGGGACCACCCTGACGAGCTGTCCTTTAAACGTGGCGACGCCATCTACATCCTCAGCAAGGTACGCCTCCTCACAGCGGGTTTTTGGAGTTTAGCTCAGTACACTGCAAAAAAAAGCTTGAATCGAGTGGTTTTTATCCTAATTTGTGCACATTCTGACTGTCTTAAAACAAAAGCCATTTAGGCTGCGGCCACAAAAACAACCTAAAGCCCGTTAAAGTGGACCTAGGCCCAGGTCGCGATTAGATCTGGGCTCTAGGTGCCTTGAGACCGCAACAACTGGCGCACACACGTGTGTCCCTCTGGTCTCAGCTGCTGCACATTGGAGAAAGACACATCTCTCACTGGTACACAATGACTCTCACTGGTTGCAAAGAACGTGATCCTTGCTTGAGCTGTTGGCCACAGTAGCAGAGTGTAAACAGGAAGAGAAACAGAAACTTTACTGGGGGTAGTCGCTGAAGTGATTATTAGCGCCACCAGCTGGGCCGAGCATGTGATGCACCTGCATTTGGGCCGCCATTGGGAAAAAAATATGTTACAACATTGTTCCCTCATTATTCCTGTTGTTTTTAGGCTTATCCACACAAATATAAGGAACTTCTGGTGTAAATATAGACTGCATATAGATGAACCATGCTAACCCGATAGCTCAATGAAGCCCAAAAAATAAGTGCTCATGGACAAAGTTTTGCTCCAATGCGCTCTGGGTTTGTGGGACCATTTATTAGAGGGTCACAAGCCTTTCCTCTGTAAACTGTGTTTCTACTACACTGTATTAGTACAAAAGCATCCACTGACAAATGGAATGGCAGATTTTGAGTACAATTGTCATGAATTTAAGTAAATGATTTGTTTTTACCATATCTGATTCTGGAATATGATAGAATTTTGTAGTATTATTCAACACAGAAAAGTGAAAACATACAGTATTTTACAAATGTACACGATACATTTGGCTCGCTGCTTATTGATGGTGGGTTCCGTCAATGTTCCATTTGAGAACCAGTGCACTCAATGAAATGACTGTTCCGGAGAATTTTTATAAAAAAATTTTTTCACATTTACACCAAATTCTACAGGTCTTTATGTGAAAAGCACTTTATAAATCAGGATGACTTACATTCTATGCCGCAGTAAACCTTCTCTATCACATTTAAGGGACAAAACGCACACGTACAATGCATAATTGAAAGCACAAGTCTATCCTAATAGTGTGTTGTTGATAATCGCCGTGGCCCACACTGCTCGTAGCCTCAGCTTATTGCCTGAGTCAGACATGTTGTCGTATGGGCTCACCGCAGACCACCTAAAGAGAGTTAATTCTAGACATGGGAGGACCTGACTCTCTGTATCCGTTTTACTGGCAGCCAATGGCCCTCTGCCCGGAGCTGCTCAGCCTGGACCAGGGCTCTCTGTCTGGGTCCGCGCTGATGGGGATTAGTTGTGTCACCACTGAGCTGTTTTAGTGTTGTTGGCGGAGGCTGGTTGAGCTGCTGGCACTCTGCTCCCCTCTGCTCCCCTTCTCTGCTCCCCTCTCTCCAGCCGTCCATTCATCTGTGCTGCTGCTGCTGTCGCTGTCATACAAACTCACTAAGCCCACACAAACCTCTATAGCTCTCCACTTTGTCATGTTTAGTTCTCCGGAAATCCCAGCTCAGGTAGAATATTCATGCGTACGTCTTCATACTACAGGCTGTAAGAAATGAATTGATAAATCACAACTAATCTATTATTAAAATGATATGTTCTGATTTTGAACCAGACTTGAACCAAAACAGCTTTATTACTGAATTTTCAACAGACTGGCATGGAATTGTTTCAAAAAGTATTTCCAATCATCAAGCAAACTTTCAATCTTGAAATTATTGCCCAACTGTTAAAAAATGAGACTGAGGCAGCAATCTCTTGCACTTGTTCCTGGGTTTATTTTCGTGTTCCTCCAGATAGATCAAATAAGACCAAGCTTTTTATATGATGTTTATCAATGTGCATCAGAACATTCTTGAGAGATTAACCCTTTAATGGATTCCTCAACCACTAGATCACTTTTTGAGTCACTATATACAGTAGCTTGGAACTGAAATTTTCTTTTTTTCACTTGTTTTTAGGCACTTTTACCATCAAACTGCAGCTCAGCTTTTTGATAAAGGCTAATAATAATAATAATAATTTAAAAAAGTACAAATAATACATTGTTTTCTTCAAGGAGTAGACAAAGAGTTATTAACATTGATAGATACTAGTTGCACTGTGGGTCAGAACAAATGGATTCGGTTCTTGAGATAATAATGTTTTAGCAGTGAAGTCCAAAACATGCAAGTCAGATTCTGCACAACTATCAATTATCAGAATAATCGTTAATTGCAGCCCTACTTCAGACTATTGTTTTGTTACTAAAGCCTTGTTATTGATTTACATTTCCGTAAGTTCTTTTTCGAATATTGAAAAGGTTATGAATGATCAAATAAATCTAAAAAATATGATGAAACAATGCCGTGGTAAACTTGGACGAATAGAGGAACAGCGTCCATGTCTCTGAAATCAGTGCCGCAATAGTGTACTTATCAAATTCAAGTGCGCTCTCTAGTGGTGCGTTTTGGCATTACAGATAACAAAAGCAGTTCTGGGAAATAAAGGAGAGGGAGAGAAGCGCCGCCAGCCACCATTTAACTGTTGCCATATACATTTTTTTTTAATGGAGAATTTTAAATCAGACATAAAGTATTATTGTTGAATTTATAATACACATGATTGCATTTTGTTGTTATTTCCTGCCACAGATGCTTTTGGGAAAGACCATAACAAGTCTTCTGAAAAACTAATTGATTAATTGATCTCGGAGCAGTAATGGGAGGGACTAAATGCACAAAGCAGACACAGGGATTTGCTGTACTCATTTCCCAAATGCTTGTTTATTGCCCCTGTCTTTGTGGGAGAGGACCAAGAATCAAGTTGCCCTTTCACTCAGACGAGAAGTGCCATTAGATGAAACCTTGGTGTTGGGGGTTGTGGCCCGCTGCAAGGGCAATGACCATAAAACCTGTCTGGACTGCAGTGGCCAGCTGCAGCTAAAGCACAGACAACTTCCTCCCCCATTCTCTTCCTCTGTCCTTAGTCCCTCCCCCATTCCTCGGCCCAGAAATAGCGGAGTGTTCCAGCCTGGAGACCCCCCAGACGTCCAGGCTGAGTGTGACAGTGCAAGCGGCTCCACCCTCCCTGCTCAAGTCACAGCACATAAAACAAATTGAGGGATGTATGATCATTAACCCATTACCTTAGCCAAATGGGCTGGACATAAACACTGTCCAAATATGATCCTGTGGAGTTCTTGAGGCCAAAGTCTTTATCACATTAAAGCCATGGAACTCTTGCTACATAGTAATGTGACAACGTCTTTACTCTGCGTGTTTACGTTCGTGGGCTATGAGTTTACTTGGTCTTTCACGTGTCTATTTGAGATTAGCTAAACACCAGGCTGCGGAAAGGCAAACTGCACAACGATATGGTCACTGGGATTGTTCAGTTAATCCAACATTTAAAGGAGACGTATCATGCAAATCTACTTTATTGAGCTTTTGTCGTAAAAAAAAAAAAAAAAAAAAGCGGAGGCAGTGTTAGAAATGGCAGGGCACGATCGACCTGCAAGTTTGTTTGAGTTTAACCAGAAAGATTCAGGTTTTTACAGTGCTTTTTGAACACTATAATGATGCACCAACATGGAGAACTGGTACAAACAGAGATATGTGTTGTGCTAAATGTCCATTTCAGAGATACTCTGTGACATTAAAGAACTAATCCCTTAATACTGTATTTTGTTTGTTGTAAGTTTGATTTGTGAAAGCCACTTTTCACTCTCACCATTTCACACCGTTTTTATAACCATCAACGCTAATATCAGTCACTTCTATTGATTAATGGATGAAAAACTCCTGTCTGAGTCTTGTAATAGTAGATAAATAGATAAATAGTTTATTGATCCATGTAGGTGAAATTTCGGTGTCCAGTTGCAGCAGGAACACATCCATCCATACAAAACAACAAAAACAAACAAATAAATAGATAATTCTAAAAATAGCTAACAATATTAAATGCAACAGCGCTCACACAGCCGCAAAGATGGTGCAGCCGCCGGATGGATGTTGTTGTACCACTACATGACGCTCAAAGTGATTTTCTGCCTTTTTAAATATTACTTAATTCATTTTAGGGAATTAGGAAAAATGAAATGGCTGGGGTTGCAACCGGTAGTTTTCAAATAATTTACCCTGCCCACTGGTGATAGCGTAGGAGAGGGCAGGCCGATAGTATTGTTCACCCTTGATACTTGTTTAGCCGACCTACATTCTAAAATGGAGGCCAGGAACCTATGGCTCGGGAGCCAGATGTGGCTTTTTGTGTCCGACTCTCAGAACATTCTTACTACTGACTACTTAGATTTGTCTATGTATTGGAGTTCTTCAGTTCTTCTCCAGTGGCTCTTGTGAGATTTCATAACACTTTGAAGCAACTTTTGTTAAGGTTAAACTCATCATTCTACCAATGTGCAGAAGCCTGTACTTTTCCACTACTTGTTTTGACTATCTCTGCTGGCACTGTGGCAGCTGCTGATTGGAGGTCTCTGTTTCTCCTGAGTATATTATCACTTGCTGTCGTAATATCCTTTGTTCGTGTTGTTCGTGCTGTCTCTTCCATCGACAATAAAACATGTCTTCTGTCTGAATTGAAAGACACGATCACAGACTTTGTTATCTTCTTCACTCCCACAGAAATACATTTAAATTAGACTTTTTTGACTCTCTCATCTAAAGATTTCCAACCTCTGTCATTCATTTCATGTTTTAGAACAAAGTAGTATTAGTTTCAGTCTCATGCCCAAAATATGGCGTTATACTTCCTTGTTTGAGTTAAAGTACAACAACAAAGGCACTCTCCTGTTAGTTAAGCCTATTTATGGCGCGTCCCAATAACCCTTACCCAACACGTTTCAGCAAACAGACCTTCATCAGGGACAGAAAAAACCAAATGCCATGTTCCTGCTGCAGTGTGAAACATGGCCCATAACTGGTACTGTTATGAGAGTATGATCTGGGCCATCACATAAAAGCACAGAGCCACAGATGTTCATGTTCGTGGGACTGGACAGGAGTGTGGAGGAGGGACCGCGCTCCTGCAGACTGTGATTCACGTGTTTGGGGACTTTGATGCGAGAGGAACTGTGTGATTTCTGGTCTCTGCCCCTCACGTCTGCGCTGACAGCCATTTGGAGCTATAGCTTGTCTCACAGACAGATTTATGTGTGAGGGGCTCTTTGCACAGGCCTTTGTCTCGAGTGGTGAGTGTGCATTTCCAAAAGTGACACGCACTGTGAGGAGCTAAAGTGAATATGAACCTGTTTGAACCAATGTTGGCTTTATGTTTAAGAGATCCTTTCATTCATCGCTCAGTGGGGAAATGTCAGTGTTGTATCGCAGGTTACAGAAACAGTAAGAATGAGGAGCACGCAAATCTATACTTAAAAAAATAAAATAAAATCTATCTTCAGTTTGATAAAGAAGCAAAGTGCACAAACACATGATAAACTGTGAGGTATTCATTTCTTAAATCATTTAGTCTTATTTAAAGAACCATTTCTGTTTTTTTTTCATTCCAAGGGAGATATTTCTTGCGTCTTTTATTAAAACAAAATAATTTAGCTTGTTCTCTTTGCAAATCAGTCAAAATGTGCTCAAATTTAAGATACATTTTGCCAAATTTGAGCAATTTTTGACTTATATTTCATCACTTTTTGCAGTGTATAAAATACTGTATAGTGCAAGAAATATATATAAGTCTGTAGATATATCTGTAATGCACTCTACAAGAATATTAAGGTAATGAGTCAAAATCTCTGAGGGTTCAAATGTTCACAGTGATAAAACTCTTGTACATGTCACGTTAGCAACATCAGACGCTGGGCTAAAAGTGACAGTGGACACGTGTGGTCCCATATTGCACACATTGCACGCTTATGCATGTATTAGAAATATAGCCCATACATCTGAATGTGACTGTTTTTGCCTCAGGAATACAACCTGTTTGGTTGGTGGGTTGGAGAGAAGAATGGAGCTATTGGCATCGTTCCCAAAGACTACCTGATGGAGCTCTATGTTACATAAACCCGCCTCCAGTAAGTTTCTGTGAAATGTATGAAAACACTGTAAACTACAAGATGGTCCTATTCATTTCCTGCACATTATTCTTTCACATAATGAAAGAGAACATTTCAGACTAGTTCCACTGTGTTGTGCCTGTCCATTGTATTTATTTGCAAACTTTGTTGTTGTACTGTTTCCTTGAATGTATTAATTAATTAATTTACTTCGCGCACCACAAGATGGCATTAGAGATACTCGTGTGCTCATGTTTGACACAGTCTTCTCAGACCAGATCAATGTTCTAAAGTATGTTTCTGTTTTTAAAGAGTCACTGTTTAAATGAAAATAAAGGGTGGTGTTGTCTTAATGTGGCGTCTGCTCTGTGCTTGGCTGAAGCCGCTGGTGTGGCACAGGGCTGTGGGCTGTGGGCCGTGGGCAGAGCGTCAGAGCAGATGGCTGAGCTGCAGCCTGCAGAGGAGCTGCTGTAATAAGACAGGAGCAGAGAGGAGCTTATCGGCCTCTGAGGAGCGCTTTGACAGCCGCTGAGGTGCACTGTGGACACATCTTTGTCAGGTGCTATCTACTGTATACATAAACTACTGTAGACACTGTTTTAACTTCAAATCTGTCACAGCGGACACAAGATTTTTGTCAAGGATTCTCAAGGTTGTGACAAAATGAGACTAAAAGTGCTATCATTAAGCAGTAACTCATCATACCTTTTGTCTTTGAATTTTTGCTCACTCCCGTCTTTCTGTTTTGTTCCTCTTGAGTGATGAGCAAGTCCTCCGTCCTTTGGGTGACATTCAAAGCTCACATAAATCTTGTTTTTTTTTACGGGGCTCTGCAGTTGTAAAACCTGTCTTCTAATTGGAGATGTAATGAATTACCATAATTAGTTATTGAATATAGTACATTGGTACAGGGAGAAAATCCTTTGTTTTACCACAGTGAACAATGTAATATTCTTTCAGCCAAGTTGAACAGACGACATTTTTGTGACGATTGGAGCTTATTGGACTCGATCATCCAACACCAATAAAAAGTTCAAAATGTCTTGAGTGTTAAGCGTCGCAAGCCAGAAGCGTGGCTAAATATTGCAGCTAATTTTTATGTGCCAATAAAGGATTTCCTTAATGGATGTCAACTACAGCCCCATCCCCCTCAGATTTGGACAGCCTATCCCCTGAATATACAAGTCCTTTTACTGCAATTTAACATCAAGATATAATGTTTCATAGATAAATGTCACTGTGCTATTAATCCTCTAAGCACTAAATTACACTAATGATACCAGAATATCACTAATTAATACTTGCAACCATAAAGAGACATTTTGCGGCCAAATGTATAGATTGAGCCGTGGAGTATCAATAAATAAAGAGGTGATCGATAGACAATTTGTTTTAGACCAAAAGCATTTTATCCTCACAGATGTCAGCATGATCCCAGCCAGGTTTATTTTAGTCTCCGTAGCAACGCATACTTCCATCGAATCAGCGCCGCTCTCCACAAATGTTTAACTTGTAACTTTGCCTGTGGAAGTTGAAAGGCTGGTCTCATTGTGGATCTAGTAGTTAGAAATTTGCATGTGAATTCCGTCAGACCTCCGAAGCTAAGCAGGGCAGCGCTTGGTCAGTACTGTGATGGGAGACCTTAGGAGCGCCAGGCACAGTGGGATGGCTGCAGCTGTAAAGGGCTTAACTGTGGTTGTGTCCCTAGGCAAGACACTTCACCCACATTCGTGTGTATGTGTATGTGTGCGTGGTGATCAGAGGGCCTGATGGCAAAGAAAAATGGCCTTACTTCTGTCAGTCTACCCCAGGGCAGATGTGGCTATAGCAGTAATTTGCCACCACAGTGCATGGAAAGAAGCATTGAGAGTCCAAATAAGTGCTCATATAAAACTGATATATGGACAATTCTCCCTGAAAATATGAGACATGCTTAAAATACAGGTTAAAACAAGATCCTGTGTAGCCGTGCAACAGACGGATTGTATCTTCACTCCTTTTAATCTACTGTGATTATTTATCATTTTGATGTTTCCTCTCTTGTTTCGTTAAACACTTTGAGTTGACTTGTATTAACTGTGATGTCAAAATAAACTTGCCTTGCCAACCCTTGCTGTTTACTATTGTTGTTATTAATATACATTTAATTAGATCCATCTAAACATTCCAGACAAGACATTCAGATTGACCTGAGCAAAACAATCTGAGCCTCCACCATGATCGAATGTTCTTCCGCAGGCTACAGATCTGGCAAAACTGTTGAATTTAATTCCCGACATAAAAACAGTGTATAAACCCAAGTTTGTATTAATAAACTAAACTTCCCTGTTAAGAGTTCATAAAATACATGGGTGATAAAAGCCTAAAATTGAAAATATAATAAGTTGAAATAGTTGAGAGCCACAAAAATAAAGACTTGTCTAAAGTTTATGCCGTGCACCACTCGCATACATCACCACGCAGCATCTTAGTGGCCTCCTGTCAAGAATAACACTCTCTTATTTATGAGAGATCTTCTGGCATTTCGCAGCAAATCTATTACCACGCCACTGGCCCTCTGTCAGCGTTCCATTAAGGCCTTTTTGCTGGTCAAAATCTTTAAATCTGAAATAGACGTTTTTCAAATGCTAGTCAGTCTTAATTGAGGTCAGTCTTGGCTCGCATAACTCATGGCAGCTGACAAATTAAGATTTCCTCACTGGGTCTGCTTGCTGGTGACATTGCGGAGATGCGGCCGATTTAAAGTCCAAGCTGACAGGACCACGCCACGATGCATGGGGAATTCATATTTAAAGTGTGACGTCTAGCAGGTATCAATTTTCCCAGTGTTTTTTTTTTTTTTTTATTATAAAAAATGATATATAGTATTAGCATAAGCTAGGGTTAGTAGCAGACCAGTAAATTTAGGTTTCTTTATAATATCCGCTCCCGCTTCTCCTGGGTCTGTACTATTTTCCTTTGTTGCAGCTGAAAGTTGTGCTTTAAAAAGTTTTAGTCAATCCTGGACCTGCTTTGACACTGAGGTGTGTCATACTCTCTGACTATGTAAGATAAGATGGAACAAGCTGCCAATTCTAAGTAAAGTAAATTCTCACTAAAGTAAAAAGAAATTCACACCAAAATCCCAGGTCACCCCTTCAATATACAGAGACACGGGCTGGTGTGTTGAAACTACTCAGCAATAAACCCGTCTTGTGACCTAATATAGGGAACATTTCCACAGCAATGAAACCAAACATTTTTACATGGGAAGGAGAAAGTCTCACGCTGGACAATATTTTGTGTAATGACGGTGTAATGAGCTGCTCTTTCCTTTGAAAAGTTGGCCTTGTTAAAAACATGCAGGATTGACTATAACTCCTCTGTCTGTAACTACAGACACAGCAAACAGCCCAAACGACACAACAGTGAGGAAGAGGGAACTAAAGCGAAAAAATTATCAAAGAAGAAACCAAGCCCGGGTGAACATAGCTAGCTTACATCGTATCCTCTGGAGAGACTTGTGGGACTGATGGGAGAGACCTGAGAGACCGCCTCGGACTATCTATGCTCGGACCACATTCAGACGCGGAACTAGCGGTATTCTTTCAGTTATATATTGTGTTAGCAGGGCGTTGCTTTTGTACCATTTCATCAGTGATTGTTGTACAGCTTTCAAGAAGTTGTGCTCATGCTAATGTTAGCATATGTATCAGATCGCAAATAAAACTAGATGGCTTCGTGGGATGAGAGCGTAGGGGAAATGAGAAGCCTGTGAGCGAGTTGAGGGGCGGTGCTAAACATTCAAAGCTTGCAGAAACGGGTATAGCTCCTTTAAGAAGGATTATTTTGTTTTGATCCTTTTATTTTGACACCTTTCTGTCTCCCCCATTGTGGAAAGTCAATGCAGGTCCAAACAACATGACAACATTTCCCACTGTTGTCCCGGGTTAACACTGCATTGCAACATGGGTCCTTGGACACTCGCCCAGACCAAGTATCTCCCCTCCTCACATCACACATTATAGGCGTTATTACTTTTACTTATAGTTTGACAATAAAAGATAACTTGACTTCCATGGTTGAATTTTATCCTGGAGTGAGATTCCTAGAGACCAGTTGTTTGCAACTGATTATTATTCACAAAGAAATGTGAGATTGGGTTTTAGATTTGACTGTTTGTGTTGTGTTCAAACAATGCTTATACCTATCAGAAATTGTGTGTGAAAGCCAGATCCTGTCAGACCTACTGTATGAGACTAAATGGGACAGGGATAGTTGTATGATGGGAGACCTCTGGGTACACCAGGTGCCACAGTGGGGCGGCTGTGGCTGTAAAGCACTACACTGTTGTTGTGTCCTTATAGACAAGACACTTCACACACATTGGCTGGAATGATTGGAGGGGCCAATGGCACATCAAAATCAAATCAAATTTATTTATAAAGCACAATTCACACAGTGTAACCCAAAGTGCTTCACAAGCAATTAAAAGACAGGAAAAAAAAGAAAAAAAAATACAGAAAAAAAACTGTAGATACATATAAAACATTAAGTATTGAATAGATAAAAGTTACGAACATAAAAAAACAAAAAAAACAATTAAAAACTTCAGATTAGTCATATTCATACCTGAATAACACAGTTTTCAGCCTAGACTTAAACATTGCCAGGGACGAGGCCTGTCTCACAAGCTCAGGAAGACTTCCAAATTCTGGCCGCATACATTTGAAACGCTGCCTCCCCATGTTTAGTCCTGACCCTAGGCACCTGCAGGAGGCCAGTCCTTGTGCTCCTCAGAGTCCGAGCCGGTTCATATGGCACTAACATGTCTCGGATATAATGTGGTGCGAGGCCATGGAGAGACTCATACACAAGTAGAGCTGCTTTAAAGTCAATTCTCTGAGCCACAGGAAGCCAGTGCAGAGACCTGAGAACTGGACTAATGTGGTCGTACTGTACTTCTTGATTCTAGTCAGGACTCGAGCTGCAGCATTTTGAGGCATACTTGGTTGCCTCGTTTCTGTCAGTCTGGCTAAAGCAGCCGTCCTCACCACTGTGTATGGAGTGAAAGAAAAAGTATAAAACCAATGCATTATTATCATCATCATTATAAATCATGTTTGCATTTTCTATCGGATTTTGAGATTTGATGACAGATTGTTTTATACCACAATTTTTCCAACCAACCTTTCAGCACAACCTGAGACCGAGGTACCACCCCACCAAATGGTGTATCAAAACATTTCAATCTGTCTGACGCGCTCTAAACTCATAATTTGTTTTCTTTTACAGTACTTCACATCCGTTAACAAGTGCCGAGACCAGATAATCCGTCAACCATCTCACTACCACATATCTAATCAGCGCACATTTGCAAAGGCATGTCCACGAGTCTATCTTCAGCCCGACCAAATCCTTTCACAATTCCCTCACATTGATTAAGCCATTCCCAGCCTATATCCAGCTTGTCATCTCTTTTGCTGTTATTCGCTCCACTTCTCCACGCCGCTCTGGCTGTCATGTCCGCCCAAGCTATGTGCTGACGTGCCTCTCGGTATAACTCAAGCTTATCAAAGTGACAGCTGTTTGTCCACCTGCTATAAACATCTCCCACACCTTCCCTTGGCACGGCCTCTCTCGGATTATTTACAAGTGTTTGGCATCCATACAGCGGCCCCCCGTTTACTCTCCATGCACTGGCTCTGATATCAGCTCAATTACCTGATTTATTCTACTAGTTAGTGGTGTAAATAATGATCGAAGGAATGTTTATTTGTCAAAGGGCGTAAGGCCAAGACCAAAGCTGCCAAGGACATCCTAACCAGTGCTCATGCATCACCTTCGTCTCCTTGACCTCTCGCAATGTTGAGGATCCAAGTTCCCCTGACCCCATGTGCTATATCGACCGCTTCTCAATGTCAGATCTTTTTATAGCACATTTTTTCTGTATGGTAAGCCTTGGCTGGAGGAAGTAAAAGAATGTGTCTTGAATTTCTACTGCTTGCAAAGATCGCTGCCATTTGGAGCTAGAGCCCAGGTCCTGCCAAGTTAACTCGGGCTAATTTAGTGTCCGCAGCACACGCTCTCATCAATACAAACAGGGCTATTTACGCGGACATTAAGAGTAATATGGTCAAATCATCGCCAAATAACACTCTCAAATGTCTTGGCACTGAGCCAGCCATGCTGTTGCCTTTTGTCAATCTAATGGATTTTGGCTGATTTACCCGGAAAAAGATGTGCTATTTCATTTGAACAGTCGTTTTTTATTTGTTTCACCTTTCCAGGAACTCTCATAACGAATTCCAACGGTATTCCAGTCCCATCATTTTCCCTTGTAAATAATTCCACATCAAACCTGTGATATAACTTTTCTGGTGGAACACTAGGGGTATAATTACTGTATCAAAAACTCAAAGGGACCATATGTATCATGTACCATTAGTGGTCTAATAAACCATTACAATTACAATCAAACTTCCACCAGTGCGTCAGAGCTGTTTGTCACCTCACGAGTGAACACTGTACCGTCTGTGCTGAGGACCCTAATGTAGTTTAATCTGTCGACTAAACAAGTCAGAAAATGAAATGATATTAGCGCTGACAAATATCAGGTTTAGTGCCACATGAGTTCAGTCTAAGATGCGGAGACACTGGTATGGCTGTTTTTTTAAAGCATTTTTATTTTGAATACTTTATTTAGAGCCATACACAATCATAACATTCTGCGCCATACAAAAAGCACTGTGCCCACTTACAAGAGGATGAAGAGAATGAAGAACAAAACAAAACAGGTACAGGGAGCTTCTGTGCAAAATATATTATAATTATTATTATTTATAAAACAAAGAGTTTGGCACAAAAAGAAGGGGGAAAAAGAAAACATATCTGCTCCCACCCCCTGTTCATACATTTCTTTACTAAGCTTAGTTCCAAGTGTCTTTCTATAGTTACATACAGTGCAGACCAAAAGTTTGGACACACCTTCTCATTCAAATTTTTTTTTTATTTTCATGACAATGAAAATTGTAGATTCACACTGAAGGCATCAAAACTATGAATTAACTTATGTCCGCACTAAAAAAAAGCATGAAACAACTGAAAATATGTCTTATATTCTTGGTTCTTCAAACTAGCACCTTTTGCTCTGATTACTGCTCTGCACACTCTTGGCATTCTCATGATGAGCTTCAAGAGGTAGAACCTGAGATGGTCTTCCAACAGTCTTGAAGGAGTTCCCAGAGATGCTTAGCACTTGTTGGCCCTTTGGCCTTCACTCTGTGGTTCAGCTCACCCCAAAACCATCTGGATTGGGTTCAGGTAAGTTACTGATTTAATGTCGCCATTATTGTGTAAGTCTGAGCCTATCATTAACCCTAGATTGGAGGAAAGTGGTTCTTTCTTTGTTTCTGGGGACCAAAGACAATAATTTCATTTACTTCTGAGTTTAACTGGAGATATTTTTTTTTGTCTGTGTTTTTGTGATAGGACTCGTGACTGCGTATTATGTATTATGTAGAGATGTAAAGTCCTCCACTGCCTGAGGCCCTCATATATTTCTGATTTACTCACACCTAAAGAACCTGTGCACAGTCTCAGGTTCTTGGCCTCGACCGTCTTGTTTTTCCTTGTGTAAAACTGAAAATAGTGGAAGCAGCTTTCTCCCATATGCTCCTTATAAATAGATGCCTGTGTGATATCTTCTACCATGTTTTATTTTTTTCGTGGTAACAGTATAAAACACTACACACACATAGTACAATTATGCAGTGTGATGACATAGCACGTAACCATAGGAACAGAAGGCAAAAATATATAACAAAAATGACATCCGACACTGAGCTCATTCAACAGAAAACTTAAGACTTACTTGTTTGAACGTCCCTCTCTTTGGACGTTCACACAAGTGAGTGAAGATCTGGGGACACATATAAAGCAAGTGGATGCAATTTAAAAGGAAATATTACATACGTCTCATTTTAAGATAACGTTTTTGCGCTGCATGTAAAACGTGGAACTCCAGACACAAGAGGTATAGCAGGCCTTTTTCCAAAAAAAGTTGGATCATGAACTTTAAAACCACATGCGCCGTGAGGAAACCTGGAGATGAACAAAAATACAGCGTGCATTTTTCTCATTTAAGAAAAATATCAAACCAACTGTGTGCAGAGGCATTTTGGAAGCCACCCATCACTTTACAGCCATACTTACTAACATGGCCTCTCATAAATGATAATGATATGAATTTAAGATGTTCATTACAGAAACAGTAGGTGGAGAAACGTGAGTAATTTGTAGCTCCATGCAGATTTTGATGATGGATGGCCGCCTGGAGAAGACAACCCAAACCGCTGGATCTACTGCGGACTATGGAGAATTTAGGCTCATCATAAAAGATTTCTCCTCGCCTCTTATTTCATGTGGACATTTTAATGTTTTTTTTATTTTCTACCTCATTGCGGCTGTGAGCTGGCTGCTGATTTACACACGGTGGCAGCCAAGCACATAGGCCTCAGGAGACACTGCCCTCTTCCCCTCTCTCTGTTCCCCCTGCTCTCTGGGCCCTGGCTGTCCGACTGTGGGTGTGTAGTCTTTGGGTGTCTCCGGATTCACCCATCTGCCCCTGACCACCGTAGCACCCCCCACGTCCCCATTCCTCATCCCTAACAAGACACCGCTCTGCTGGGGAGGTTTTTCAGGGTCCCTTGTGCCGTTAGACATGAATCCGTATGCTCTGATGCGCCTGAGCTCCAGTGTGTATGTGGTGTGTTTATTTGAACTGCCGCCTTTTTCATTCGTCAGTTTTATCTGTGAACTCCAGTGGGACGGGACTTGCTTTACACAGCACGTTATTCATTTGGTGTTTTCTTCTAACTCCCTACTCTTTTGGCTCGATGTTGTTCAACCCTTGGTGGCAGCAATGTAAAAATGCATTCACTTGTTCCCTCCCATGATTTTATATCTATAGCTGAAACTTAGAAAATTAGAAAATGGGTCGAAAGTACATTTATTTGTGTAATTCATCTTACTATGTGAAGCCAATAAACAGTAAGAGATAAGGGATATAAGGGAGAGCCATTTTTCATCCCACAGTGGGGACATTTTGGTGTTTGGTGTCATACAGGACTGTTGTAAGATTACACAAGTGATAATAGATAAGCAGCTCTTAATGTGTCTTAGCTTTAAGGGCCAAAAGTATATGGCTGAGAAAAAAAACATTGAGCAGAAAATATAAAGTGGACACTCGTAGTACTGTATATTGCACATTCTGAAATTGCAGTCATGCAAATGGCTGCAGTATTTACACATTTACAAATGTATTAAATTATGCGTGTATACAAGGTATATCTTTACTCATTTTACTAAAACTTATGAATAAAACTTGAAATATATAGGAAAATCAGTTTATTAAAAGGCTACCAAATGTACTTGCTCCAAGTACACAGTGTGTTGCTATGGCAACGAGCATTTCTCTGACGGAAAATCAAGGTGTCACAGCTCAGAACCAGACCCAATCCAGGACAAGCACATATGAAACTGCCATAGAAAGTTAATGAGCAACCGGAAATGGCTACATTTTAATTCTACATTCAAATGAATGAGTCAAAATGACTGCCCTGGTTAAATGTAGACAAACTCACAGTTATGAGTTCATACGTGGAGTTCCAAAACCTCAAAAAGTCAGATTGACTGCTGTGATAGCTGTGATAGTGCTCTTGGTACACATGTTTTGTGGTGTACATTGGAGCGAGCGTCTGAGTGGCTGTGTTTGGTCCAGTGATCCCGTCTCTGGTGTTGGTGACGCTCTGGTGGAGGAGAGATGGCAGCTCGTGTCTCTGTGCAGAAATACAAGGGCTGCTGAATGTGACGAGTGATTGATTCCTCTGAACTGGGCTCATTTGCATGTTCTGCAACAGCGTGATGGAGAAAAATGCCTTAGCCTTGACTGAACATCTTAAAAGTACGTTGCCCCGCAGTTTGACAGGTGGCACAGGAGGCTCTGGACCAGACCCTCAAGGACAGATGCAGTGTTTTGGCTCACAGCTTTCGGAATTTTCACGTCCGCTGCAAATCACCACCTCGGAGTGAACAAGACCTTGAAATACCTCCTGATCCCCAGTCATATTTCACTGGTCTTTTATTTTTCACTCTTCACTCACTCTGGTTTTATTTATTTGAATTACTTGTTATTTAAAGATGCACTATGCAACTTTCCTGAAGGAGGGTCCGCCATACTTGCTTGTCTATTTATATGTTATGGTCTTTGGTCTCTTGCTGATTTTTAGCTGGTCTCTATCTCTGGTCTGTTTCTGGTATTTCTGGTCCTTTTCTGGTCTCTCTCAGTTCTCATAGTCCCTCTGGTCTCTGGTCTCTCTGTGGTCTCTGTCTGGTCCCTCCCAAGTCTCTTTCAGGTCTCTCTCTAGTCTCTATAGTGGCCTCTATCACTGGTTTATCTCTGGTTTTGCTGGTCTCTCTCTCTATGTTCTCTCTTGTCTCTCCCTGGTCTGTCTCTAGTCTGTCTCAAGTCTCATAGTCCTTCTGGTCTCTAATCTCTATCTGGTCTCTTTGTGGTCTCTGCATTCTCTCTCTGGTTTCTATCTGGTCTCTCTCAGTTCTCATAGTCCTTCTGGTCTCTGGTCTCTCTGTGATCTCTTTGTGGTCTCTCTCTGGTTTCCCTCCCTGGTCTCTTTCAGGCTGTCTTTGTTCACTGGTTTAATTGATCGTATTGCTCTTGTTGATGTCACCAATGAGATCACGGTGGAATATAAAAGCAGGAAATGGTTTGCAGCCCTCCCCTTTAATCAGGTGCCACATGGAGCAGGTACGTATGAAGCCCAAAATGAATGAGCAGGTTTTACCAGTATTTGGTGCTTTAATTAACAATGAAATGAGTGTTTTTCAAAGAACAGTGAATAGATTATGACTGAAATAATCATACACAAAAAAGGGATTTGTGAATGCAGTTTAATATTCATGTAGAGAACACAGATGTGTACAGGATATATAAGTTCAGTTCAGGCACAGTTTTGTCACACGCACACATCCAAACAAGCACGTATCACTTTGTTCTGTTTTTTTTCATGTCTGTTTATTTTCAATTGTCTTATGTCTATTCTGTCTGTGCCATGCTTGTTAATCTGATAAACTATAAGGACAGCTGAAACAGTAAAGTGCCAAAATGTAGCTGTGCCCTTACGCAAGTGCAGTCTTGTTTTAGTCGCTATAGTCGCACACCATCAATGTGTATAGATTGTTTGAATAACTCCATATGAACCATCGTTTGGAGTGTCCAAAAAGTGCTTGAAAAACCCTGATCACAACCGTGTGCAATGTTAAAAAAATAATGATAAGGGACGTGTTCAAATGAGCACTACAGTATATAAAACCAATGCATTATCATTCTTTATTTGGAATGTGTGTGTCATTTATGACATCACTACACACAATGGGCAAGAAAGCAAATCTATTCTATTCTATTCCTTCTTTCCAAAAAAGCAGATGAAAATGACTTATTATTTTTTCTTCTGCTTTTTGGTTGCTGGGGCAGCAGTCTGACCAGAGGGGCCCAGATTTTCCTGAGAACAGGTCTGACTTACTGCTGAGCTCCGGCTGTGGTCATACAGGGACTGGACGGCCTTCAGCAAAGGCCGCTGGCTCCACACAGCACATACAAGTACGCTTTATTATCGGTTGTTTTCCACAAAAGACAATTACTAAGGCGAGATTCACACAAGCAGAATGTGGGGGAAGTGTCTTGCCTCAGGACACAACAACAGTATCCACTTTAAGGCCACAGCACCGCGCCACCTGGTATTGCACTGGTCTCCCATCACAGTGCAAACCGAACACTGCTTTCCTTAGCTTCCAACTCAGGCTTTGACAAGAAAACATGGCCACAGTAATGATCAAACTTAGATGTTGTTATAACTGGGGGAAAATCAAGCATCCAGATTATTACATTTTTTGTCACGTTGGACTATAGAAGTGGATTTTACATGTTGCTATGGAACAGGTTGAGAATCTCAATTTCTGGGATACTTTCAAAAGGAGATACAGCCAAAATAAGTACATTGATTTATTTTTGTTCTGCTGTTTTATTTGGCCAACAACAGCGACCGTGTCCAGCCAGGATTTTATGTCATTTTATGTTTACTGACTGCATATGTGGTAGTGTTGGGCATTGTGCACTGTAGCATAATATTTTTCTGTTAATTAGAGTTTGTTCAGCTCTGCCAGAGACTTGCTGACTTGGTTTGAGGCAGATGGTTTTCCCCACAGAGCAGTTTGACTCATCTTATTTTCTGAGCTTCTGTGAAACTGTAATTATGCTAAATAGATTCATGTATGTGATAAATGTACTTACTTTGTTGTAACTGTTTTGTAAAATTCAGTCCCCAATCCAAGAAACTGAACACATGATCCAATGGTTTCAGGTGTGCATCGATGTTGTGATAGCTGCAGAGCTGTCAGACCATCTCCAGGTCCTCCTCCAAGAGACTCCAATAAAACACGTCAATGTGGGGTGAGTCCTATCGAAAGGAAAACCTAAATGATTTTGTCCATGATACTGTGAAGGTTACACTGGAGGCAATAGTTTCTCAGAATTGTCTATGGAAGCATCTGTGACATCAGAAACCATGAATTGATGGAAGAATTAACTCTTCTTTGTTAGGTCTTTATCAATTCCTCAGGAATAATATGCGACATTTAAATGTGTCTCTTTGGAGAATGTGAAGTGAGTGATAGACCGCCTGTTTCTCTGGAGGTAAACAGATGTATAGAATATGTCTTTCTTCCAAGTCAAACACATGCACAATGCCAGTGCATATGTGTGAAGGAGAGTCGTTTGCCTCAGACAGTTAAGCACCAACAAAGAAGTCTGATTCATTTGCATACTTAGATGTGCTTAAAAGCCCATATACTCCCCCGCATGCATCTCTCTGGGCTCTCCCTTCTGTCCAAAGTGCTCTGAGCTCGGCTGAGGTGACGTCACCTGTCTCTGTTGGGCCCATTGTCTGCACTGTGTGAATTTATAATGAGTTTTTCAGTGCATAGTGCCTCTGATCATCTAATTAACTGCATAGAAATGTCAGCTACTGTCACTATGTTTAGTGTCCATTACCTTTGCATAAGTGAGCTGCTGCCCACTGTGGGAGCTCCATATCTGCATGCACTCAGAACAATGGACAAAATGAGAAGAGAAAACCACAAATGGAGACAGTTTGAAAAGGTGCGCTGTCAGTGCAGCTGGCATTTAGCTCAGCGGGGAGCAATGTAGCCTGTCTCCAGCTAGACCTCTCCGACAGGAGCGGGTCCACGGAGAGACCAGCGGACAGCCTATAGCAGCCACCTGACAGGGGGCGTCTGCGGCGAGCCTATTACACATGTCACACTGCAGAACTACACAACTTCAGGCTCCCTGCTTTGCTCTTAAAACATCACAGTCTATACCAAGGATTGGATTTGTCATATTCATTATTTATAGTTTGGTTGTTTGTGCCCAATGTAAGCAATGCAAAAATTAATAGAAAAAAGGATTTATATGCAGCAACACTGCCATCTTTAGGTATCATGCTGCTACAACATATACAGTAGCACATAATTCACAGCTGTTTCCTCTCCTTCAGTGTAGTAAGAATGTACAAGCAATAATCATGATAACAGAATAAACAATTTATTGTATTGGAAGAACCAATTTGAGCAAAAGTGCAGTAACAAGTAAAACAAAATAACTTGAGGTGATTTTATAAAGTGCTTCAGATTCTCTCAGGTCATGCCTCTTGGTCCAGGCCTGGATATTGTAGTACTGCTGCACTTCGGGATTTGTTTAGCATCAAAGACTTGGCCGCGGCGTCCTCTGAGCTGGAAGACAAGGACACTCTGCATGAGTCTGAAGTTAGTGAAGAGTTGCATCAGAAAGAATAAAGAAACCTGTGCCCAATTCTTTTTTAAATATGAATGATCTCATACTTTACTGCTTAGTTTTGCTTTTGTTGCTTGTTTGAACAAATATCTGCAGATAGTGCATTTGACAGGATTTTATAATTTCATTTCTTTAAATCATGCCTTCTGTTAAAATAAATGATAGTTTTTGACTAAACAAGAACCTATTTTAGATTTTTGAATTCAAGTTGAAATTGGTTTCTGTAAAAATGATACAGAAAGTAAAACTAAGGAGATCTGTGATTGCATCACACTAGGGAGATTCAGAATTCCAAAAAGTACACACAATACTGACGGCTTTGACTCTTTGAACATTTATTCAACTGATCATGTATTTAAACAATCCCATCTCTCAGTGTTTTGCACTAAATCCTTCATTGCCAAGGTGGGAAAGAATTAGTCAAAATAATTTCTGAATTATTCTAAAACTAACAGATTTGCCTAGAAAATAAGACAAGGCAGCAGCGATTGCATATTTTCAAGCCCCTCCAGATCAAACAAAAGGACACAAAGCTTTTTATATGATTTGTATCAATGTGCATAAGAACAGAGACGCCATCACTTCAGATACAAATGACTTATGCTTAAGATATACAGTAGATACTGTAGTAACAATGTGGGTAATAGTGGGTAACAAATACGTTCAGTTCTTCAGATAATAATGTTTAGCAGTAATACAGATATAACAGGGGTCTACCGTACATAAAATGCAGGTCAGATTACACTGCTTTTTAGCAAAAATATAGGTAAAAGTGTGTTTGGAGCAATGTAATACTTAAGGCCATGAGATACTGACATGATTATTACACTGAGATCATTTCATTCAGTCCCATCTCATCATGAGTTGCTGCTTAAGCCATTTTCCTATTACTCTTATAGGAATAGTAATAGGATTTCTTACCTAAATATGACTGCTCTAATTAGGTTAAGTTTAGGATTAGGATTGTAGAACTAGTTGATTGAGGAAAAGCGGTTGTAGGTGTTTGGGAAAAGTACCTCTCTGGTTGACAGTCGCAGGACAGACTGATGCTGCGGTGAAGCTCCTCCTCTGAGTGGAAGCGCCTCAGGCCACAGCGCTGCACGGCCTGCGCCACAGAGTACGCCGTCCTCCCCGCCGCACATGCCTCCATCTTGGCCACGCAGAGCTGAGACTGGAGGAACAGGTGCAAACAGCTGTCGGACAGGAGCAAAGGGCTCTGAAGGATTCTGTGGGAGACAGAGACAGGTTCGTTTTAGATGCGGGAGAGTGATCTGGTCCAGAAGTGGCCTGGGTTCACTTCTGTTCAAACAGATCTGTGTTCTGAGGTGAACCGAGCCTAGAACCAGGAGTGTCAGGGGCCGAGCATCAAAATAATAGAAGCTGCTCAGAGCCAAATTTTTTTTTATAATTGCTCTTTAGTATTTTGACATTGCTTTTATTTGTCATAAAATATGTTTATTATTTGGATTGAACTGGACTTAAAACTGGACTAAATATAAAGTTAAACATACTGTTGGATATGCTATGATGTATTGGGTGAAAATGTTATAAAAAATTAAGTGCGGTTATTTATCTGTGAAAATATCAGATGTATAACATGCTGTGGTAGATCCTGCTGGGGGCCATTAGAAATAGACTTGAGGGCCGGATTTGGCCCACAGGCCTCAGTTTGCCATGCCTGCTGTAGTCTGTAGTCTGTAGTACAGATTTAGTCAAACAGTTACATCAGTTTTAGTCCAGTGTTCTTTAGCATTCATACCTCGCTGACAAATCCATAGTAGTTTTGGTCATAGAAAGAAATATGTTTTATTTATTAATAATATTTCACATGCAGGTGGTGTGAAAGCCAGATCCTATCAGGCATCTGAAGCTAAGCAGGAAAGGGCCTAGTTAGTACTGTGATGGGAGACCTCTGGGAATACCAGGTGCCACAGTATTTACCCTATTTATGATTTGTGCTTAACAAGTCAAACTGGTCTTGCCTTATATTGTAGCATGTGCCAAATGTGGTGTAAAAGGAAGAGACTTGAATCAAATAAGTTGGGCAACATGAAACATTGATGGAGATACATATATCTTTCTTACCTTCTAACTGGTAAAGTTAGAAGGTAAGGTTACTGGGGCGACAGTAGCTCAGTTGGTAGAGCGATGGCCTTTCAACCTGAAGGTCGAGGGTTCAAGCCCACCACGGGACCTTCTCCACCGACTCCCACTGATGACTGCTGTCGTTGTGTCCTTGGGCAAGACACTTAACCCTGCATTGCCTGAAGCCCCCGCTGAAAAATCGAGGCCGTATTGTCACTGACAGAGCAGCCGTCCTCCTGTGGACTCACCACCTGCAGAGGATCAGTGAGGGGCTGGTGCTAAGTGAATTGGGTGCAGCTCTGACTGCCACCCCCCCGACCCAGAAATGGATTAAGGGGAAGAAGATGGATGGATGGATGGATGGACCTTCTAACTGGTGTAAAATAAGAGTCTAATGAACAGTGTAAAGTTTTCCAAAGTGCAGCATTGATCCACAGACGTTCACACTTACTGCTCCAGGAACATTTGCAGCCCCCTCATCCGCTCCGTGATCTGCCGTGCATTGTTCAGGCTAAAGAAAGGGTTTTTTGGAGGCAGCTCTGGCAGCTTCACCCTGCAGAAAAAGCTATGCATTCTCACAAGGATATTTAAAAAAATAAATAAAATAAAAAGCTTTGGTGATGGGGTGCACTCACATAAGCAGGGAGTTTGCCTCCAGTTTTTGCCTGAGCCATACAAACTCGCTGTATCGGCGTCTAACACTGGAGACTTTCCTTGTGAAGCAAACGCTGTCGGTCTGGAAGAAGGTAAGAGTTAAACACTTAAAGTAGCAATATGTAAGATTTTCATGTCAAGTCATCAAATGGCTCTTATCTGTCAAAAGGCATCAATGAACCATGCTCTTTTCCAATGCTAATAACAGTAGTTCAGCCGAGATATTAGAATTTCAAAATCACTTTTACAGCTTGTAAATCTTGTTATTGTTTTCATTCCGATGTCCCGCCCTCCACCGTTCACCAATCTGAAAGTTCGTGATCCGGGTTGCCAGAACTCACATTATCGAGCTAATCTCACTGCTAAAGCAACATGAATATGGCCACAGACAGTTCCATTCAGATATTATGGTCCCGACTGGATTTGTATGCATATCTGGCAACCTGAGTCTGTGAGAGTGGGAGAGGCTGCAGTACCACTTTTGGCCAGATTTTTCACAACTGCTCCTTTAAAGCTGAGGTACGCAACTTTGTCTATTAGTAATCAGTA